TGTTCGCCAAGACATTGCAGGGATCATTTTTGCCCTATGCGGCATGTCACCTTCGCAAAAGCAGTCATCAAAGGCTTCTCCGAAGGAACTAGGACTCTCTGAAAAGCTAGAAACAACCACCGGGATTGATATTGTGGGGACTCTGTGGAAATCTCTCACTTCGTTGATTCCCCGGAGTATCGAATTTCCTCGGACTGGTCAGCAATTCTTTGAGGTCGCTTTGGTTGTTTTTCAGACGGTAGGAAGCTTGTCACCCGAGGACTTAGTTTTCGGTGATTATCTGAAGCAGTGGGGAAATGTTCTTCTTTGCCATCGAAGTCATGAGGTGAGTTGACCTTCAATGCCCCCCTTTTTGGCTCACGATTAATATGTTCTAGTTTGTCGGGCGGGAACCTATGGACTGCATTGTTTTAGGATTTGCACACCTCTTGAAAAAGTGCATGGAGCTTTCGCAGCCAAAGAGCATCATAGCAGACACCAGGTAGCCTTGTGTTAGGCCTATCCCAATCTATTATTCCCTACTAACTATGAACTAGAGATCTCATGGACCAGCTCTTCGCGACCTATTTATTTCCTGATTTGTCAGAGCAAATCGATACCGAGGTCATTGAGCCAGCTATACCAGTGATGCACACGGAAACTCGCCAGGAGATTTACAATGTATTACTTTTGCTTTGCGAAGACGAAACGAACTGTGAGCAGATGCTCGAGATTTTGGAAGATGTAATCCCACGAGGTTAGCTACATATACATTCGAACACCGGTACTATGGCTGTGCTTACTTTGGCAGTAGATTATACCTATGATCCGAGTTGGGTCTTCGATCGTTACAAAACAATCCGATCGCCCGAAGGATATGCCGGGTTGAGGAATTTATCCAACACTTGTTACCTCAACTCCCTATTTACCCAACTGTTCATGAATATCGACTTCCGCAAATTCATGCTGCAGGTTCCAGCGGAGGAGACAGATCCAAACCAGAGACTTTTAGTAGAAACGAAAAGGCTTTTCGCGTACATGCAAAACACATGGCAGAAAAGTGTAGACACGCTTCCTACGGTAGAAGCTATTCGGACGTTCGAAAATGAAATGATCGATATAACTATTCAAATGGACGTCGACGAGTTCTATAACCTTTTATTTGACAGATGGGAAGGCCAGATCCAGTCAACGGAAGACAAGAAAGCATTTCGCTCTTTCTATGGTGGTCAACTAGTCCAGCAGATCAAATCAAAGGAATGTGAACACATCTCGGAACGGGTGGAGCCGTTTTCTGCAATTCAGTGCGACATCAAGGGTAAAAGTGGCTTGGAAGATAGTCTGCGGGCTTACGTGGAAGGAGAGATGATGCAAGGAGGTAAATCTTGTTTCCTCAGTATTGAAGCTTGTTTCAACCAGCTGACTCGACGTGGCCAGATAACAAGTACTCATGCACATCATGTAACCGACACGTTGATGCTGTTAAAAGGTACAGTTTTTTGCGCTCAAGGGGCGAATCAAGCTAACGGTTGATAGGGCGTGTTTGAAAGATATTCCGGACAATCTAATCTTTCACCTGAAGAGGTTTGATTTCGATGTCAGCTCTATGATGAGAAGCAAAATCAATGACGAGTTTCATTTCCCGGAACGCATTGATATGGCCCCGTTCAAGGTTGAACATCTTAGCAATGCGGATGCACCTGTGGAAGCCGATATTTTCGAGCTCGTTGGTGTTTTAGTTCATAGTGGTACAGCAGAGTCTGGCCACTATTATTCCTACATCAAGGAACGCCCAAGCCGCAATTTTGGCTCGTGGGTGGAGTTCAATGATGCCGACGTCAGCAGATTTGATCCTTCCAAAATCCCAGACCTGTGCTTTGGAGGCATAAATGATCCCTATCACGGACCGAACTTAGGCCCAGTTCGCTTCAATAAAGTTTGGAACGCGTACATGCTTTTCTACCAACGCGTATCCAGCATGGAGGTTGCCCAGTCCGAGTACAAGCTGTCTTTGACTGACACCCCAGTTACTATACCTCTCCCTCTGGAGCTTGGCAATCATATCGCCATGGAGAACGAATTATTCCTTCGGGCCTACTGTCTTCTAGATCCTAATCATACTCGCTTCATACTTGGCCTTGTCCAGCTGTGCAGAAAGGCTGTCCTTTCAGGGGGCGCGAAAAATTCGAAACTCCAAAAGGCGGCAGTCTACGTTGCTCTAGACGCATTGGATCAGCTTGTGTCGAGAACAAAGGAGGCACCAGCCTTGGAACAGCTGTTCGCCGAACTCGACCTAGCCACCGAGGAAAATCCCTATGCCGCGTTCTGGGTTCTTGAATGGACGGCGAATCGCCGGTTTGGAATTCGAAACCTCCTTCTAAAGTGCCCAAATACCGTCATTCGTGCCGGATTTTCCGCGTTGCTAATATCCTCCCTGGCTCGTCTGAAGGATCGGTTAGCTGACCCAACTCTGGAACCAGTCAGGGCGACGCGCTACTCTCAGGAATACACAATCTTACTCGAAAATATTCTAACAAACCTTCATCATCTGTGGAGTGGAATCCACCTGTATTACCGAGCGTGGGATGACTACTTTGAACTCATCTTGAGCATTGCCAAGTTTGGTGAATTTGAGGTTGAAGTAATTCTGGACCATGGATTCATGCTAAAGTGCCTGGAGATAATCTGGCTGGACAAAGAGGATAGTAAGAAACTGAAATGCCACTATTCAAACTACTTTCGGCTGATCGAAAAAGGGCGAAAATTTTCACTGTTCAAGCTCATGGAGTTGCTCTATCTCCTTTTCAATTATATTGACTGGAGCCTTCCTCCATCAGCTGAGATGCAACAACGGACAAACCAAAACGGAAAATTTTCTATGTCAGTAGACGAAGCTGACTTGATCTGTCCTCTTGGGCGGCACAAAGAATTGGCTATTGTGAGGAAAATTATTGAGCAGCAGGCGAACCCAGCCGTGACCAGGCAGATTCTCAGGCTTCTTGTCGAGTTGCCTTCTCCCAATGTGCTCCTGGACAGCGTCTACAAGGCTATAGAGGAAGGACTAGCGTCTGAACCTTCAGCGCTCATCGTGCCATTCCTTGAAGCAACACTGGTGTTCTGTGAATTTGCGCCAGATGCCGAAAGAATTCTAGGGCTTGTGGATTTCGCTATTAAAAGCGTCGAGACTCTTGATGATGCTGGTGCGGAATTTATCGGGTTCTTACGAGGACTTCTAGAAATACAAAATAATAAGATCGGACAGGATGACGCCTGGTTCTGGTGTCTTGTGCTTGAACGCACTCCAGAATGGGGTCCTTGCCTTCTCCTATTTGAGGATCAGGCGGTTCGAACTGGTGCATACGAGTTCCTGCAACAACTCATATTTTCAAAGGAAGACGAAGAGTTGCCAGAACCGCATCGTCAGTATTACCAGAAAATTGGTAGAGGACTTGCACAAGCTTGTCTTGAGAAGTTACAGGCTTTGTATCTTGGAGGAGTATCGTCTCCACTGACTATCAATGCTCGATTGCTCGAAGCTATCACTCTTGTGGTCAATCATTGCACGGAAACGTACTTCGATGAGAACGAGAACGAGGAAGACTTGGAATTTCTTCAGCAGGCATCGAGTAAGATCTTTCTCCGTTTGAAAACACTGAAGTCGTTTAGCTAAACAAACCTGACATAGGCATCCTCGCATCAGTTGGACAGATGACAGTGGATGTACCCGAAGAGTTTATATCTGGTACGTATTGATATTTTTTTTTTTTTTTAAGTGATTTCTCTGCCCAGTGGTTAACGCGCGTTGTTCCCTTCTCTGTCAGGATCTGACTTCCCTTCAGATGCGTGGGAGGATAATTCAATGATGGGAAGCGACTCTGACATTGGATTTGCCGGCTCACCATGAACACAAATTGGCATTGGCATTCCTTTTCTCTCTTCGATTCATTACAGCGCAAGAACGTGGGATTCCCTGACAAAACGGACACCGGCGTTTATATTGAAAGGATTCGCTCATAGACATTTTACTGGAGCAGAATAGAAAGCTTCAAAGGAGAACCGGGTTTTATATGGACAAAAAGTTGGCAATGGATTTATTACAGGATGATGATTATTCTTTGATGCGGGAGTCCATTTTCGTCTACCGATCCTACGATGACACGAAGGGAGCGCAATGAAAGCATTTGCACGGCGTTTTTTTGTTTCCTATTCTCCGAAGAAAGATATTTCAATTGAAGATTTGCCGCCTCGGAATTTTCTGGACCTTGGGGCGCCTTTTACTTACAGAAATAGCGTTCTCTCCATCAATATGGTTTTACAGGTGTGGGAAATCAATTGAAAACGACTGTGCACTTGACATTTCAGAATTCTTTCATGACTATTAGCTATCAATTTCTTCACCTTTGCTTTCTTCTTTGCCCTTGAGTTTGGGAGGGTGAGGCCTGGTCATTTAACTTTTTCCTCCACCTCTGTGGTGTTTTTCCTGTTGGAGAGATCAACATGCTGTGTCCATTTGTTTGTGGTTGGGACAGCACTTTTTCATAGTCACTTTGTAGGCAGGTGTATGTGGGCGTCGAAATCGACTCTCCCAGCAATCAATCAGCCACGCAAAGATTCATTATGTTCCCCTTTTGTTCACCCTTTTCCTTTCATTTTTCGGTCAGGACGTTAGGCGGAGAGTTGCGACATGTTATCATACATGTTGATGTTAATATGGTGTGCATGTATGTACAAAAGTACAGTTCTTGATAGAATGTATAGTACTCTTTGTACAGTACAAGGAATGCTGGGTTTCCCCGATACATATCAATACGTACATGGCATTGAGATTGGGGCATAAGGCCGCCGGCATTCAGGGAGTTTGAGATGTCATCTAGTATCATTGTCGAGCAGTCTGCTCTGCTAGATCTTTTCTTTTCTTTTCTTACCCCTAAGGATATTAGGTGAGTGGAAACTATTTAAAGATTGGAATGCATTCATCTATTGTCATTGCTTGCGTTGGTGCTTCAACTTAACATGGCGTCCCGAACATATTCGCTGCAGATTACCGACTAAAATGGTTTTAGTCTTCCCTTACCCCAGAACGCCCATAATATGATCACGAAGTATGAAATAACAGCATCCTTTCCAAGGTCTAAAAGCTTTGTCATACATTATTCGATTCTTTTCTTTCTTTTGCATCAAATATCCTCCCAGAGAAAAAGGGGGGTCGTTAAAAAGTCGACTGTAGTTGACATTGGAGCGTCAGGTGTGGTTATCGAGAGTAAAAGCCCAGGCGTATTTTTGTTATTAATTGGTATGTCGACGGCTTAAATTATGGCTCATAGCTTCAATCCTCGCGTCTTCCTCGACGATGCGTTTCTCGCCAGGCAGGATAATCTATGAATTAATTAGATTTAAATTTTGACGCCCAAGCTCCCGCAGAAAGCCGAAAAAACTTACAGCACGATCCACTTCATATGGCAGGCCACGATGCTTCCCACGAATCATCATGGCGCATATTACCAATTTGCCAACGATGCCAAATTTTCCTGTCAACCCAGTATTTACGTCTGGGTGACCAAGACTGAGGCCGACGTTTCCGCTGGGGTGAGTTGTTAGATATTGCTAGGGTTCATGAGGCCGGAAGGGAATGAACACATACTAGGCAGAAATTACTTCGAAGAAGATGGAAAACATATTGAATCCCTTTCAACAAAAAGGGTTTGTTAGTCCTCTTGAGCTTCCAGAGTTGAGTTATGAGGGAAATTTTCACTCACAGGATTATTCGGATCGGCTATTTTACTGCCCTCGGCGATGGCGAGCACAAAAACACCTAAGAAGACATACCACAAGTCGAAGGCCAGCTGCATTTTGATATGGACACCCAGATAAGACGTCCGCTTCATCTCCACTAGTTCTTCTGTAGAATCGAATATGCCGAGGGATGATTCTTCGTATGTATTGGTTCTAAGGGTTAGTTATTAGTTAGTCGATATTACTGTAAACCAGAGGCAGTGAGATTATGCTTACCCTCTGACACTGAGAGCAATTGGAAATACGGAAATGTACATCATTACTGAGATAAACTAGTTAGAACCTGCATTCGAAATAATACGTGATGGGGCCGCTTACCCATCAAGCTGAACTGAGCAGCAGGATGAACATTTGCAACGGCGAAGCTAGAGGTTCCTGTAGTGCGTGCAGACGCAGTTTGAAACAGTGCAGCACAGAATCGATGCCATCCGGATTGAATTGCGGTGACCTCCGGGTAATGGAGATCCAGGATTAAGAACAAGATGACGTCGAAGCCATTGATCAAAACCAAGCTGCCAAATAGCAACCAAGTCACCTTGCTTGGGAAGAGGACGGTGTAGCAACGTCTAGGATGGTCCAGCAAAAAGTTCAGCGGTTCTTTAATCGAAGAACCTTCGGGAGTAAGTTTGAAGGCTATCCAGATGATCAACCGCAGCATGCATGGGTACGCAGTATTCCCAACATAGATCAAAAAGGTCATCCACAGCATTGGGAAAGTAGAGTCCCGAAAGCTGATCATGGAGTCTGGAGTGAGAGTGAATCCGAGGTTATTGAATGTTGTCATGGACGAATAAAACGCCCTTGAAGTTTTGATTAGAGACCATTGGTGGTGAGAAGGTAGAACGCAATTTCTTACCACCAGGTAGGATTGACTGCACACTCCCCACGGACGTAATCCCGGTATTTTGGATTGGAGTTCCATATCCATGCAATGAGGCCTATGGCCCCAATGATGTGCCCAATGACATAGTAACCTGGGATAGAATATTTAGCATGGTGACACGGATGGAGGATTTGCCAGCGCATGCGGCAAGGGCCGTGGTACTCACCGCCGGCAATTTTCAGCAGCAATCTCAAGCTGCGATATTCAATGCCGCCAAGCTCCTCCTTTTGATCCTCAGTCAACCCCAAAAATTTGGAATTTCTTCCTACCGTGGGGTTATAAGAGAGATACGGCAATGCTTGAGTGGCGGCACCTCTGGACGAAACCCTGTTCATTGGGCCTCTGGACCTGGACCTCGATCTACTTCTGGAGGAACCTCCAATGATGAAAGCGGATGAGGCAGCATGTTCAAAGGAAGCAGCATGAGAAAGCAGTCTTTCCATGGCAGGGAGCTTTCGATAGGCGTCAGAAGGGCCGGCACCAAATGGATCATCGATGCTCTTTGTCATATCAGCTAATGGGATCAGGTCAGCGTTTAATAATTTTTCGCCTCAGGTTGTGAGGAGGAACATGATAAAACCCACCATCGTCCTCATCATCAACCTCCTGCACCTTGTAGCCTGGTTAAAGCGGGTTAGTTTGAAATTGCGTTACTTGAAAGGATATTGCAGTAGCTACCCTTCTCAAACTCCCGTGGGCCAGGGATCCTGAGTGCCTTCCCACGGTTCGGCTTATCGAAGGTGTCAGAGGAGAAGGTGATGTGGCCAGGCTGTACGGGCGGTCTTTCAGCGTTGTTGTTCTCGGACGACGGACTCTGATCCTCTGCCGTTGGAGAGTCCGATGACTCGTCCCTCTTGGCAGCTGGCCTCTGCCGTAGATTGACCATATCGGCCTCCTCATGAGCAGGGTCGGGACGCAGGACTCTGATGTTGTGCGGGTAGGCTGTGTCGTCGCTGCTCTGAGCTTTTGGGCTCACCGAGAGCAGTTGAGCACGAGAACGCTCTGAGGACGGCAGCCGTGACAATTGTACTATCTTTCAATCAGTATCTATAGATATGCATATATGTAGTATGCATGAAAGGCCAGGCAAGGACAAGGAATTGGGACAAGTTGGGGAGGAGTACCGATGTCCTTGAACTTCTTCTCGAACCAGTGCAGACGGACGTAGACGACGACGACGTTGACGAAGCACATGTTGCCCAGCATCGGGAGGAACCAGACAGTGATCTGCTGGTAGAGCCTCATCTCCTTGAGGTCGACGCTGCCACACATGATGATGTCAGGCCACGAGCCACACATGCGCAAAAACCAGCCACAGCAGCGGGAGCCGCAATATCAAAATATCATCAAAACGCATCAAAACGAAGACGAAGAAGAAGAAACGCACGTGTTAAGGCCCGTGACGGTGGAGCCACTGACGGCCTGGAAGAAGGCATCAATCCCCCTCATATTCTTGATCGGATAGAGGATGATGGTGCCGACGATGCTGAGCGCGAGTATATAGACATCTGGCTTTTGCGATTCCCAATCAGGACCCTGTCTCCGGAGGCAGCCGGGTGAAACGGGGGGCTTTCATGTAGCGCACTCACAGTGTATCCGGATGAAGTTGAGATGAGGCATACGCAATGTTGGGTACCACATCTTGACGACCGCACCCACAATACAGCCTCTTCAGACCGGAGAGATCTGGACCCGAGTTGAGGTTTTAATATGGTGAGTGAGGGCTAAAGAAAGATGAAAGAAACCTCGACGATCAACTTTCCAGTGGAAATAAATGTCAGAGATCCAAGCCGGACATAGTGAAGATGGCGAGGGAAGAAATGAATTCCAAAGCAAAGCAGTGCGGCCTGGAAAAGAGAGGGAGGCAAGGGGGGAAAAAAAAGTATATAAAATATTAATAAAATGGAACGAGGAGGGGCGAGGTATTTAGCAGGACGGCAAGGCCGTGAAATACGGGATTAAAATAAAGAGGAAGAGACGAATAATTCAAAAAATAATAAAAATAAAAAATAAAAAATAATCATATGCTTCAGCTCTGTGAGCCATTCCAAGGTCTTGCCATTCAAATACGATCGGTTACAGAGGCTGTATGTCCCTGTTCGCGGTGCTATCCTGACCAGCTGCGTTGGTGACAAGCGTCCGTCCACTCTCCTTGGCCGCTCTCCCCCTGTCCCCTGCGCACGAAACCCGTGGTTTTGTTTTTAGTCTTTTTTCTTTTTTCTTTTCTTTTTTTTTTGTTTTCCCGCCAAGACGCGAAAAATACCGGGCGTCGCTACAAGTGCTCGAAGGTTTGCTGGGAAAGTTTCGAGCGGTTCACGACGACCTCACCCTGGCTAGCTTTGAAGCTGCAGGCTAGGGCTGTTACAGCCACACCTTGCAAGCGGACGATGGCGTGGATGCCCACCCTCCCCAAGGTATGATACTCTACCGTACATCCAGCACATCCCTACATACATATGTACTCCGTCCACCGTACGGAGTACAGACCCTGACGATCTGGTTCCGCTCTGTAGATGAGCCCATCTGCCGGCGCTTCTGGCTGTATCTGCAGTCTCCCAGCGCCGCCAATGGCAGCTCTGTCGAGTACCACATGGTGGTACGGAGTCCCTTGTCTGCATCAAAGGAATCCAGGACGACAAGCAGCGTTCGGGGGTTCGGAAACTCCCACTTTTTTCGTTGGCGGCTGTTCCTTTTGGTTTTCTGTCCCCGAAAAGCTTGACTCGCGATTCACGCCATGCATTGGCGCATCAGCAATTAACCTTGTCACATCCGTTGGTGGTTGACTTCACTAGCGCCATGGTTCCTCTCTTCCCCATCAACAAAATCCCTCACCGCGGCAAGAAGAGGGAGAAAAAAAAAAAAAAAAAAAGGCAGAGAGCTCCCACTTGTGGCCTCCCAACCCTCCACTCCCGTCGCAGACCAATCTTCCGCCGGCCCTATTTTGGTCTTTCCCACGTTATGCCGACGCTCAGACCAAGACACCGTGGCATCCATCCCCGCCCCTTGTTCCACAGACAGCATCCATCTCGGGTGACGGCCTGTGGCTGTTGGACAGCCTGGATCCCGGCCCCCGCCGTGATTTAATACTGATTTTCTTTTTCCTTCTTTCTTTCACTTCTTTCTTCCTTTTGTAATTTTTTTTTTTTTTTTTTTTTTTTTTTTTTTATATTCCAGGGATGATGGAGCCCAGCAGGTGACTAGGCTGGTGATGTTCCAATCTCAACGGAGTGTTTCTGCGCCGCCTCGCAGGTTAATAGTCACTCCAACAGAGATCCCAACCGTAGCGGAGCCATCTCCGCTTTCGCTAGATATGGGACGTAACTACGGGTCGCAACTAGGTATCCAACCTCCTAGCGAATCACTCCAACTTGAGGCCCGGCTGCGGGCTCCATCACTTGGAATTTCAGCCTTCCATAACATGATTCGACACAAAATATCATCCCATTTGAAAACGCCATCTCTAAGCAGCGGCCAGCTGCTGGTATGTGCGTTGCGGATGTACGGTACACGCAGTGCCTTTTAGCTGGCCATTTGCCGCCTTATATTCAGGGTGCCACATATGGGATACACGTCGTGCAAGAGTCTCTAGGATCATTGGAAGCTTCTGATGACGCTGACCCGGGCCGCTACGAGCTCTTTTCCTTCAAGCCATCATTTTCGTGACCCGCCAGCGAGGGCAAACGTTAAGAAAATCCTTGTTGGCACGAGGCTCTTGCATCAAAAGCAATTATTTAAGGTTACTCTTCCGCCTTCCCTTTGGAGTTTGGGCCCGATTTATGATGATCTCTATCACGGAGCATGAACCACCATCTCTGACCAGTGCCCTGCCTTCAAGGAATTATGGATATGAGTGGGAGCGTTCTCCGCAACAAAAACTAAGCAGTGGACAGCTAACGTCCATACTTCAGCACATGTCGGTGCTGCTAACAATCCTCTAGGCTTCTTGAGTCGCGCATCTAACACACGTCAAGGAACGCTCCAAGAGAATAGGAGTGACTACAGTGTATGACCGGTTTCCATGGACTAGGGTGTTCTTCCTGGCGACCTTGCCCACCCGCGGAATCATCTCCTAGGAGGCCATGCCCTCCTTTGTCTAGTCCAATTCAAAAGTATCGAGATACTTCGCGCTGTTGGGAGTAACTCAAGCCCACCTCCCAACCACGATGGATCGGGCAGGGATTATCCAAGAAGAGCTCACCCTGTGCCTTGGGTCATTCAGGGCACTCCAATCCCAAAATGGGGAAAAACAAAAAAGCAAAAGAAACCAGCCTGTCCGTACCCGGTAATTCTGATTCCATTTGCATCAATTACGTGTCTGCGCTGCTCCCCTAGGGTTCCAATCGGTCGTAGAGACGTTTAGCTGCGATAAGGAACTAAATAATTTCCGGCACGATGGCACCAATCATGCCGTGCTGTATGTATGGGCGACGGCGTGCAGATGTGCAGATATTCCAAATCCGCCCACCATGTTCAATTCCCCGGAGAACCTTACTATCCATGTGATAATTCAGGCTTTATCGGTTTCCCACTCACCTGAAACAAGCCTCGTAACAATAGCACTCATTCGGGAATGGCACCCCAAGAGCTCATTTTGGTCGCTTGACCGTCTTATCAACGGGAACCCCGCAAGGCTCGAGACATAGGTCAGGGACGGTACTCGCTCCTCGATATACATATGTAGACGGACAACCGTGCAAAAAGCGTCATAAATTCCGCTTTGTCCAAGGATCTACATTTGCCACTGGCCAGCTGTCGACATTGCCAACCAACCATCGGTAACCCGCAGCTCATCGGCTCGAAATGCCCATGACGTGTGAAGTGAGCGGGGAACGAAACTGAAACGCCAAAGCATGATTTTCCCACTTAACCAACTCCTCCGTAGCCTGGAGAGAAAATACTTTTCGTCTTCGCTCCTTTTGAATGCTCGCGAACCCGATCGATCGACCCGAGGAGGCTGTGCATCTCCACCTCGCTGGGATCCAGTCCCATGATGTTAGTATTGTATTTTATTTTATTTTATTTTTTTTTTCTCACGCGTATCTCGCAAGACGCGAAACTAGCTTGGGGATAAGAAAGGAAAGGGAAGGAAAGAAAGCTGATTCGAGGGAAGGGAGGAGAATCTTCAGGCAGATTTGGCTCCATGTGCTGGGCGGAGAATATGTATGTCACTACGGAGTAGAGAACTCGGCCAATAGCTTGGATGACGCGATCCAACCGGCTGTCAGGTGCGTCATTTTGGGAGTAGGGAGACGTGATGGCCGAAAGAGAACAGCTCCCTTTTTTCCTTTTTTTTTTTTTTTTTTTTTTTTTTCTTTCTTTTTTGTTTGGCTGGGTTTGACAGTCGTTGGGTAGCTGAGCGAAGTTGTTCCGGGCTGACTCCCTAATAATAAACAATAATAATAATTCTTCCTCTGAGTCGGGAGTAGTTGCACGGCATAATTCCACGGACGTTGCATGGAAGTCTCGGGAAGTCCGATGGTTGCGCGAACAAAAAAAAAGGCGGAGGGCAAAAAATAGTACTATCTCTAGCGAGTAATCTGGAAACAGTACAACAACAAGGCAAGATGGCCGAGCGGTTAAGGCGTTGCACTCAAGCTGCCAAGCTTAGCCACCTCAGGTGGTTAGCATTGCAATGGGGAAACCCGCGGGAGTTCGAATCTCCCTCTTGTCAACATCAAAAAATTATCTTTTTTACGTTTGTCAATTTCTTTCTTTTTTCTCCGCCCAATCACCACCTGATCACTTCTGCATTGGATAAATGGTCTTTGAAACATACACACCACGTAATTTCGAAGACCAGAGCGGTGTGGGAGATCTGTCTTTGTGGCGAAAAACTTACACCGTCCGATCCTCATGGTACAACACCATGCGCATCCGTGACTCATCTGGTGGAAAAGCAAAAAAGCTGATACGAAACCTTAGGATGGTGGGTGACATTGGAGGCGTCATGGGGAGAAATGAGAAGAAAAGCGGACGGTTCACTCCGTGGCCATACCCTTCTTCTTGCACACGTCAAATTTATCCCGATAATCTGGTCTAGATAATTTACAAATACCAATCCTACCAGTCCAGAAGAGGTGTCTCAATGCATCTATGTAGCCATCCATAAACCAGCCCAAATCCACAAACTCTCGAAAACGAAAACTAGGGAAATGAAAACCGATGGAAGATGAATTCAATCAACATACCTAAAAGCTCCCCTCCATACCATTAAGCCCCCGTTGCTGCTCATCGCGATGCAAGAAAACTCCGAAATTTGACTTTTCGACCAATTCAGCACGCTGACCTACAATAGAGTAGAAGCCAGCCAGGCTTTCCCCCTAACTAAGGCGGGAATAATCTCGGGAATAAAAGCAAAACACCCATATTGCCGTGCCAGGAATGGAAATTTTATTTGTCGCACAGGATTACAAAAGCCGAGTCACCTCTAAACATCCTCGAATTCGTCCTCTTCTTCGTCGGATTCCTCCTTTTTAACCTCTGGTTCAAGCTTGATTTTTTTGGCCGCTGGCCCTTCGTCGCCCGGCGTGATAGGCGTGGGCGCGTTGGTCTGAGGCGCACTGCTTCCAGAGTCTGACTCTAACTCTCTCTTCAAGGAGCCATTGACGGATGGCGCTTTGGTCGCATCGGCCTGGTTTGCAGGCGTACCGACAGCGCTCGGTGTGATCTCCACATCTTCAAATTCGTCTTCTTCCTCATCGGATTCCTCTTCGCTCACATCCTCCTGGGCTTCTCTCTCCTTCTCGCGTGCCATCTCCGCATAATATGCGGCAACGCTGTCGTCTAGACTGTCGATATCTGGTTTCTGCTCCTCCTTAACTTCGGGCTTGATGTCCACCTCAGGCTTGATGCTCACACCATTAGGCTCTGTTTTAACCTGGGGAAGTCGGACAACCGTGCTGACAGTGGACTGCGTATGCCAAATAGGAAGAGCGTTCTGTTTTTCAAGTGCTGCTTTCCTAGCTGCTTCTCTGGCCTGCTCTTCTGCACTTTTTTCGGCAGTCGAGGTAAGCGAAACCTCAAGAGTCGATGCGTCGGTCTTGGAAACCCCTCTCACTGCAGATTGCTTCGATACAACCACGCCAGGCCTGGATGGATTTGTATATTGATTTCGAATCACATCAACCTTGTGATCCCAGGCCGTATCGAAATCATTTGGGGGCACCTCGACAGAGTCAATCTGTTTCAGGAGTTTCAGCATGGGATCCAGTTGTGCCATAAGCTTGCTGTTCTTTTCATGTCCGGTGCGATCAGCCGCGCCGCCACCCTCGACTTCATCCGCTCGCGAAAGCAAGTACCCACATCGTTGACATTCAAATCCGTCCAGGCCAACGTGGCTGAGAACCTCGAGCTGGGTCCATTCCGCTTGACACCGCAGACAGATGTACTCCTTCCTCTCTGCGCTCGGTGTGTATTGAGTTTTTATTGTCGAAGTAAGGCGGGATACGCGGTATTTGATGGCATCAATGACGGGATGAAGAGGGATATAATAGTATTCGCGGTTCACGGGGCGCGTTTGGCCCTCGCGGAGCTCAGGGCGTGAGTGGCTAGTCAAGACGGATATTAGGTCAGCTCTCGTAGCATAGTAGCCAAATGCAAACAGCTGCGCTCATACACTGCGATAAGGCGGTCCTCGCGTAAACGGCCACAGAGCTTCCGAAGATCCTTCTGCTGCATCCCTAGGAGGAGCGCTAGATCCTCCGCATGGAGGCTATGAGGCACATTAGCTGGGGAACCAAGTGAAGCATTTTGCAAGAATGCATTGGCCCATACACTGAGTGTATGAAAAGAGCATCGATCACCAGGATGTGACGGGTCTCGTAGAACGCGCGAGCTACGATCCGAATGAGACTCCTTGCAAGATCCATTATCACGGTGAGCTGTGGCTATAGCAGGCAGGGTGAGGATGGCGCGAAGTCGGCAAAGCACGTAGTCATACGTTCGAAGAAGCTGTTCGCATGGCGGGAACGGTGGCGCTCCCTCCTAGCAGCGGTAAGCTGATAGTGAGGGGGAGAAGACGTTAAAGTGACCGTTTCGCCGGTTTCTAGGGCCCAGTCAGTGATGATGCAACGAACTGGCAGCCACCCTTCGCGGACGTTGACGGAAGAATCGAAACTTGCGTGAACGGCGAATCGGTTGAGGCTCTTCCACAACCGCCGATATCGCTGACTAAGCAGTATGCCGCAGCCAAAATTTCGGTGGATGACTTTTGACTGGGAGTTCAGACCACCAAGACGACGGTGACAATCGAGAAGTCAAGGTCTGCAAATGAACGTCTGCGCAGTCCCAGCTTCACCATGGATGCGCCTACTTCAGTTCCCGCTGTGCCGGCTTCCCAGGACCAGTCAACGCAGGGCTCTCCGTCCACCCTTCCCACCACTGCTCCAGACACTCCGTCTCCCTCGATATCAGACAACCCTAAGCCCCAATCTGACTCAACAACGACTGGAGAAGATCGCAGGAATAAACGAAAGGATCTGGGAAGGAAGGCTTGGAGGTACCGCTCTCACGCGAACAGTCTCCAGAGTCTCTGCAGCTAACTAATCCAGCCGCCAACCTTTAGATAGGAGACGGCGAAACGAAGAGCAAGCCGCCAAGCGCCGAAAGGCTGAAGATGGAGAGGATATACCGATATACGCGACCCAGTTTTCGAAAGAAGACATTGAGGCGGATAAGCGACGACCAAAGCGGAAGGTTGCCGTGCTGCTTGGATACTCGGGTACTGGCTATCATGGAATGCAAATGTAATGTCATCGGCTGGTTAAGGATTGATTGGATAATGTCCTCTAACGAGGTTGCTTGGTAGGAGCGCAAAAGAAAAGACGATCGAAGGCGAAATATTTCCAGCTTTGGTTGCTGCCGGCGCGATCTCCAAGGCCAACGCGATGGACCCGAAGAAGTCATCTTTCGTCCGATGTGCAAGAACGGATAAAGGCGTGCATGCTGCAGGCAATGTGATTTCTTTAAAGCTGATAATCGAAGACCCCGACCTGGTAAATAAGGTCAACAACATTCTCAGCCCGCAAATTCGGATATGGGGTATCGAGCCGACCAACAAGGGGTTCAGCTGTTACCAATTCTGCGACTCAAGGATATACGAATATCTAATACCGACCCATTGCTTTTTACCCCCTCACCCGAGTACCTTTCTAGCAAAGAAATTGCTAGAAGCGGCAGAGAAAGAAGGAGACATTGGAGACTACAAAAAGCGACAAGAAGAAGTGCTCTCTTACTGGGAAGATGTCGATCACGAATATATCAGGCCGATTCTGAGTACCCTCCCGGAATCTACACGATTAAAGGTTCAGGAATCCCTCTGTATTAAGGATCGCAGCCAGAGTATTCAGAATGCCGAAGGAAAAGAGGAATTGGACTGTTCATCAGACATCAATGCTGTCAAAGACGAAAAGGAAGGGGGAAATTTGACTCCTGGAAACAGTGACTCTGAGGATCAGAAGATCAATGAAGTCATCAAAACCGTTCGGGCGGCCTACTTCAAAGCGAAAAAAGCCTATCGGATTCATCCTGCTCGCCTAGCTCGCGTCCAAGAAGTGCTCGACTTGTACATTGGCACGCGAAATTTCCACAACTACACTATCCAAAAAACATTTCGGGATGCCTCCGCCAGAAGGGTCATCAAATCGTTTAATATATCGAAAGATCCCATCATCATAGATGGCACAGAATGGCTCAGTCTCAAGGTGCACGGCCAGAGTTTCATGATGCATCAAATTAGAAAAATGGTTGCGATGGCGGCGCTGGTCGTGCGGTGCGGCACCGATCCGCAGCGAATAACACAGAGCTATGGACCACAGAAGATACCCATTCCCAAGGCGCCTGGGCTTGGTCTCCTTCTCGAGCGGCCTATCTTTGATACGTACAACAAGAAAGCGACCAACGAACTAGACAAAAACCCGATCGAATTCGGCAAATACGAAAAAGAAATAGAGGAGTTCAAGAATAGAGAGATATACCAACGGATTTTTCGCGAGGAGGAGGAAACCAATGCGTGAGTTTGTCTCCTTTCTTGGCTGGCCCAAGCCCATGCTCCTTTCTATCACCAATCTAATCAATTTGTATGCAGGTTTGGAAACTTTTTCAATCATATCGACACCTTCCGCGAAGACTCTTTTCTGTATGTGACATCTTCCGGAATACCAGCGGCGCCAGAGGGTGCGACGCCTTCCACCACGGAAACTGGCAAAGACAAGGAGGCTTTGGCTGAAGTTGAATCCGAATCTGAGGATGAGGTCGTAAATGGCGGCGAAGAAGGAGGATGAAGGGTATGACACTTTCTCGTCGTCTCCTTTCCTCTCATGATCATTAAATGTATATAATTAAAATGCTTGCAATCGATCTTAAGCCCAGAATAGCATGTTTGTTGCAAATCTCTTCTCATTCCATCTCCTGACCTATGGTGCCGAAACTCTACCTCAAGCACCAACATACCCTACCAGTCCCAGCGAAGTTATTGGTTCGGCTTGCAGATACACACATCCAAATACGATAATATTGCGCGCTGGTGGAAAAATTCCAATTTTCTTTATTTCTTTATTCAGAAGGAAAACAAGCCAACTACAAACAAAAGGGATAGATCAATTGATAGGTTCACTGCATTAATGAGGAATTCAAAAAAAACAAAAAAGCTCCGGGGAGCGTTGGGTGAGATTTAGATCCGAACCATAAAAAACACTGCTAGCTTAAGTCAAAGTTCAGTCAGTTAATCTTCTTAATCTCGTCTCAAATTCATCTCGACATTCGAAAGTCCGATTTTCATCCAGGCTGGCGAGCACAAAACATGCTTTGGCTAAGGGACGGAAAGATTCGAGTAACAAATTGTCAAAACTAACAACTTCGCAGAACAGAGGGGAATACCATAGGGAAAAAAAGAAAAAGAATGCAAAGGAAAAAAAAAAAAAAGGAACAGACATGTACGGGGTAATCGGGGTCAAGTCATTAGGTGCATGGCGCACAGCGCAAAGCAAAATTCGAAAAAACAATCACAAAGAGAGCCAGGGTAACATGGATATGACTGGAAAGAAAAAAGAAGGCCAGGTTTCATACAGCGAGAGAAGACGAAGAGTCACGAAATTGATACGTGGAACAAATGCGCGGGAAGATTAGAAAATAAGCGACCGGGCCTTCTGCCTTCTCGCATCATCCCAACTAATGTTAGGCTGGGATTGGTGATGCTTATGTCGAGGCTTCGGCGGAGGTGCCATGGGAGGTCGCGACGAGTGCGGGTGAGCGGTATCCTTGGCAGGAGTTGGCGGAGCCGGGGGCATTGGATTGCGAGCACTCATCGGCCGCTCGCTTGAAGGCATATCCCGCTGGGGCTGCTTGGGCTTCACGCTTCGTTCTCGTCGCAACACGAGTTCCGTCCACGCCTTGACTTGGCCATTTCCTGCGGAATATCCTTTGCCGACTGTCTCTCCAAGGACCCCCATCCAACCTTCCTTTTCAACTCGACTATCGGCATAGAAGTCAATAACCTCACCATTCCCGAAGCGAATGCGGAATCCCTCCTCGACAAACATATAACCTTCTTCCTCTTCGGCAAAGGCAGACTTGCGTCGCCCGCCACCTTTAGCGGAGGTCTCCCTTTGAGTCAAGATTGAGCGATCGTCAATCAATTTGGACGCTTTTGCGAGGTTGATTGTAGCCCGTGGCTGCCGAGTGGTCTCATGATACGCAGTCAACTTGGAGCCTTGGAGTTTGAAGTAGCGCCGACGCCAGTACTATGAAGGGGAATCATGTCAGAAAAGTCAGAATACGCTGCAGGGCGTTGCGAGATGGAATACAAACCGGACAATCTCCGCCCTGTTGCGACAGGAATCCCTCCCAACTCCTCATCGCCGAGTTATCAGCGTCTCTCATCTCACGGATACAAGCATTCATGCTCTTTGGCATGTCATCGTCTGTCGCGCCTTTAGGTTTTGGCACATATAGGAGTTGAAGTTCCAGATTTCCAACCATGTATGGGGGCCGCCGTTGGACCCCTGGGGCCATTGTATTTCGTTTGCTTTTAGAATTACTGGTGGTAACCGGGACCTCATCGACGGCCCATTCATTGAAACATGCAACGTCCACTGTTAATGGCCGCCCAAAAGCATGTTGTTCATAATCGCCCAGACACACATATGCGCGGGCAAAGCTACCATCGCTGGCAACCAAGTTTCGAACCTTAGCCCAGGGATCAGGTGCGGAGTGGATCTCCTCTTCGGCCTTCTGCTTGAGCTGCTGGGCTTCCATCTGCTGGCGCAGCTCCATTTCCCTACGCTTCTTGGGGGTTGCAAAGACGCGACTGAATGCGGAGGTTTTCTGGGGCTTTTGTGCTTTTGGTGGTGAAGGTGGAACAACTTTTGGCTTGGGCTTAAGTAGTTCTGGTTTGATCTGAAGGGTCAACTGGAACTCCAGCTCATTCATCACGACCAGTTCGAACTCTTGGCCAATGGGCGCGGATTTTCCCAATTCGAGCCACGAAGTCGTCACACAGTGAAGTCCATTGTCGAGTGTCAATGAGAAAAATGATCGTTCCCCTGCTATGGGTGTTAAATGCGGCTCATTAGTCGTCAAAACCAACGAAATCTACTTACCTCTAGGAAGAGGAAGATCTAGATCTTTAACCCCGACGACTTTCACGAAAAGACGACCTCTGTCTTTTCCATCTTCCATATCGTCTGCTTGTCCGTTGACATCGGTTTCATCAACCGAGCCTAATCCATCTTTCACAACACTCTCTTGACCTGGCAAAGGTGGAACTGATTCCGTTTTCTTCTTAGTGGCGCCCGCAAGTTTAATGCTCTGGCGCCGCGCCTTTGGATTCCAGGGCTCTGTTGTCCATGTCTGCTGGCTTGCCTTTCGTGGTGTACTACCTACGTGCGGTGCACCTGCTGTGGATTTGGCGTTCGCTTCATCGCCATGGCTGGTCGCAACGATCACTTTCGTGTTTTGTCTCATGAGATAACCTCTCTGTTTCGTTATTTTTCTGTCAGCTTTATTGTCCACTTGTGTCTCAAGGGTGGAAGAGCCATGTCCTTCCGCAGCGCCTGCACGCGGCATGGGTTGACCGGAGTTTTGGAAGTCCTTATAGAGAGGGATCTGAGAGAGGGAGAGTTCAAACGCAACCTTTTGAGCTTCAATGACACGATCAAATTCTTCGTCAAGTCCGAATCCCAAACCTTCATCGCTATCGCCGACAGGAATATCGAGTTTCACGAGCGAGGGCTGTCGTTTCCCGGCTCCTGGGATGCCATTAAATGCCGGAAGGTCAGATTTTACGGAACCAAGCGTCAGTTCTGATGCCGTGCTGGGTCGATTGCCGGTCGCATTCTCCGAGATCGACGGTATTCTTGGTCCCTGTCCGCTCACTTTTCGCCGAACTGCTGCCATAGATTCCGCGTCTGCTGGAGTCAGTGAAGGTCTGGTCTTAAGGCCAGCGCCAGGTGCTTTAACTGTGGCAAGAGGACCCGGAATGACTGCAGCAGGCTCTTCTGGCGCATCTTCCGAAACACGGTGCCTGATGACGGATTCCGGGGTGCCAGGACAATCTTTGTCTCCGTCATTCTCTTCGGCTGATTGTTCAGTGTTTTGGTCCGGTGTCTCCGGCCTGTGAAGAGAGTCGCGAATAGCTGCCATGTCAAGAGGAGGTGGGGCATCATCGGAGTTTTCAATCGGAGGAGTGGACCTATCTACGTAAGAAAGCAGGTCCAACTCAAACTGGTGTTCATCGTCAGGAGTTTGTGACCTAGATGGTGAGCACTGTTGGCTGTCATCAGCAGGGGTTTCCTGTGTAATATGCATTGGAACAGGAGTGGATTGCCGTTCAGCGTCTTCAAATTGCTCGATACGCGAATCGTCCTCTTTTGAAGTCCGCGAGTAGTGACTCTCATCATCATAATCACCATGCGTGCCCTGGTCATGCCCATCATGTGTGCTATCATCACCGTCTTGCTCCGGGTCATATTCCGGAATATCGTAAAGATCAATTTCGTCCTGTTCTTCCTCCTTGACTGAAGCGTGATCTTCAACCACATCATCGCTTTCAAGAGATGGAATAGGCACATCAGGATCCAGGGGGAGTGGACGATGTGGGCTGGAATCGCCGATTGAAGAGATTCCGCTAACATCGTCACTGAAATTCTCTTCTCTCTTCAGATTGCGGAGGATAGATTCTCTGGAAATTCGCGGAGTTGGGCATGGCTCGGAAGACATGCTAAGCTCGCTGACGATGCTATCATCCGGCTTTCCATCGGTTCTTTCGGGGGTTTTGTCCTTGTTCAGTGCACGCCGCATTCGTCTCTCACGCTGGGTTTCGGCTTCGGAAGCTTGATGGTCGTGTTCCTGGGTCATCATCAAACGAAGCCTATCTTCCAGTGACAGGGAGCCTGTACCCAGACCGCTAAGGTCATCTTTGCTGCAGGAAGCTGGGCGGAGAGGTGCTGGCCGAGAGACACTGCTCGCTCTTTCCAACGTCGCAGTGAGCCGTCTATGGTGATCCGGGCTCCTTTGTAGATTGGCCAAAGGAAGAGGCGGAAGTGGACGACATTCTCCGTTAGAATCCATAGACTCAATTTGAGACCGGAAAGAACTGGAAGCGCTAGAAGACGGCGGACGAGCCTCGGGGTCTGGAGTGTCAAAGTCTGGGCTGAATGGATCATACTCATTTTGAGACATCTCGTCGTTAGTATCATCCGGGCTGTCATAGCGCCATTGATCAGGCAGCATCACGGGAGTCTTGTCGGTATCTTCGAGACTCGCATCGAAGCTATCGTCGTGGAGAGAAAAACTAGCATCGAAACTTTCCTCGTTCTCTGTTGATTCATAGCTCCCTTCGCGTGAACTCGATGCGATTGACGAAGGAACGGGAGTAGTCATCTCATATTCATTAATCTGGGGAGGCGCCGCGTCGAAGGTGACACTCTTGGTCTGACGATGAAAGCTACGGCCCTCTCCAAACGACTTGTCAATGGCGGTTGATTCATCGTCAGACCATATTTCGCTGTGAGGATCAAACGACCTGCCGCTATAGCGTCCATTTTTATTCAGAGAAGATTTTGGAGGAGACGGAGGCTGTGGCCTTGAAGGTGACCCTTGGCTTGTAGACGGGTTATTACTTTGCTGCGCTGGGCGCGGAGTTGCAGCTTCTTGGGAAGCGTTCGTCTCCGCCTCGTGAGTAGTGGTGGTGAGGGTGGTGGTCTTGCATGCAGCGCTCTGAGAAGGCAGTTGGCGCCTTGCATCGGTTGGAGCGGTATTGGTGGCAATGTTGTGGTTACGCTGCTGGCTCAAGGGCCGCCCACTGGCCAAAGGACGCTCGAGTACTTTAACATGAGCGGGATCATACTCCCCCTTCTGCTCGCGAGCGAACATGCTACTGTTTTTCACGCGTGAAGCTTTTTTCAGATTTTCAATTGACGACCTTTTGGCCGACGACGCTGGAGACGACCCATCATATGGGCTTCTGTTTTCAAAATTGACGCGATATGGGGATGCGGGATCCCGACCCTGCCAGAACAGTCGCGGAGAAGTGGACGTGTTCATGGGAGAAGAGTCAAATGGTGATGAGTCCCCGCTCGCGAATCCCTTTGGACGCGTGAGCTTACAGAAGATTTTCCAAGTCCAACTGATCAATTGAGCATACCTTGGTTCCAGGAGAGTTTCGCCGCGGTGCGACGGGACTAATCTCAGAGAGCGGGCGCTGACCGCTGGCCATGGTGTGAACCAGCTGAAAGAAGTCAGACAATGGCAATGTTCAGGCTAAGACATGTTAGCTGGTTCCAATACGATAGAACTCCTGCTCCGGGGAGGGGGGTTGTTGTTGTTGGAGGGGCAAACAGGGCATCGTCACCAACGTACTTTGAAACCAATATGAGATTTTACTGATCAATTGCATGCACAAATCACCAGAACGATGATTGGATTGGGCAGTGATCGTTGCGCGACCTGAACGCTTCGAGGATTGGGCTGAAAGAAAGACCAAGACAGAGCAACGAAGAAGAAGAAGAAGAAGAAGCAAGAAAGTGGACACGGGCAGGGGGAGTGAATGAAAGGAGTGGAAACAATGACAACAAATGGAAGAGATGACTGACGTAGCGTCACACTGAATGCAGCGATAGGAGACGAGGGGAAGAAAAAAAAGAAATTGGAAGAAAGCGGATAACGAGAAGGACGAGAAGAGAGAAGTGAGGCGACGAGGAGGAGGAGGAGGAGGAGGAGGAAGAGGAGCGGAGAGAAGAGGGATGGATCGGGGGGAGAGGAGAGCGACGCGGTGGTGGTGCTGGTTGTTTTCCTTCTTATTCCTCGTGTTATTGTCTTATTATTATTGTTGTTGTTGTTGTTCGAGCCGGGAGTCGAGGTCTGATAAACACAGAGTCTCGCGGGAATGTCTCAGCTCTTCCAGCGCCGCCCGCCACCATCATCGCCCGTCAATGTTGACATTGGCATCCTTGCAGTGTGGGTGCTGCTCGTTGGCACGGCAACTCCGCCAACTTTCGAGCTGCCCCGGAGCCTTGGCGTGAAAATCTTCAAGGCATCGTCGCCGTCATCCACCCAACCGCAAAGCTTCCCCAGCACACGCCCGTTTCCAGACCGCGTGCTGCCAGCCTACCATGACCTCATTCTCCCACCTCTCCCGGCTGCGCATGTCCGCCTTTCTTCCCCATGTCTGTCTCCAGTGCCGGCTGAAGACTGTATCCTCGCTGCCTGCACAGTCTTCGGCGTCTTCGCTGTTGCAGGCAGTCAGACACGCATCCTCCGCCCGACCGCGACGTCGCACACCCTCTCGCATGACCCTCTCGCCCAATGTCGCCCAGTCCACTGTGAAATACGGCGAAAAGCGAAAGTCGGTCCGGCATCAGAACGGTCCCTTCGGCGGGATGAACCAGCGCCGTGCGAACCTGCGAGACCGCCAGCGACCGCGATCCCAGGCCGAGCTCAAGAGAACGTCGTTCAAAAAGGACAAGGATGGCTCTGAGAAGAAGCAGCCGGAGCTCTTCAAAGCGCTGAAGATGCAGACAGCCCTTTCGTCCGTGTCGTACGGTCGTAGAACCTCCATCAAGTCCAAGATCTCGAACATCACCAGCTTCGACCAATTCGATCTGCTGCCTTCCGTCCGCCAGTCCGTCTACGACAGCGCCCTGCCCGGTCTGGAATATGTCACGCCAACGCCCATTCAACGATTGGCCATACCCGCGATTCTCAGACAGGGCTCTGCTACCCCCAAACCCGAGGAAGGCCAGGAGGACATGCCGCGATTCGACCAGTATCTCCTGGCTGCCGAGACTGGCTCGGGGAAGACTTTGGCTTACCTGCTTCCGGTCGTGGATGCCATAAAACGTACGGAGGCTAAGGATAAGGAGGAAGAAGAACGAATGGCAAAGGAAGAACTGGAGAAGGAACAAGAACAAGCGAAGGAGAAAAACCAAAACCTGTTTGAGTTGGAATCGCCTGGAGAAGAAGAAGAGCCCATAAATGCTCCGAAGAGTGTGGTCAAACCGAAAGCCATAATCCTCGTCCCCACGTCCGAGCTCGTTGAGCAGATTGGCCGGATCGTAAAGCAGCTTGCCCACACCGTAAAATATCGATCCGCGCTCCTCGCTTCCAATTACACTCCACGGAAAATCAGAAAGACCCTCTTCAATCCCAACGGCCTCGACATCCTCGTTACCACCCCTTATCTCGTGGCCTCGATTGCTGAAGCCAATCCCTACATCTTCAGCCGCGTCACCCATCTCGTCGTGGACGAGGCCGACTCCCTTTTCGATAAATCCTTCTCTCCAAAGACCAACACCATCATTGACAGGACAGCTCCGACTCTTAAGCAGCTCATCCTCTGCTCCGCTACCATTCCACGTTCCCTCGATAATCGCCTTCGTGAACGATTTCCACAGATCCGAAGACTCGTAACCCCTAACCTTCACGCGATCCCCCGAAGGGTCCAGCTTGGTGTAGTGGATATTGACAAGGAACCGTATCGCGGTAGGAGACATTTGGCCTGCGCAGACGCCATCTGGTCCATTGGAAGGTCGGGGAACCCTTACGACGCCGACGTTGGTTACCAAGTCACCGGCCAAAAGGAGCCAAAATCCATAATTGTCTTTGTCAACGAACGAGAAACCGCAGCCGAAGTCGCCGAGTTCTTGGTAACTAAGGGCATCAACGCTGTCTCCCTTACCCGGGACACTTCGGAGAAGCGCCAGGCCCAAATCCTAGCCGAATTTACAACTGAAAAAAATCCGCCGCAACCAGAAGATTACAAAATGTTGAAAGGGAATCGATCTGACGATGATTCAGTTCCCTTTGTCAACGTCAGGCCAGGCAATGAGAGGTCCAATCGCCTGTCCAACACGAAGGTCCTCGTTGTGACCGATCTTGGTTCTCGCGGTATTGACACCGTTGCTGTTAAGACGGTCATCCTCTACGATGTCCCTCATTCGACTATCGACTTCATTCACCGCCTCGGCCGCCTTGGCCGAATGGGTAGGCGAGGTCGCGGTATTGTTTTGGTCGGCAAGAAAGACCGAAAGGACGTGGTCAGAGAAGTCAGGGAGGCCATGTACCGGGGCCAGGCCTTGATATAAGCTGGCGAATCACCACCGATCTACGATGCATATATATCACTAACATTCTGTTATTCCCTTCGTCCTGTATTACTATTTACTATAGATGGATGTAAAACTGCATGCCTGGTGTTTGGAGCACTGGTATTGACTGTATTTATAGATCTTGGATATCTAGCGGCTACAAATTGGGTTTACTGGTGGGAAGAAGTTGGAACGGAGTCAAGCGGTTTAAAAGAACATGACAATTTGATATACATAATACTTATATTTCCTAACCCACATTTTTAAGGCTAAGCGGAAGAAAATGCATGCTTTCACTTTGGATACTCTGGGGCGGAGATCAAGTGTCTATTCCAAAGAGGAAAAAAAAGCAAGGTTTTTGTTTGCCCTAGATCTAGGATTCCAGGTGTGACAAGCTTTCTCACTTAAGTGCATGATTTGATTTTTCAATAATTTGCTTGCAGCCTTTTGCTACCATTCTCGCCTGATGGCATTCGTTTCGTTTGGGCAACAGGGGCAATCCTTCCGCCGAGCAAACACGTCATTGAGCAAGCAGCGTAACTCGACTGCCCACGCCTCATCCGACTTATGAAGATGGACAATGCAATCATCTACAAGATTGTTAAAAGCCCGTCGGTGCCTTCTATCTGACACGGTCTCAGCGTGCATCTTGGGCCAGAGAAAAATTGGCGATATCCACTCCCTGCGCCGTTAGAATATGGGAAATATAATCTCTTGCATAGCGGAACTATCACAGGATGATGATCGCGGGTCTACAAGGAGCCACTGTAGCTGCTACAGCTGCAGACATCGGTCAAGACACCGGCGTCGCCGCAGATTGAGGGAGAACGGAAGCTGGAGACGGCGTCGTGACGACAGTCTCCTTGATAGCCTGGTGACTTCCGTGGCTGACTTCTTCAAGGCAGAGACAGAGCATACTAAAGCGCGAACCGAGCAAAGGAAAGCCAGAAGGAAAGAAAAGGAGCCAGAGCCAGCACAACCCTCTGTTGTTCCTCGTCATCTTCAAGCCCAGCAAGCGCCTCAGCTTCCACAACAATTTCCGCCTGCTCCTGCAGCGGCGGCGGCCGCGGCAGCACCGGCACAAATGATACAAGAAATGTATCAGCCTGCTGTTGCTGCAGGGGCACTGAGGGACAATATAGCATATCCAAACGCTTTTGCCATGGGTATTGGCAGCGGCGGGGCTGGTCTGATGGGCGGTAATGGTAAGTGTTACACCAAATTTGCACGCCGGTCGACGGTCGAGATACTAATCGAAACGCAAGGCAATCCGAATCGATTCGTCCCTGCAGCCCAGACGGCTTTCTCCCATCCGTGCATTGATGATCAAAATGAGGATACTTCCCCCTTGCGTCGCCATGGGCGTTACCTCAATCCTGACAGCTTTCATACCGCAAGGGAATTTTATCATATAGCACATTCACCAGGGCCTTCAGGGCGCAGGCGGAAGGGGAAAAGAGTAAAACGGTGAGTCTATCGTGTAGCATCGGTATGCTCCCTGCTTACTTTGGTTGCTCGTTTAGAAATGAAGCGCCGCCCGAGAGTGAAGAAAGTGAGTGGCCGCCTGGAGAGAAGGGATGGAGACTCCGAGCCAGGCAACCGATGAGGAGACCGGACGTGGGAGAGAATCTGTCAAGGTCTCCTGGAGTCGACCATCCTCCTCCACAGATACCTCCGCTCCACGGGGCTGCACGTAGAGAGCCAATGTAGCACACAAGATGCATGAAGGCTTTTAGGGAGAAATGATCAGTGAAAGGTGGGATGGGTGGCATATACTTCGGTCACATTCTGTGCCCGGGTAAGCTGTTGCTGTTATTTGTTTTTTTCTTTTCTTTCTTTCTTCCTTTTTTTTTTTTTTTTTCGGCTTTTTGTTTTTTTTTGGGGGGATACTCTTTGTCAAAGCAAGGCCCGCAAACAATTCAGGCACTGTAAAAGTTCATATTAAGTGTTATACACAAGTAGACAGCCGCAGCGCGTCAATTGTAGAGGCAAACAATCATCAAACCACTTACAAGTAGATATAGTTCCTAGAGCCAACAGTTTGACTGAAGTACAAAAATCCTGCTTGGACAAATCAGCAAGTAAATACCTGATTCCTTCTTCATCAAGCCCAGAAAAAATCACAACGTGTTCACACATACAAATCTTCCTTGCCAATACTGCGCTTTCTCGCTAAGGCCTGTTGGACCGTCCCACGACCGAAAACAATGCCATTCCTCACTGATGGTCCAAGTTCCGGGACGATCTCCACTTCCCCCGTGAGACCACACGCGAAACCCCTCAAGCGCATCGGCCGCACACCTCCAGAATTCTGGTCCAACAGAGATTGGGTGGAATCGCGCCGCCAGCGCTTCCTGCGTGAGCAGGCTCTCCAAAGAGCGAGCAAACAAGGACTCTCCGAAGCCAGCGTCAGGATAGAATTTCCAGAGGGCAGATACTGGCCTTACACCCCAAAATTTGATCAGGGGTTTGTGGACCATGTGTTGGATAATAGGTGGCGGAGATATGTTGACCAGTCTGCATGTGAGCAGCTTCAGGCCGCTGGGTATGAAGTGGGAATCGATGAGTATGGTAGGATAGTATATTGGCTGCCTCCGCCTCATGTGGTTTTTTGGGAGTAAGAAGGCAAGGAAGGACAGGAACTCTCAGCACCTTGGAAACAAAGGCTGATTCTATATTGCCATCGACGAATATGACCTAAGCCCAAAGTCGCACAAAGCATTCAATTCCGAATAAAGGTCCCATATATTCATACAAAATAGGCCGATTCACCATGTTCCCCCAAAGGATTTTTGCAGTTGCAAAAATCTAAATGCACAAAAAGATGCAAAATATTGGGTAATTCAATGGTCAAGAACCAGGTTATGTAGAAGTCTAGCAGCGGATTTTACTGCAATCATATTGCTAGACGTAAAGAACTCCTCGCACGCCTCAGTGACCTTGTAAGTCGTCTTTCGTCGCCGAACTCGCTTGCATCCGTTTCTGTCTTGTTCTCAGAAACGTCCGGCGTCGGACTGGTTGCATGGCTGACACCACGGCCTCGGCGCTGAACACGCGCTTCATCTTCCGTCCTCAAGAACCGGTGGATAGTGCGATGATCCATCACACGCTCCTCAGTATCATTCCGACCTTCCCTGTCGGTTTTAGGCCAACGATAGCCATATAGCTTGGAATGTCGTTCGCATCGTGGACATTCTTTCCGAGTGAGATAGGCGTCTCCTTGGACAAACCAAGCATTACACGTCTGGCAATCCACCCAGCGGTCATACCGCTGTGCAAGGAGCTTTGGAGTTTTCGTATAATCGCCCGGCGTTCGCGCTTTTGGGGCTTCATGTTCAATAGTGGGGATAATGCTACTTTTTCGTTTCCTCTTCTTCTTCTTAACAGGCTCTCGCTTGACAGCTGTCATTTCACGGTCATTGATTTCCCACGATGCAGAGAGGTCTGATAAGTCCGATTCATCATTATCTCGGATAATGTCTTGAACGTGTAAACCATGATCTCCCGAAATGGTCTTGGGGGCGGTTTCAGATGAGGCCCTGGGTTGCTGCTCCACTGTAGGTTCAGTTTTTACCTGCACATTTGAATCGCTGATCGATGTGGCTGATGTTGACCTCGTGGAAGTAGGTGCCTCGTCATCCGGACATAAACTGCAGGAAGTTTGGTCGCTCGAAGACGAGGCTGAGATGAAATTCGAATGGGGTTTCTGAAAGTGTCGTAGGTCAGATTTACCGGCCAACGAAGCGAAGTGACTTCTCAACGCACGTAAGCCGCCGTTAACCGTGATCAAAGGCTCAGCAATAGGGTCAGGGCTGCTTGGAGGGGAAATTTCTAGTCGTAGATTTAATATGTTTTCGAACTTAGGCCTTTTTGAAGGCATATCTTCTGACGGGTGTGAAGGAGATTCGGGAGGGCTTTTTCTCTTCTCGGAGCCTGAGGAACTTTTCTCCTGGTGTTCAGTTGTTTCTGGTGTGGAGGCACGACTATCGTGTTCCGGCGGGCCACCTGGGGACCATCCATTGCTCAGGGAAAGTTCGCAAGTATGGCAGAGGCATTCGCAATTATCTACCCCGAAGTAATTTTCCCCGTATGATACAGTAATCTCTTCGCCGATGGATATGTCCCTAATGGCCACGATTTCCATGCCTTCTGAGCCCTTTGTAACCAGCCGAGCGTTGGGATTGCAGTCATGATTCGAGAATCTCGCTGGTCCAAGGAAAAGCGATGGTGTCTTTTTCCTACTTGACATGACAATACTGAAATCTCGCCTTGTCAGGTCGAGGGTCTTTTCCTCCTCAGGGGTAATTGCGACGAGGGTCCCCGAAAGATGCTTAATAGTGTCACCAGTGCGTATAAATTTCCTGGCTGACAGCGCAGCCTCATGGGTAGTGATGGTGTAGCGGTTCGTAGTCGTGACTTCGAAAGGGCAGTCGGGGAGGTAAATTGCAATATATTTTCGAAGGTGGCGACGGAACCATTCCTTCTCCTTGTCAGATTTGAGCGTCTCAACATATTTTCTGAGGCCCGAGAGATTCAGCAATGACTTTTCCGCCTTTATCACGTCTTTGGCGACGATAACGTCGTGCAGCAATATCGAGGTGACATCGTCCTCCACAACCCCCCGAACGGCAAAGTATTTGGGTCGGTTCTTACGAATCTTGGTCCAGAAAAACGCCTACATAATCAGCTGTCAGAGCGAATTACTGTGTTACGGGGCAAGAGTCTCACGCGATCGACCAACGCGTCGGTGACAATGTCATCGTAAGCCGCAAGCTGAGCAAGGGTCAACTTTCCTTTCTGCTTTGGCGGTGGAGTAGGTGCCATTAGGGTAAAAGGAATGCAAAGAGTGCCAATGAATATCTATCCATGAATTGAGCATGTAAATGGCAACTATAGTTCTATAGAGGCTCGAAAAAACATATGGAAAGGAGGTCTGGGAAGGCAAGCTAAAGCGGGAAGAAACACCATGCGCCGAACACAAATAGAGGATGTTACAGATCAAGGAAGACGATTAAGCTCCAGAAGAGCTCAATCATTGTAGAGGGCGCACGCATGCGAACAAGCAGCGGTGTTGTCCTCATCCAATAACCCAAGAATGGTGCGCTCTGCTCCTGTACCTCGACGGGCGCGAAAAAGGGCGCTGCTCGACACGGAGACGGGAAGCGCTTTTGAGTTCGGCGTAACATTATGTCAGCAGCCAGCCACGGAACACGGCGAATGTAATTGTCCGTTGTTCGATCCTCCAATTGACGCTCTTCGCAAAGCTCCGAATTTGACGACGGCGAGCTGCAAACACGAGGTTTATCCGCAGTGCATGATGCTATCAAGATGAGTATACAGATCAAGGCAAGTAACGTGTGCTTCCAATGCTATGTTCCGGTGGGTCCCATACTCACATGCCCTTTACAGACGCTATTAAACTGTATCGACAATTCCGGTGCCGCCGTTGTCGAGTGCGCCGCCGTCCTGAAGAAGAAAGGAGCAGCGACAATCGGTTAGTCCTACATCTGATCGACTGGAATACCCACCGGATACCTAACCTCTTCCTTGCGATAGGTGACCGGATCATCGTCGTAGTGCAAAAGCAGCGTAACTTTGGATCGGAGGCCAGCGGTGCCAGCACGGCCATCGCAAACAAAGTCCGTCGCGGAGATGTCAGACACGCCGTTGTTGTGAGAGCAAGGCAAAATATACAAAGACCGGATGGTAGTTGCATCAAGTTTGATGACAATGCATGCGTCCTTATCAACAAGTCTGGGGACCCGATCGGGACGAGATTGAACGGTGAGCTGGTCTCTTCCACATGCCGATTACACTTCACAACGCTGCTAATACCATGACATAGGAGTTGTTGGAGCGGAACTACGGAACAAAAAATGGTCGAAAATATTATCTTTGGCACCAATGCATGTGTAAAATACCGCGGCGCACATTTATGGGATATTAGAATTCTTTTCAATGTATTTTTAGTCCGGGGAATGTAGCATCGTCATGACCATTTATATACCCATCCATTTCAAAACCAAAACTCCTATCCAAAACGCCAATATATGTCGATCGAAAAAGAAAAGTCCGTCTTGTCGCTTTGAGCGTCATCGATAAAATCATCATGTGAACACCTTTCCGCATGCACAGCAAACGTAGTACAATTTCTATGGACCAAGAGATCGTATTAGATGACCTGACACGTAGACCATAACTGTTTGGGGCTATCAAAGGTATCTCACCATTCCTGTCTCCGCTGACCGTTGTTGTGACTGAAAGAACACCGCCTCGTTCTCTCCGCAGCTTGGGCAAAGTCTATTTGACCTCGGCAGCTATCGAAAAGGCGTAATCATTAGCAACAGTGCCCTTTTATAGTGATAGGGGCATGTTTGAAGTGGGATCATCATCATCATCATCATCATCATTATTATTCTTCTTCTTCTTCTCCGTCCTCTTCTTGGTCAAAAAGCAGGAAAGTCTGGTTGAGGAGGCTTATGTGATAGGTGGAGCTGGCAGATTGTTCGGGCTGCTTATGGGCAATCTGCTCTCCGCAGATGAGTGCAGAAAGGGATACCAACCGTAGGATCAGATCCAACATCCTGAGTCACACCGGCTGTGTCGCCTACTTGGCTGTTGAGTTTGTTCTGGTAAACGCAGTGAGAGGTGGCGGGTTCGCCGACATGGCAAGTGCGGCAGGAAAACATCAATGTATTCGTGGCACGATCTTCTTTGGGGTAAAGAAGGTTGGAGCTAAGAGGATAAAAAGGTCAGTGGATGGCGCGCGACCATATAGCGAGGGACGAATTTCTTACCATTCGCGACAGAAGCGGAAATGAATCTGGTCGACGCCTTGAGACTGGTCTCCACCAGTGGTAGACGAGGGAGAAGCGGACATTGTGGCTGGTGGGGTTCCGATGCGAAGATGCAGTGGAGGGGGCTATAGGAAGCTAGAGGATGTCAAAAGAGAAATCAAACTGTGCTCTGTATTAGTAGGACTCTGACGCGATCCTGGAGACTGAAGGAGTGAGAGACTAGAAGCGTGATGGATTGCTTGGGGGGGGGGGGGAAGCCGCTTGGCTGGATGCGGACAAGCGCGGTGCACGGTCCCCTCAGCCCTACCTACTCACCTTTGGAGCAGCCAACGTTCACTGACGGTCACCTGTCCATCCTCAGGAGCACAAGCACCCTCCCGTTCGCCCTAGAGAAGAGATAGAGATAGCAGTGAATGAGATAGGGAGCACAGCAGAGATACCCCATTCACGCAGCTGAGGATAATAGAAGCCGGTCACTACATAAATAGTTGCTGAACATTCCCTTCTCTCAATTGCTGGCCAACAATTGCCTACCGTTTGTTGACAGTAGAAACCATGGTGAGTTCCTGATGATTTACCTGCGGGAGTCCGCTCCCTAGGTCGATCAAAAGGACTGTATTGGTGACTGTTCATAGGCAGAGTCGGGGCTTCCTCCAGGATGGGAAGTTCGTCATTCCAATTCGAAGAAGTTGCCCTACTACTTCAACCCACATACTAAGGAATCGCGCTGGGAGCCTCCTGCTGATACCGACACGGAGAAGCTGAAGGTGTACATGGCCACGTATCACAGTGGCCCGCCAGATCGCTACACAGGCTCCAGCCAAAAAGAGGGCCAAATCAGGGCAAGCCATCTGCTCATTAAGCACCGAGACAGCCGCAGGCCGACCAGCTGGAGAGAGGCGAACATCACGCGTTCCAAGGAGGAGGCGATTGAAATTCTCAATGGCCATTTGCAGCGCATTATGTCTGGAGAGGCGACCCTCGGGAACATTGCGATGACTGAATCGGATTGCAGCAGCGCACGGAAGAAGGGAGACCTGTCAGTGACGCATTGTCCTTCTGCCGTAATATATGCTTACCATGACACAGTGGATTCTTTGGCCGTGGAGTTATGCAAAAGGAATTCGAAGATGCATCATTTGCTCTCAAACCGGGGCAGATCAGTGGAATTGTGGAAACACAGTCTGGAGTCCATCTTATTGAAAGGTATGTATATCAAGGATTTGTTGCTGCACAATAGAGTCCACTGACCTGGAACAATAAGGATTGAATGAATCAATGAGTCTACTTCACATGTATCTAGGATGCTATACCAATTCAGAACATTGTTTGGTCCTCATATGCCCCTAGTGTCCGATGTCTTTCGGCCTATTCCAAATCCAGTGTTTTCAAAACGTTATGCTAGCATCAAAATCGTCGCAGAAACCAACCCCCTCTATTCATTGTGTTTTCCCTCCTGTTTCATGCTGTTGCTTTATCTCTATATCCCACAAACAAAAATTGAAATATCTGTTGTTAGGCATAATCCTGGTTTACTCTTCAATCTGTGGTCTTAATATCCCCCCTTAGGACACCATAGACCTACTCTGAAGAGGGGTTTGACCATGGCTGAAGAAGAGAACCACAGCCTCCCTGTAAGTTATTCCTCTCTCCCTCCGTCGTGCCATGTTTATGGTCTTCGGCTCAATTTTCTTCAGATGGCTGGAGTCGCGAACAGCCCAAGCGGCAACCAGATGCAACCAGGAAATAGTGGAGAGCTCTCTGCGCCTCTTGTTTCGGGTGGAAATGGGATGTCTCCGGGGCCTCAGATCGGTGATAATATGCAACGGGATGACTTACCCATTCCAGATCTCGGCACTGAAACTTTTTTGAATATGAGCGACCAAGAGTTTCTCGCTATGTTCGAGAGCTTCAATAATACCGGGTACCAAGCAAATCCGAACCCCATTGCGGAGCTTCCAGCTGCCAATATCGATCCCCCCTCCCAGCCAAATATTGGGTTTATACCTCAAGCCCCCACTCCCGCCCAGGGCAATCCGAATGAAATGCCGGGCCAACATACAAGCGTTCCACTTACTGGGAACTTTATCCGAGCAAACGCCCCATTGGGCCCGGCACAGACAGGTATTCCACCACACACAAGCATCCAAGCCATTGATGCGCAAGCCAAAGCTATGGTCAACACCATGGCGTACATTCGGGTCCACAGTTTGACTGGATGGGACTTTCTACGCCAGCAGCACAACCGATCACTGCGGTTCTATGCGGGATGCCTCAAGAAACCTGCTCAAGAAGGGAAAAGAGACTGGGAACGCTACCTGGAGGAGATGCGGCTGACGTATAACATGTTGAGAGACTACCAGATGCAAGCGTATAAATCGATCTGTGGATCGTTGAAAATCTGGCTCCGTTATTACTCTACCATCCTCCAGACTGACACCCTTGAAGGTTGCACCAAAGAGTTTCGCGATTATGCAGAGCTCCAACAGCAAATTGTCGAATATCGCTTCCCTGAATGGCATGATCATCCGGCGCTGGACTTCTTGCGCAGAGACGCTCAGAGACATGCCGCGTAGTCTTTGATTCGTGAGAAGTTGGCGGTAAGTTCCTCGCGTGTTGCTACTTCCCGTGATTCTTTCGAATGCTAAGTTAATGGTACGGTAGGATCCTAAGCATACTATTGAAAACGCAAGGATCCCGCTGAGTGAGCTGGTATCGGATACAGCCTGGATTTCCTTTCTTGGGAGTATGAACGGGCGGAAGGTATTCTGCGGTCTTTTTCATAATAAAAGTTCTCTTTTAGTTTTAGTTCTTGAATCCAATGTCGACTCATATTCCTTTAGCTCCTTTGTGATTCCATGGGATGTTGCCGCGAACTAGCATGCTGCAGGTGTTTTCCTGCAGAATGGTTTCTGCTCTGTCCCTTCTCGAGGTTATTAGCACATCACTTTCTAGTGAGCTACAAAGCAAGGCTAGGCCCTGTTACCAAAGCGGGTTTTCCTCGTGATTCTCGAAGTGCTATCATTGTTTACCTCTACTTGTTTGTGTTTGTATTGAAACACGTTCTACATTTCAGGACGCAGTAAATCCTGACGATTGTCGCACGTCGACAACGTGCTCCTTTGGCTCTTGCTTTCCTCCTGTAAAGCAAAAGCGAGAGAAAGGGCAGACATTCCCTCAAACCTTTCTCCTTCCCTTGCATACATCCTCATTTCCAAGCGTCAACAAAAATGCATCACAATCAAGTATACACTGCGCCCTTGGGTTCGACCTCAGCACCTGTCGTCAGCGGATCCTCCCTCCCCCAGCACCTTTCGTTCGTCATACCCCTCGAGATCCGCTGTGCTTTCAGTCAAGCTTATCACGCTGCGGAAAAGGCCCACGACCAGTTCAGAAAACTCCACAAAAACATCAAGAACCGTTTATATCTGCTCTGTCCTACGGATAACGCCATCCGCTTTCAAGAACACTGTTCCGCAATCAACCGTTTACAGGCCTGGGGGAGAGATGGCATCGAGTACTCACGCAGGTTTGAGATCGGACAAACGCTCGCTCCCGCAGCTAAGATTCCTTCTTTTACCTTGAAGTTCCACGTCGAAGAGAGCGCCTACAAGGCGTATCAGGAGCGTCACCAGACCACAAGAGACGCTTTCTTCAGGGGTGCGTTGGCGTATTGGAAGGAGTGCAAACGTCACTGCGAGCTGCTGCTGCATCGTTCCACGATATCTGTAATGGATAAAGAGATGTGCTGGGACTGGTGGCGGAAGTTCCTCGCAGAAGTCACGAAGTGGGAGGCGAGGGTGGATGATTTGGTCGTGCCCGACTGGCCTATCGTGCTGGAGGAGTTGACGTCGTTGGTGGAGGAACGGGCCGATTTGGAGGACGAATTTCTCTGAGCGGACAAAAATCTGAACGCCTCAAAGGTCGTCTAGAAAAGGAGAAAATGGCTGGAGTTGGGCGCGTGCAACCCCTGGTCTTTGGCTTTTTGCGGTAATTTTGGAGTTTATTACAACATTGGGATCTTGAAAACAATACTTGGAAGAAAAGCCGTTAGAAATAGGCTGGAATCTGGCAACAGTGGACTATTCCAGGTGACAGAATAATGAAATTAGGAGAGGAATAATGGAAGGCATTCAAAGTTTGTCCATGGTGATGTTGGATTAAAAATAAGTGGTGGAATACCAGGCCAAAGCAAAATTTTTCCTATGTTCAATTGATACAGATACAGTAGTGTTTTCAGTAAGAACAGATGCTGAGTGTCATCACAGAACATATAGGCAGGGAATCTCAGCCCTGTTCACTTAAAGCTGGCCCATGGTGTCTTGACATTATACTTGCCGTGAAGGCGGCCATTCTGTAATCCATGACACCAACGCACTCAATCAGAGGGTATACGGATGCGGGACAGGCTCTGTGCAAGGTCCAAATGGCACGCATATGCAACTGACCAATCAAAGGGATAAGTAGGTGGTTATGTCGGTAAGGAGGACAAACTTGAAATTCTAGGGCACAGAAGACTCAGAGCTCGGGCATGCTGGTGCTCAACCGTTCCAGTCGTGATGTTATAGCGTCAATGACAGCAGCTCTAGATTGTATCACCCTATTAGTCACAATAAATGACAGGAGGAGCTGGGGCAACATACTCTCTTTCAACCATATTCATCGCATCTGCAACTTTCGCCTTCTGTAGTCGTGGCGGAACATGCAATGGACTTGAACGCGCGTCGATACGGGTGGGGGTAGCTTCATTGGAATTATCGGAAGACCGTTTCGATTCAGATACAAGTTCCTTAGCCAAAGATTTCGCCTATAACCAACACTATCAGTAAAAGGGCCGGAATAATATCATCAACATAGCGGCTTCATACGGTTTTGAGTCTTTCAAGCAATTCGGTTCTTTCATCGCCATCAGCTCCTCCGAGTGATTCTGTTAGTGTATCGACCTCTCGAATCCAACCCTTTTCTTTATCACTTATTGGCCGACCGCCAGCCCTCAATAGTTTGCTCCGAAGAGAGTTATATCGCAAGATTAACTCTTTTTGCTTGGACTGAACGGCGGCCATCCTCGAATCAAGAGCTTCTTCGCGGCCAGCTATGTCAGGTCGTTGGACTCGCCGAACAGTTCCCCGAGAGACATCATTTATTCTTTCTGCAATATCCACCAGCTGGCACAATTGATCGCGCATCTCTCCTTGCAATCGCTCGCATCTTCGGAAAAGATCTGAAGCGGCTTTTTCGAGAGCGTGAGTATATGCACTGAGGATCCTATGAGCACTGGTTATGACATCGAGAGTTGATGGCGACAAGCGAATGGGATCTTTCAAGGCATGTCTGCGACCATGGGGTACATGATCGTTGATAAACGTCTCTAACGGGGTGATAGAGTAAAGAACCGAAGGGACTTGGTACGGCGCACGTTGAGGGATACCCATGTAAGCCTGATGAATGTTGATATCCGGTTCAACGGGGATGAGATCTTGGGCGCTTTCCAAATCTCCGGTTGCTGCCGATTCCAGAACCAAAGCAGAAACCTGAGACGGGGCATAGGTGAGTAGCATATAACCTAAATCGAAATCGTACATCACCGAGCTGTTCGTGAGGTGCTCATGACTGTCATCTCTAGACTCTGGAAGTTGAATAAGCTGTTCTCGTTCAGCAATGACACCGTCACAGATAATATTGATGCGGAAGGATGATCCGGTTGTATCTTCGGATTGTAACTCTGGCTCAATTCGCTGCGCCCAAGAGGACAGGGAGATAAACGTAACACTGTTAGCAGTAGTCACAAAGAAATTATACCTTGATACGGCATCTCCTGCGAATGTAGGCCAAGAGTTGGCCTGATAATACTTTTCTCTTACAGTCTCTAAGGACTCAAGCAGCAAGAGCTCTGAAGCTTCCGACACGGGCATGGTGAAGGTTCCCTGGCCCTTTCTCGGGAGCCATTGCCCCTCAATTCCATCCATTTCAAGAGCTATATGAACCATGCCCTTTTCGGTCGCGAGGCAAATAATGGTCCCTGATATTCCCTCTTGTTTATTCTCACCAAGGAGATCTCCATCATCTTCACCTGCTAAGAGGTCTTCGGTTTCCGACTTAGCAGCGATCACAAAGATATCCGTTATATCAAGATCATCCGGCTCCTCCTCGATGCTGAACTGAAATGGGCCTTGAAGCCTTGGTATAGGGCTGGGTTTTGTTGGCCGAGATCGGATTTCCGAAAATCCGGACTCATCTGCTAGTGATATCGGGTCTTGACTGTCGATATCTTGGAGCCATGTATACTGCTGTTCAACAGCTTTCCGTTCATCATCATCCTTAGACATATCCTCTTGTGCAGCTGCCAATTTATGGACTATTGATGCAGTTAAGCATGGAATAGCCAGCGACGGAGAGCGCCACTTCGACGGTAGAAGAGGGCAAAGCGCATAGACATCTCCCTGTCTCATTGATATCCACAGTGTCATTGGTGCCCACGCATTTTCGTCATCGTACCCGTGACCACCAAAACATGCTGATGCGGCTTCCATGTCAAATATGTCGGCAGAAAATCCTTTGTTCTGACCAAACCCTGAGGGTGCGAAATCTTCTTCGGAAGACGTCCCATCAACTAGCTTTTTCAAATCGATAGCAAGAGCAGGGCGATCAAAGGACCAGTGGTCTCTCCGGTCAACCTCCCAAACGCGGACGGCGGAGTCTGCAGTGACTGTAATGATACATCCTCCATAGCTATCATACACTCCCAAAGGGTGCCAAAGTGCGCAAATGACTGGGGATTCAGGGATGACATGCGTGGCAGGGCCAAGCTGGTATGTCCTCAGCCGTAGAGGGGAGAAATCCGGGCCTGACAGGTGAGACGAGTCTGGTAAAATGGCAACATGGATGGTATGGGCCGTAAGGATGGCGAGGAAAGCTCCATTCGGTGAAATGACGAGTTGTCGTATTTGTCCATATATCGGCGCAGTAAGAACCTAGGGAAGTTAGGGACAATTATTAACACTCCAGAACAAGCCTAACACACCCTGTAGTGCGACGAGCTGTCTGCGAAACTCGTCCCGTCATCGCCCGTGTCTGTCACAGCTCCCTTTCCATTTAAGCCGCCATTTTTAGGTATTCTTATAGAACCAGAGAACGAACTTCCTCCATCCGTAGATCCAAAGCCTGTCTCTTTTCTCTTTTGCCTCACTCTTTCCTGCCACTGGTCTTTTAGCAGGGAAAGATTTGCCCATCGAATCTGATTATCCACCACGGCGAATACTTCAGTGCCCCTCCGCGCTAAGATTTTGATCGGTCCAAAGTACGACTCGGTATCTCTCTCGGCATACTTGTTCGAATTCGAGCTCGAGAAGAATGTAGCGCCTGGGGAGGGCCTGGACAGCCAGGCAGGCGCGTAGTCTACTACTCGCGGCATCGTGGGCCGGCTTAGAAAATTGCGAAAGGATTGTCAGTGTCGGTATTTCGTCCAAAGCGAAAAGAATTGTAGTTAATTCAGGTTCGCTGATATCAAGATCATGACAATAAGAAAATATGGCTCTGCCGTTTCATGTTGTTAATCCCCCGTTCGGAGCTTGAAGTTGGTTGCTTTTTCTGCGGAGCACGTCGTAACTGCTCAAGCTTGGGTTGAGGCCACACGCGCCAAGCCAAGAGCTCTCACGAACGAAAACACCAGCTTTGACTTACGCAGAGACAAACATCCAAATGTTGCCCCCTCAATCGTCATTGTCGATGGAGCAAAGAAAGATGAGGACGACTGTCGAGAGGCTGGATAAACCCAGCACGTATTATTTGGGAAAGGCAAGTATTCAATGCGACCCTATACGTTCTCGCGCCAACTGCTAACTTGCCGCCGGATAGAATAAGAGACGAAAACTGGGTCAAGGTCGGGAGGAGCCTGACGAGAAGATTGAAGCCGAGGACCCTTTAAAGGATGCCACTACTCTTTACGTTGGGAATTTGTGCGTATACATGATAAGCGTTTACACTGAAAGGAGAAGCCTGACCTCCTATTCTTGTAGATCCTTTTACACGACTGAAGAACAAATTCACGAACTTTTCGCCAAGTAAGATCAGACCTGCGACTTCAAAAGTGATGAAAGAGGTACTGATGCCTGGTGAGCAGATGCGGCGAGATCAAGCGACTAGTGATGGGCCTTGACCGATTCGCAAAAACTCCATGCGGCTTCTGCTTTGTTGAATATTACACGCATCAGGATGCCCTCGACTGCATGAAATACATTGGAGGCACAAAGTTGGATGAAAGAATAATCAGAACTGATTTGGACCCTGGATTTCAGGAAGGAAGACAATATGGGTATGCCCTTTCGACCAGAGACCTGGAAGATCATTGCGCTTACAGTTTCAAACAGTCGGGGTAAGTCTGGCGGCCAAGTGAGAGACGAATACAGAGACGAATACGACCCTGGCCGCGGGGGATACGGTCGTGCAATCGCAGAAGAGAGACGCCGGGAGGAAGAACAATATGGAAGAGGCAGGTAGGCTGTGTGGGTTTCCAGGGTTACTGGCGCAAAAACGGCGTAAGACACAAACAAATACGGGTTACAATTCATAATTCAACCAAATTCTATCTGATGTCCAAACACAGTGTACAGGAAAAAAAAAAAAAAATTCTATATCCGTTTAAAGATTCTATCGACAAACCAGTGTTAGGTTTGAGCCTCCATAATGCGAGTCTGTTCCACAGCATTCTTCACTTGCCGAAGCCACCACATATGGATTCGCGGATCTTCTGTCAACTCGGGGTGAAAACTTGTACCAAACACGTTTCCCTGCCTAACAGCCACGATATCGCCAGCGTCCGAGTCAGTCGTGACATCCACACCGCGGTCCGCCAATCTGGCCGCTCTTCCAGGGAGTTTTGCAAGCACATCCACATGGTCGCTCATAGCTCCCTGCGCTACAACACTCTCTGGATGGCGCGACGGCGCAATTACTGTCCCGTCCTTTCTCTGCTTTTCAGCTTGTATAGAGTCGCCGCAGGTAAGGATCTTCTCCACCACTGGTGCTCGAATAAATACGCCCTGGAACGGTTGCGGCAGCTCGATATCATCCAGAGAAGAGAGGAAGGGCAAATCAAGGCTAGCCTGGAAACTCTCCGTTTGACGACCGAAATGGTTTCTGTTCACACGTACATCGAGTCCTCCGATAAGTTCCTGGCCACCTTGCTTCGTTCTATTTGCCGACTCAGCCAAAAGGATCAACCCAGCACAGGTTCCCCACGTTGGCTTTCGGCGAATTCTGCCAACGGCCTATTAGTTTCAATTGAAGAGGCTGGATGTTACGATTTGTTCTTCCCACGTACTTAACAAATTCCCGCAGCGGTTCTAGCAGGTTTGACCGCGCAGCTACCAGTGCAATGGCAGTGCTCTCGCCACCAGGGATAATCAGGGCATCACAGCTCTCGAGCTGCGACGGAGTTCGAACTTCAACGAAATTCCATGATTGAGGTACACTTGCTGCCAATCTCTTCGCGGCTTCCTGGAGCAACTTCAGATGTTCAATGAAAGCGCCTTGAAGGGCGAGAACCCCAACTGTAATAGTCATTGCATGATCCCCTTGGTGTGTGAGTCGACGGTGTGCTCGGCGCTTTCTCGACGCGGGACTTAGAAGATGCTGCGCCAATAACCGCTGTCGGATTTATGTCGGGCCGTAACATTAGATTTCTATCACGTGGTAGCTAGTTAGTTCCAAAGGCGGGGCTTAAATTTAAGGTTATCTATCAACTGATAAGATGCTGTCAAACCACCGACCGGTGATAGCGGATGCGTTTTCGTTTCGCAGTCGAGGGCGCGTGGCCGCGAGAACAGGAATGGCATCCTCTGCGGAGGAAACCAAAGAGCCATGCTTGTCCCGTGGACTGACACGATGGTACATGGACATGCGAGGTCTCTCAGCCAGCACCTCGTCTCTTCCACTACTCTTCACTCTCCAGCCGGATGACCAGGAGGCGGTGAAGAGGTTCTATCATCTGGCGGATAGGCACATGTCCCTTGCATCATGCTTGCTTAAATATCTCTTCATTCATCGCACATGTCACGTCCCGTGGAGTAGGATAGTTATCAGTCGAACTCCTGCACCCCACAAAAGACCATGCTATATCCCATTACCCTCCGCGGATGGCGGTGAGAACAAGCTACCTATTCTCAATGTGGAATTCAATGTCAGCCATCAGGCTTCGCTTGTAGCATTGGCCGGCTATATTATCCCCGGAGGCTCTCCAACCAGTGCTGCCTCCGCTACGAATACACAATCCATACCATCGCCCACTGAAACGCCTGCCACACCACAAGTCGGCATCGATATAACGTGTACAGACGAACGCGCCAGGCGCGGCAAAAGTTCAATCCCAACAACTGAAGTAGATCTATGCTCCTTCATAGACATCTACGCTGAAGTCTTCTCCCCCCGAGAAATAGAGATCATGAAATCTAACCCGACTTCGCAACATTCACAAGCTGCTGTGCCTCTTAGCCTTGAGGGATCGATTCAATACCGTCTGCGCCGCTTCTACACTTACTGGGCGCTGAAAGAAGCATACATAAAAATGACTGGCGAAGCACTGCTCGCACCATGGCTGCGGCAATTAGAGTTCGTCAACGTCAATCCGCCGGAGCCGGCGATGGACGGGGAACGGCCGGCATGGGGCTCACCTCGGACGGATGTGCAAGTGTGGATGTATGGGCAAAAAGTGGAAAATGTGAGGATCGAGACCGTTTCTTTTGGGAAAGAGTATGTGGTTGCGACGGCGACCAGAGGGCCGGGACTTGGCACTGGTCTCGCCACATGGGGTGATTTTAGGTCTATTGATATTGACGCCGACGTTGCTCCGTGTGCTTTGGGTAAATGCCAATGCCCCAAATGAAGGGGTTTTCGGGTTATATTGGATGGGTGGATTGTATGAAGTTTTGAGATTGATATCACTCAATCTACATCTATCTGTGAAGTACATACAAATACATATTACCCGGCATCTGCATGTTATCTCCAAATTATGTAGCTATGCGTATGCATGCAACCTTCAAGCCGAGATTAAGAACGGGTCATCCACGTCCTGATAAACTTTGGACTGACGTTCACGAGATAGGTGGTGCTCTAAATTTAGAACCATAAAGGGGATATGAAAACATATAATGGTATTAAACACAGGTGTTGGGAAGGGGAGAAGAGAGAGCAAAAAAAAAAAAAAAAAAAAAAAAACCAAAGCGCCGATGCCATGCGAAAGTCGTCTATTATATTCACGTCACTTGTCTTCAGCTCTCCATTTTGGTATCAAGCGAGTCATCGAGTCGTCCACGTCGTGTCCTTTCTATAGTGTAGAAGCAGGGGGTCGAGGTAACTGGCCGTGGCGCGTTGCCCCGTGCGAGTCGGATAGAACACCGCCGTGTTCGATTAAAAGGTAAACTTCTATAGCAGATATCGAATATTTATATTTCGACGGCGCTGGACTGGCCGGCGTGCGGCTGGGCGGGTTTGAATGCTGTTCCGTTCGCTAGTGCCTCCCTTGACTTGTGCATTTCCATAAGAGTCTCGAGCATAGATTCTCTAGTTTTCACTGCGAGGTCGTCGACATCAGCGGTAGTCAGGCTTTTAGTGCTAATGGGCGGGAGCACTAGTTCGATCATGTTAGTTCGGCAAATCTAGTGCAGTCTTGGAGACGAATGCACCAACCTTTGATCTTGATGTCACCAGCATCAAACCTCAGCTTCTTGATATTCAACACATGCGAGTAATTCTCCACTACAATCGGCACGATATCGACGCCTGCCTGCACCGCCAGATGGAAAGCTCCCTTTTTAAACGGCAACAAGCACGGTTCCGACGAATAACTCCTCGTTCCCTCCGGAAAGATGAACACGCTCTGCCTCTGCTTCCGCATCTGCTCCGCCGCACCGTCAAACGCCTTCAGCGCCGTCTGCCGATTCGCACGATCGATAAACACCGTTCCGGAGAGCGCCATGAACCATCCTAAGAAGGGCACGTTCCTCAGGGACTTCTTCGCCGTCACGCTGCAGTAAGGAGGAAACACGGCGCCGAGCATCAACACATCCAACTCCGTCTGGTGGTTCCCGATAAACACAGCAGGCCGCGTGGACAGATGCTGCTTTCCTTCCACAATGTCAAAGTACGTCCCTGTGGTCAACCACATCACCCATTTGAAACTGCGGGCCACGGCCCACTGCGAAACCTGGCCATAGCCGGCTACCCTGAGGACTATCGATGCGAAGACTCCGTATGTTGCGCAGACGAGTAAGGAGGCGTACGCGGCGAGGCAGCGAGCGAAGAAGCCGGCCCGTGGGGCCTTGATGGAGAGGCCGAAGAGGCCGACGGTGAGAGCGACGTAGGACGTCAGTCCGGAGACGACATATGAAAGAATGGACATCCTTTTTTCTTTTTCTTTTTTTTTTTTAAAAAAAATTTTTTTTTAGCTGCGATCGGAGTGAACCAATCGCCAGGAGAGAGACTCGAGGCTGGGAAAGGGGAAAACTACTCCGTTGAGTGGCCGGAGCGAGGTTTGGGGGTTCCCGAAAAAAAAATTTTGGGGTGAATTTTCCTCCCCAAGCCGTGGCGTGCCAAATGTTGAGAGACGACGTCGGAACGGCTCATGAAGCGATTAAGGAAAAATATGATTCTGTCCCCTTCCTACATTCTCTCACGGCATGGTACCTTTGTTGGCGAATATAATTCTACGCCCGTCCAACTTCGAGGATAATATATTTGTTAATTGTAGCCTGCTTGCAATCTCGGCCTGCAGCCCATCTGACCTCTCCAGAACTCATGATCAGTCCAAAGACGACCACCTCGGCACATGGGCATTTTCCCCGAAGCTTGCAAAACAGGATCTAAACCATCACCGTGTATTTCTTGCAGACCACCTGCATGGTGACTTTGAGATTTACCCCGGCTCAATTAATGATAAGTGGGTATAGTCAAGTGATAGATACAGCACATTCTTTTAGGATCCAGGACACCCAAAGCCCCAGCGCCTCCGGAGCAAAGGTCGAGGAAGCACCGGGTCAAAATGATGAAATAAAATACTATAGAAGGGTCACGACGCTCATGAAAAGAGAAAACGCTGCAGAAACTAGCTCTCACCAGAAGCTGTCGAAAAAAAGTTTCAACGCCTGTCCCCAAGGGCTCCAACCACATGCTCATGCTCAATGTCACCTTATTTCCAACGCCAATGCATAGACAAAAAATGGCTGTTTGCACAATCGAGCCCCGTGATAGCCGTCGGCCGCGATCCGCCATCGGAAGCAAGTCGCCGGATTTGTGTAAAGGAAAGAAACGGAGGGGATGGGGCAACGACGGTATCGAACGGACTAGATTGGGTTGTAGGAATGAGTCCTAGCTCATATCATCATCGAAATCATCGGGGCTATCCAACGACTCCATGGCATCTTTGATAAACTGGGCGGCCTAAAGCCAACGGTTAGTTTCAAAGTCTTCTTCATAGACACTTCAACGCTTCTGGATACCTTTGGATCCAAGTTCAAGGCAGTTGTGAAATGCTTAATCGCATTGCTTTTATCATGCATCATTTTGTAGAACTTGCCGAGAAGATAATGGACATTAGGCTCATCGGGTGCAATATCCTTCAAGATTTTTAATTCTGCGTGAGCGTGTTTGACTTCATGAAGTTTCAACAGAGTCCGAGCCTTGCGCAACCGTGGAACAACCGCCTGTGGTGACAGAGTGCAGCCTCGAGCATACTGCAGCAACGCGCCCTTCTGGTTTCCCATCCGTTCCAACACTAGGCCAATACAGCAGATTAGCACGACATTAGTTGGATTGATGTTCGACGCCGTTCGATAATGCTGCTCTGCAAACTTGAATTTGCCCATCTTTTCATAGACCTTGCCCAATCCATACCAGGCATTATAATGCCTGTTGTCAGCGCCAATCGCATGCCGATAAGCATCCATCGCTTTGTCGTGCTCTTCATTGGAAAGATACTCATGTCCTTGCAAAGTAAAGGCGTACGCAAACCGTGGGTCAACCTGCGTGGCACGCTGAAAACACTTCAGGGCTTGGTCGTGGTCACCTTCCAGAGAAAACGAATTTCCTATCGCGCACCATGCCTGTGGCGATAGCCGATCAACTTCCATGAGCTCATGCGCGAGGTATGCTAGTTCAACGGCATTTTTGAGATGCCAGAGGACCGTTGAATAGACCTCCATATCCTCCAAACTGTGTGGTGCAATGGTCCGAACTCGAATGAAGTATTTCTCCGCTTCGCCGTATTGCGCTTGCTCATAATATGCACGTCCAAGTTGTGACAGGACCCACGGCGTTTCTCTCTGGCTTTGAGGTAAGGAACTAAAAATTTGGATAGCTTCCTGGCATCGATAATTCGACAACATGTTGAAACCAGTAGCAAGCTTCGAGAATAGTTCTAGAATCCAGCCTATAGCCTCAATCTCTTTTGATTTGTCGGGAGGCGAAGCCTTACTCTGATTACCATGGGCGCTTTCCTTCCTGTCGATATCCATAGGCTCTGTGACCGCTTTACGGCTACCGCTAGCAACTCTCGTCGTAGTTGAACCGGAAGCACTTCGAGTTTTTACACCGGTGGACTTGACCTTTTTAATATCGCGGCCTTCCTTTGTTCCGAGACCACTCGCCGAAGCAGAAATCTTACTTGCACTTGGGCGAATTTGGTTGAATAATCGGACACTCCTTCGCTGCGGGGCCCCGGGCTCGGTTAATTGCGTAGATGAACTCGGTGCGATGTGTCCAGATACTGTTCTCTTACGCTCGGAAACGAGGGGTACCGGGGCTTCTCGAGTAGAAACCCCTTCTTCGGCTTCAGCACGAGAGCGAGTTTTCATTCTCGAGACAGTGGATTTCATCTTGGGAGGTGGATCAAGGTCGAGGCCCAGGACCTGCATGGACCGCTGCTTCCGTGCCGGCGCAAGTGGCGGTTCCCCAAAAGATTCAGATCCCATTCCCCCACCCCCATTGGTTCGGAAGTCGTCAGAATCGCTTTGAGCAATAGGCGTTTCCATGCCTTCGCTGCCTGAGATGACATTCATGGAGTTTCCGTTCAACTTTTCCCACAGCGCAGAGCTTCCGGTTGTTTCCGCCCGAGGATTGAGAGAAATAAACGGATCAACGTTGTTATTCGAATGCGGCTGTACCTGCAGCGGACCAGTTGCTGGTAAATCTTTATCAAAAGACGCAAGATTCTCAGCTGATGGAGAAGCCGTTAAAACGGCTATCATCTCCGGCGTCATTTTATAAATATTGGGAATTCGAACGCTTGCTCCTGCCGGAAAGAATCAAATTAACACGATCCTTAAACGATATGGTCAGGGAGCCATCTCACCTGCTTCGCAGAGGCCAAGAAAAGCGTCCCAAAGAAAAGGATTTAATTTCAGGGCTTCGACGTAGCAATCTACAGCCTTATGTATATCTTTGTGAGCTTTCCACAGCCGTCCCTGGAGACACTGAACCGCGGCGGCGTCGGGTAGATGCTGGCGACGACTTTCACTGTGTTTATCTAGTTGCGATGATAGTCAGCATTGGCTATACAAATACAAAGGAAAGAGTTCTTCCACGAAATTCTTTCTAAAAAGGAAACGACTTTATGTGCGACCCACTCCAATTATTCCTTGAAATCCAGTGTGGCCTGCTGCGCTCCAAAGCTGTGATTCCTTCGATATACTTTCCAAGGTCAAGGCATGCTTGGGCGTATATGTATGAGCATCCAAGATGTGTACCTCTGGAGCCAGAATTCCTGCTGACTTCCCACGCTGCTTTTGACTGGCCGGCTAGAAGGTGACAAAGGGATAGTAAGTAGGCCGCTTCCGAAGATCTCGGTTCGAATGCATGTAGGCGGCCAGCGACAAAAAGGGCGTTTCGAATAAGGTTGTTGTCAAGGTGATAGTAGACCAATTGCCGTAGCTGGTTGGAGATATGGGGTGCTGAAGGGGGCATGGTTGCAAGTTGGAGGAGACGGCGGTGTCTAGGAGGCACGGCGATATCTAGGTAAATGGAAGGTCTGCAGGAGAGAGTAGATAGCCGTAAGAAGGTGCTAGGGATGATAGCGAGGAGACGTGAGAGGCGAGGAGGGCGCCGGATGCTTCAGCGTTAAAGCGCAGTCCACAGTTGAGGGGTTGTTGAATGGAACCGTGCACGGGACGGGCTGCTCATGGAAAAAAAAAGGGAAGTCCCAGAACACTGCAGATCAGATCGAAAACGAAACTGATAACTAGATCTTGAAGGTTGTGGGTACCTGTCAGATCTGTCACGGAAGTTATCGCGCGGTTCGTCACCTGGCAGCTGACCAGACTCGGGGGTGGCAGGACATGACGAGGAAAATAATTGGTTGAACAATGAGCAATGACCGCAGCTGCTCAAGCGGAAGTGAATGGAACTGATGAAAGGTATCTCAGTGAGATCTGAATACTGTGGATAATGCTTGGGTCAAGAGAGCGGACAAGGCAGCCTTGAGCGAGATGGCGAGAGAGAGAGAGAGAGAGCGCAGGCAAGCAGAATGTTTTGGTTTGGTGGTTGTGGTGTGGCTGGTGCCTTTGGGGCTTGGTCGTGGAGGGCAACTAAGTCCTTGACCAGCAAGCAACTCGAGTCTGTCCTCTCTCTATATCCATCTCCCCTTTTGCGTGCGTGTCTCTATGTTTATCTCTCTCTGTGCATGTCTTGTCTCTCTGTCTGTGTGCCTATCTATGTGTCTGTTTCTGTCTTCCCCCGGGAGTGCTGAAAGCTTACTACACCTAAACTAGGTACGCTCCACAGAGCATTTCGCTCATACGTCCTGGTCCTTTGGGGACTTCTTATGGGAATGCTTTCAAGAGGGATACACAGCGAAGCCTGATGGTTAATCGCCGCTGAATGAATGCCAGCCCTTTACGGCTGAGAAGAAAGCCATCTGTGCTTTCGTCTTTTGGCATTTGGCCCTTTGTCCGTCACCATTTCCACAGCATACATACATAAAGACACGAATGGATTCAGACGGATGCGGGCATTCTCTTTGAATGCGCCAATAACATGGCTGCCATCCTCAGAACAACATGCCTGGTGCGGGGCCTCCGGAATGGCTGCTCGCTGCCAGTTGGCCGCGCCACGGTTCGTCTTCCCTCAAGCTTTCGCAGTACCAGCTCCTACATGCATTTTTGCCAGTGGAGCTTCAGTATACGTACAGTATAACGGTTGCTACGAGCATGATACACCTACTTGGTTTTCAAGAAACTCAACAGGCCGACCAGTCCAGCTATTGCTAATGAGCTCGTCCCGGTAATCCGGTTATGACCCGTGACGAAGATGTTTGCGGACGACTGCAAAAAACTTAATTAGGAAGTTAACTAGGCGAGTCATCAATCCCGGAGGTGAGGTTATGAGCTTCCGGACTCCCGGGAATTGTTCCCCGTACGTGGTTTCCATTGAGTTTGCCCACTTCTGAAGATCTTCCGCGCATTCTCCGGCATCCTACGCGATTTCTGTCAAGCTTCGAGGATTATACATTCCTATGAACCGGACATACTTTTCAACCAGGCTCCCTTGATTCTCGACGACAATGGAAGTATCCTACCACGAATCCAACATCTATATCATTCGCTGCATACAGGAGTCCACCCCAGTCCCAGTGAATCCATAATTGTTAGTACTTGCTAAAGCAAACCTCAGCATACCTGCCATATACAACTTGTCCCTGTCAGCGTTGCTAGCAGCCCGAAACGTGTTGATGACTTCCTCCAGGCTTTAGGTTACGCACAGCACTAAAATAAGCTTAAGTTGTTTTAGAGTTTGCTCTCAGTGGTACTACTGTCTACATAATATCTCCCAACTCCACTCGCGAATCTCCGTCTCTTCTTTCTTTCTTGCAGTTTCTGGTTACGTGGATAGAGTTGTCTCTCTCATAGCCTCTATACGCTGCGATACGATACAGAATAACCCCTATGAAACTAACGATCTCACCATGGATGACTGTATTCTTTGCGGTGATTACTTCAATGACTTCAGACGACACCTCGACAAAACATGGTTGGATGAATTTCGTGCAGGTCAGTGAACCGAAGATGCTTTCCCTTGCCATGAAACCAGCCAACTCCCTACAGTCTACTGTGTCGACGAAGAGTGTCGAATTTCCGGAATTGGCCGTGACCACGGCTATCTTCAAGGCACAGTGCTCGTCCCTTTGGACGAAACCACAAGATGGACTGACCGCGGCGTGCTCTTCATCCGCGTCTCTATGATGAGGCGGCCCTGTCGAAATGTGGATCGTGCCCGGGGCTTTATTTTTCATGATTCCTGCTGGCGGCTCCTTAAAGAAGTTTACAATCAGGACCCGATCCCACTGAGGCGACTTCTGGAAGTTTGTAAGTCAGTGCCCGTTGATGACCACAATCGTTTACTGTGGTCCCATGAATACGGCAGAAGGGAGTATAATTACCAAATATGGGATCAAGTGCCTTATGATCCATACAACGTACCAGACGTTCAGCACATACTCAGCAAACCTCTACACCTCCCTCGGTTTCAACCTAGCAGGAAAGCGAAATGTGCCAGGAAAGAACATGGAAGAAAAGCAAATAATCCTACGAGTACAATGCCAGACCTGTCAAATGACTCACATGAGAAAAATTACTTCAAGAAACTCCCGTTTGAGATACTAGAAGAAATAGCCTCTTACCTGGAGGTAGCGGACTTTCTTCGTCTCCGTTCTGTTTCCAAACCTTTCTGCCCGATATTCTCCAGTCGCAGGTTTTGGAAGATCAGATTTTGGAACGAGCGTGGATTCATATTTGAGGCCCTTGACAGTACTATCAAACGTCGCCTTAACTGGCAAAGCTTATATTGGCATACCAACGGCCCAAAGCTCTCGCTAGCCCTATCCAACAGGAAAAGGGTTTGGACGCTAAACCAGATGCTGCAAGAGAAATTGGATTTGAGATGGATCGAGGACCCAAAGTTGTGCCACGATGATCCAGGTGATGTGAACTGGGAGTGGAGAGAAGTGCATGGGGAGATGATCGAGGAGAGCTTTCGAGAATTCTCCAACGGTTGTCGCCGCTTTCACAGGCGATGGGCTACTCTGCCTCCCAATGTTACAAAAATCGGTGTCTCAACTATTCATGATGGGAGGGAAAGCTACGTTACGGGCATGCAAGTTATATCAGAGGGAAGCCAACCTCTTCAAATCGGTTACATGAACCCCATATCAGCAAGGCAGGTCTTTGCAGAGATCACCTCTCTCGAAGGCTTTACTGTAGCTGTCGGACCTGGGGGAATCCAAGCAGTACAAATGATCATGGGTAACGACTGCCAATCTGGTTGGTTAGGGAGGCCTGATGAAGAGGCAGCAGTCACTCGCCGGCTGGCAGCCGGTGAGCCAATATCTGCTCTTGCTATGGGATTCGACGTAAGGAAATTGCTACTATTTGGTGCTCGCAAGTCTCATTACTTACTTTCGTCCTAGGGATACAAAATGGTTAGCCTAGCAGTTGGTAAAAATACACTAATGCCAAACACGCGGCCCTTTAGCGACGACTTACGGGAAACTGCGTTGTGGCACCGCAGGATTCCTGGCCCAAATCATCATCTGAGCTATGAGTCGTTTGTGGGGCGAGATCCAACTTTTGGTTATTCTCCCCTACACGTCGCTTTGTTTGGTGGGCCTGGGGGTTGTTATCTTCGCTCGTTGTTTGGGATTTCGGTGTCTTACGCCGACCACGGTATAATGGGTATCGACTTTTTACATCGTGATGGACATGTTCCTTACGAATGTTGGCGACTTGGCTATCACACCTTCGGATTGCAAAGGGGCTTTTATATTGATGGACGGAATGGGGAGCTTATTGAGAGCGTGGACATCGACACATTCCATTATCCTGACGAGGTAGTACACGGCATCTCCAGGCATGGAGTGGTGAAATCTCTTAGAGCAAGTTTCTTTTCTTCTTCGAAACCCCACCCCCCCTCGCCCTTTTTTTTTTAACCTTCCTGGGTTTACCTCTAAAATCTTTTGCAGATCTACACAAACCGTGGTAGGTCGTATAACTTTTCCCGTTGGCCGCGTTTTGGTCCTGGTACGAAAAAGCCGCGGGCGATATCTCGTGTGCAGAAGGTAAGAGCAGCACCAGGAGCCGTAATTACGGGATTTTACGCCGCCCATGTAAGATCATGAACCAAATAAGCCCTCCTCACCTTCTCCATATAACTATTTAGGCTAAGGATATGACAGGGTCTACCGGGATTCTCTGGGGACGCAGTCCTACATAACCTGGGGGTTATATCAGAGAGAATCTCAGGAAGATGATACATTTTCTTAAGGCATCAATGGAAATATCTGATGATAGTTAAGGTGCCAGGATGTGTTAGATACTGATGTCTCTAACTGCCCTGATAGTAAACAATGATGCATAGATGTACTACCTCTCTATCTCTGCTATCCCCATTTGGAAAAATCTAAGTTTCTGCCCGATGTGTTATAGTCTTTTTTTTTTTTTTTTTTCCAGATATTACTTCATTTGTTAATAATTACGATATATTTACTCCCAGTTAATGTCTAATACGAATGATCCTCAGATCTTTATTCACATATGTTTGCCCATTGCGGGGTGGGGACTGGTCAGGTCCCTGGGGAGGTGATGTACCGGAGCACGGCCATCAAGAGTCTTCACATTTGGGTGGTCGATTAATGCTTTGCGATTACGGCACAATGCCTTAAGCTGGGGAGGACGACTTCATATTCTCCGTTACCTAGATCCGCCCACGGTCAGTTCAGCCGTGTTCCGAAGACTGTAATCGATAGATGTACGCTCGGGTGTAAGCCTCGTGGCTCATGCTTCGAACCGATATATTGCTGAGCCAAACTCGGTTAACTAATGTCGTGCGAATCCCGCAGGAAAGTCACACTACTTGTTCAAGAGCCAGCTCGGCTTCTTCAGGTACCTTTTATTATCAAAGCACGCAAGCAAAAATAGCCACTATCAGCTAGTTTCTATAGAAGCAAGCATTCAGATGGAGGATGGTGGCACAGAACGAACTCGAAGTTATTCCCGGTGAATTACATTGTACTCACCTTGTCGGCATCAACGAGCTAGTTGGAGATGAGATCGTCATGGTTGTCAGTGACAGTCCCAAAATCGCGCTCGCCGATACAACTTTCGGGGTGCTATCCCTACAGGCATCATCTAGAGCTCCAAGCCAGGGGTTTTAAAGTGCGGGTTGAATCCAGAGATCGAGTATTCTGAACAATTCGAGGTTTTAATCAAATCGTAGATCTCCTCCAATTTTTACGTTTGTAATAAAACCTACATATATCTGCCCGTAGACAACCTGTGAGCGTATGCTCCTTGCAATTTCTCTTTCAAGGTCATTTTGACGTGCTGGTGAGGATGGATGAATGTTGCCTTCTGCGCGATGTGAAATTATATAAGCCTTCAGAGCTACTCCAACCTGACCCAACTCCCCAACCCCCGAAAAAGAATGGGCATCGACTTTAGCCGAGAGTCCAAAACCATTCATTGACAATGGCCCAGGTCCGGAAACTCCCAGAAAACCCCCTCATAGAAAGATTTTCTGACAAGCTCCCAGAAAGCTGCCAAAACCCTCGCTGCGAGGAACATCTCTCTCCTCCGCAAAACCCACCTAACCACCCTCTGTCTCCACGTCGTATTCCTCCTCCTGCACTTCCTCTTCAACCGGCCGCGTTCCCTCGTTCCCTATGCTATCTTTACACTCCCTACTCTCCTTATAGAATTCTACTTTGAACGCCTCGGCCGTCCGCGATACAGCCCTGGTGACAACTCGCTCCGATCTCCTGGCGAAGACCTCGATGCTTCCGGCCTAACTGAGTATCTTTGGGACGTTCTCTACTGGACGTGGGGATGTATGGGCGCTGTGTGCGTTTTCAGTGACAGGGCATGGTGGCTGTGGATCGTAGTCCCATTGTATTCTATGTGGTTGGCATATACGACCTTTATCGGTGTAAGGAAAGGATTTGCTGGCATGGGAATGGATGGCAATGAATCGGTCCCAGTGGCAGAGAGTAAAAGGCAGAAAAAGTTGGAAAAGAGGGGGCAACGCGTAAAGTACCGCTAGAAAACCTCTCACGAGCTCTGGCGGTGTGCAACCGTATCGGAGATCTGAGGTTGATCATATAGTTACAGTATCTACTCCGCACTATAGACATGTATTCTTGAAGACAAGTTTGATCCCGTTTTGACAATTAAGTGGTTTGCACTCAGCATCTGGATATTGTGTATGTACGTAAACGCATACCATCACAATGCAAACAATATTTTAGCCTTCCAATCCGAAATAAATCTTGAAGACACAAAAAGAAAAAAGAAAACACCGCTAAATCGAACTCTGATAGATAAAGACCGCCAGCTGGACCTTTCATCCAAAAGTGTATATAACTAAATGATCCACTGGATGTGGAAATTTCGCTTTCGTTTTGGTGGCTGTACGAATTTTGGAAGGCAGGCCTCCATTTTGGTCTCAGCCGGGTTTCTCAACCTTGATGAGCAAACTCCATCGATGATTCGGGCGTAGAGGCCACGAGGACTCCACATGCCGGACTGAAAAGCTCTTTCCGCCTTTTCGCTCATCGTTGGCAGTCGATTGGGCAAGCTTGTTAAGGTAGGATGAGGGTATATCAACCTGTATAACTTGAAGAGCTAGGTGTTGTGGATGACTCATTGACAATATCATGAAAGATTTCTTCCATAGGTTGATTTTGAGGTGGCGGTACCGATGAGCTAGGTATTTGGTCACTTGGAGGGTTTACCCCATGCCTTGTATTTTCCGTGGAAGTCTTCTCACTGCTGATTTCTGGGAGTGAGTCCGCGTCGACGACCGATGCTTCCATTGGTTGTTGATCCGCGACATCGATGATTACTGATGGATTGCCCGTTCCTTGCACCGATCTAGATGGCACGGTAATGGAAAGAGAGGCACCATCATCTTCAAAAACCACATCGTCATCGACAGGGTACTGATCCGCTGGTGTATCACGTTCATCCCTGCCGACGACTGCCGATTCGGGTTGCGCGGCTTCTTCGACGATGTTTGCGGTCGGCTGTGGTTTCAGAGAGGTAGTCATTGATGTAGCATCCAACCCTTCTGCCACCAGAGACTCGAGTGATGCCGTTGCATCTTGTGCTGATTTTGAGTATGCTTTGTTCACTTGTTCGTGTATAGCCTCGGGGTTGTTGGGGGAATTAGACGAGGCTACAACCTCGGCGGAATCACTGATATTTTCGACCTGGTCAAGAACACTAGATAATAGAGAGCTGGCTTCAGAGAGTAGGGTAGAATCTAGGTTTTGCGTCTCGATACGCTTGGCCTGCGAAATCTGGCTTAGAGATTCCGTTGCTCTGGATGACTCTTCACCGGTAACGTCGCTTACGGTTGAAGTTGCTAGAGAAGAAGTCTCAGTGGCTGTCGTAGACCTTGTCATGGCGCGGATTTTGGCGAGATCTATAATATCGGTCTGAAAATTGTCGCTGCTGTCCCCAGATTGAATCTTCCAGACTCCAACCTCTTTAATGGTGAGAAGCTCCTGAGCAGCCGATTTTGCAATAGCCATCCCTCGAGATAGGATGTCATCGCCAGTGGCTCTGGCTTCCAAGAAAGCTTCATGGTTCATGCCAACATCACTCACTTCACTCTGCCAATCTGTGAATTGCTTTTTGAGGGCGTGGAATTTGGCCCAATCCTTATAGGTTACTCCATCCATCCAAGCCCATCTCATCCCGATTTCCTGAAGACCTAGGTCACGAATGTTATCAAGAATTTCGAGAGCAGACCCAACAAGTGCTGTCACATGTTGAACGAGTCCGTTATCGTATTCGTCGAACCACATTCTTAATGAGTGGGCTTTTTCCCTGATAGCAAGTCCCGACGCCCTAACCACCTGTAACATGGTCTCCTGAGCTTCTTCCTCCTCTTTAGAGGTCGCATCTTCGGGTAAAGCGCGAACAATATGATTGATCTCAGTTTTGAGTTTTTCCACTTGCTGTTGTGATAAGGCTTCCAGCTCGGAGACAAGCCTTTCACCTGCATCCACAGCACCACTTTTCCCCATATTATCTACAATTTCTAGGACCTCTTTTTCCAACTCGTCGCAGCCCTTATCAGCAGCGAGCGCAAACTTCTCCTGCCATGCTCTTAAATCGCTGGTAATCTGCTCCTGAGCCTTTGCTCGTGTTGGGGATAGAGATGTCGTAGATGAAACTGCTGCCTCAGTCGTAGTGCTTGTTGTTTCCCAAATAGTGGATGCCTCGGCGGTTTTGCTCGATGAGAGAGCGCTCGCGGTGGAACTCAAGGTTTCAGCTAAGCTGTTAAAGAACGTGTGAGACCTCAATCCAAACAATTCTGAAAAGTGAATATATAGCAGGCAACAACACGAACCTTTCTTCTTCCTGCAGACGCTTCAACTTCCCACCTTCACGGTAGCTTGCGAGTTTTGCTGCGATCCTGAGCAACTGAGGTTCGACGTTTTCGAAATACAAGCTAGCCAACCGTGGTCGTAGCGTGCCATTAAGCAAAACAACGAGGCTAGACCAGACTCTGCGACTATAGGGAATCGCGGTGTCAATTAAGATTTTATGGACCGAAGTGGAAAGCCTGTCAATGATAGGTTTAGCTCGAACATATGTTGGCACTAGGTAGCCGTCCCGAAACTTGATCAGCTGTCTTGATATATTTCCGTATTGAGGCGCGATGATTTGTTTGATATGTCCAACCTGTGGCCCCACCGCGGAACTGTAAAGCTCAGCGACGGATGATTTGAAGGATCGTAGTTGCGGGGAAACAAGTATATCCCATTTCTCTTCAACAAACTGCAAGCCTTGCTCTACACGAGGAGAACCGTATGTGTAGTATGCGCTTGACGACACGCTCGCGACCGGGGCGTATATGTGGTCATGAAAAGTGTGCGCATAAGGCCGCACAACCTCAACGTATGGTTCCCCATAAATTTTGTAGTACGGAGCTACGTGGGGCTCCAACTGCGAGCGTACAATCAAGTATGGCTTGCATATTCGTGGAGAATGCTCGTCCAGTTCCTCCGGGTTCGTCGGACAACTGAAAAATGCAGTAAAGAACGAGTACCATATCGCTAACCTGATTCGTGACATAGTGTTAGCGTGCTCAACCAGCTGCTCGCTTGAAAGGCTAGAAGAGATTACCGAAGGATAATACTCAATGCTCTTCTTACAAATCCAACCCGCCTTTTTGACTGACGGGAAGGGCTCGGTCGACTCGTGCTGCTTGGCTGCTCTCCCTTGGTCACAATACCATTTTCTGAATCTGCCATCTTTTCAAGACAGCACCTGGAGCGTGCCAGACACTCCACAAACGACACGGCAAATTATACCAGTGGAAAAGACGATATATAATTAAACACGTGCAGACTGTGAAGTTTCCAAGTAAGCCTGGGATATGGGGAGGACTAAGGGGAAGGCCTGAAGAAAGCGTTCGCTTACCGGTGGTATCGAAAAATCTACAAAGAACAAATTGGCCTCAGAATAAGATGAGGCCAGCCAGTCACCCGCGCCATTCACAAAACAAACCAGTACTGCAAGGTGAGAATGCGATGGTTCTGTTGCATGCCGGGTTTCATCGCCTTGAGTTTTCGGTTGGAGCTTGAGCCCACAACGCACGCGGTGAGGTCATTTTGCTTGTGATCACGCGTCTCGTGCCTTGATTCGGCTAAATGGCTTCTCCGCATTCCGAGGGCTTGGCAACTTTTCAAGAACAATCCATTTACTACGGAGTACACGGCGTACTGTGATGCGGTTGCTTTATTTCGCCAATTATGAACCCGACTCTGGTAGAATAGCAACTCTCCAACCATTCGCCGTGTCAAAACTGACACAATTTGTACTTTCTCAGCCAATAGATGGCCGCCCTTGTCCCGTTCACTGAGTTCTTCCCATTGTCGTCCATGAACGCTGGCATTGAGGAATGTTTACTTACGATGGGCAACGTGTTCATGAGGTTTGGCCGTACAATACTGGATGTCGGGAGTCTAAGAAGGCAAGTAGAGTATATGGGCCGCTGCATTTACTCGCTCTTCAGCCTAGCCACCGGCATTGCTATCTTGTGAGTAAAGCAGAATCGAGGACAGGGCAGTTCCGGACCATTGAACCTAGGCCTTTATCTCCATATCGTTGTTTTGAGATAGCATTGCCACTTTATGAGCATAATAACGAAATGGCGCTCCACACAGCTTTCGAGAGTCAAGACGTGGTCAGTGGCACGTATTCTGAACCACTCGGGATGCGCCCTGGCCTCCACCAAGGCCATCGGTATGGGCTGTGGGTTGAACGGGGCATGACGCAGTCTTTGCACATAGCTCCTGAGCAGTTTAGCCACTAGAGCTGGAGTGTGGAGGAATTGTGTCGAGGATCTGGAGAAAATAGCCAGCAGCAGGGATGCTCTGGAGTCATCGTAGGAGCTTGCTCAGCTGCACTAGTCTAAATATAGTTAAGTGTAACAGCGGATCATCAATGCCCCGTCTCCGTGAGCACGATTACTAACCAATCACTATCCCCAGATGAGGCTTGGCGCGCGCCACCCAAAACGGGCCAACAGAATCCCCGCTGGCACTGCATCATGTGGCAAGAACCGGCTCCAGAGTCATTAAGCAGTTTTCAACTTCATCTTTTCCTTCCCTCCCTTCGTCAACCAGATCTGTAATTCCAGGCGCCGGTCAATGATTGAACTCTCATATTCTTGAACCTTTGGGTCGAATTCCAGTCTGAATCATACTTCACGACCGGAGATCATCAGAACGATGTTTGCCGCAAATCCTGGTAAGAAAGGGAGAGGTCCAGATGAAGCAGATACTTGTCGAATATGTCGAGGGGAGGGCTCGGAGGAAGAGGAGCTGTTCTATCCCTGCAAATGCAGCGGCAGCATCAAGTTTGTCCACCAGAGCTGCCTGATGGAGTGGCTCTCCCATTCCCAAAAGAAATACTGCGAGCTTTGCAAGACCCCGTTCCGCTTCACCAAGCTTTACGATCCAAATATGCCCCAGGATTTGCCCGCTCCAGTTTTCCTGAAGGAATTGATGGTGCATAGTCTCCGTTCGCTGCTCACCTGGTTGCGCTTTTTGCTCGTGGCCTTTGTCTGGCTTGGCTGGCTGCCTTGGTCTATGAGGGCGGTCTGGCGGGGACTCTTCTGGCTTGCCGATGGACGCTGGCCAACTTCTGAGAGCCTTCCTTCTACGACCTCTGCTGCGGCCAGTGAGACTTTAAGTAGCCTCGCTACCCAGGGCACGTCACCCGTTACAAATGTTTTCAGCACGACTTCTCCGGCGACCGCCCACAGTCTTCAATCAACCATTCCACAGTTCTTTTTCCCCGTGTCATCGGTATTGAACTTCACTGCAGGGGAACCTTTGATATATTCCATCGCCAAACGGCTCCTGGCCAATGCTGTCGTTCTTACTACTTCCGCCTCGACCTCTATGGATCCCGGAAACGTAACTACATCGGCAACGAGGCGTTTGCGACAGCCGTCATGGCTGTCTGATGTTGATTTCTTGAATAGCTTAACTCCATATCCAACCATAAACAATATATTAATCGATACTTTGGAAGGCCAATTGATCACCTTGCTCGTGGTGATCCTATTTATACACGTATTTCTAATACGGGAATGGGTCATACAACAGCAACCCGCCATAAATCTCGCTGAAGGCGAGCGGGAAGCCGCTGATCAGCTGCTTCGAGACAATAGGATTAACCCTGTTGTGGAACCGGAACCCGAGCAGAGAAACGAGGAAGAACTGGCACCCATTGAGATGCCAGTTATTGAACCAATTCAAGCTGGCCGCTTTGACGTTGAAGCGGATGATAGAGTCTCTACGACCGATATCCCATTTGATGCTGAAGAAAGTCTGCCAGTGGGAGGAAGTGCTTCCCCCAGACCCTTTATCGCCAATACGAGCACATCTTCGTTCCTCACATCAGAACCTGGCTCTTCTAGCGAACAAACAGGCAGAGAAGCTTCTATGACTGGTCCGGGCCTGGATTTCAATCGTTATGCTAACCATTCATGGAGCTTTGGGGTTGAAGGTTTGAATGAAACTCTATCGCCAGGCGAGCAAAGCTCAAATACTAGAGACAACGGGCGCAATTTCAGCCTGGGAGGGCCTGTGATTGATACTTTAGGTCAGATTCAACGCGAAGAACCTCATTTCCCTACCTTCCCAGCTACCACGTCGCACACAGGGAACGAGCTGAGGCCGTTCGAGGATGACGCCGGGTCCGCCAATCAACCCATTGAACGCTCTACGGGCATATCTCTAGGCGACTATGCCACTGCTCAGAACGAAAATTTATTTCCAGTACAATCCGCAGAACCCGAGGCTGTTGGCGGAGAAACTACGGGGCTACCGTTGATTCCTTCCCCAATTTTTGGAAATAATGATATCAATTTACCCGCAAATCGTTTCGATTTTCGACCAAACGTTGAGTTTCCCGAAATCCAGGCGAGTATTGACGAGTATTCCCGTTCTCTTCGTCTTCTAGAAACGGATGACGCGGAAGTCCGCGGGGCGTCGACTGCGGATCCCACTACCCCGATGCAAGCACCAGACACTAGTTCAGTACAGGCAACGGAATTGCAGAGGCAAGAGAGGCCAGCTGTTCCAGTCCATGCTCCGAGGAATCTGAAAGAGCGTGTGGTGGAATGGTTTTGGGGTGGTATCCCTGTTCAGCCAAGGCGACAGGATGAAGGGGGCGACGACGAGCGTATTGTTGAGGACCCAGCTCAAGAACAGCCGTTTGTTCCTGTCCGCCATGGCCAGCATATGCTGGATGCCAATGCAGCCCCTGACAATGAAGTCCCTAACCGTGCGGCGGCTCCGGCGAATGGAGGATTTGATAATGATGCCGATGCAGTGGATGATGCCGACGATCTGGAAGGTGTTATGGAGCTCATTGGAATGCATGGTGCAATTTTCGGCCTTCTTCAAAACGGGGTTTTCAGCGCTCTCCTTATTTCGTTTACCGTCACCGTGGGCATCTGGCTTCCGTACCTATGGGGTAAAATCGCTCTAGTCCTACTAACCAACCCTATACGGTTGTTCATCGGAATTCCTCTTGCAATCCTATCAATAATCGCCGATATTGCTGTCGACACCGTCATTGGAAGTTTTGCCTATCTGGTATACGTTGGAAATGTCTTAATAAGGGCTCTCTTGGGACAAATTGGGAAAGCTATCCCTCTCCTCGCGAAATTCTCAGCAAGTAATGCTGTTACTCACGCCTCGCTAAGTTTAATTGATGGAAGTGGCCAGCGTCTGAGGCGGATAATGACGACTTTCTTCACCTTCCGCGATTCCGATGTTCCGATGTTTTCCGTCCTTGCCCATCAAGCTTTGCGAATACATCAGGCTCGGCTTACTGCTGTCTATAAGTTCCTCTTCCACATTGTTAAAACGGTGACTTACGATGCTCCTCTGCATATCCTTCGGCAAGACAGCAGTGAATCGCTGCTTCAACGGCTTTCTCATGTGAATTCCATGAAAACTCTAACTTTCGTTACAAGCACGTTGAAGGATTTTGTACGGGTGGTCTATTCCATCTTGAAGTATGGAGATTTGTCGAGCTTGAATACTTCCGTGAATTATGCCCTGCCCGCAAATATGGACTCTGATCTAGCCTACTGGGATACCAAGGATAGGATCATTGCCATTTTCGTCGGCTATTGTTTCGCATCGCTTGTTGGCTTATCCTATCTTCGCCTCTCGGCGTATTTCTCTGGAGAACAACGCGGCCCAAGAGTAAATGGTGCCGTGGCTGAAGTCCTTCACCAGGCTGGCGGAGTCATGAAGGTCATTCTGATTATTGGGATTGAAATGATCGTGTTTCCACTTTACTGTGGTATCCTGCTTGACATCGCCCTCATGCCACTCTTTGAAAATGCCACATTTGGGACAAGATTCGCATTTGCTACAGAGTCTCCGCTTACTTCACTGTTCGTACATTGGTTCATCGGCACTTGCTACATGTTTCACTTTGCGCTCTTCGTGTCTATGTGCAGAAAGATCATGCGCAATGGTGTTCTCTGTAAGTTCACCTATCCCCTGTTAACTCCCTTTTCGTAGCCTTGCCTAACACGAACTTTCAGACTTCATTCGGGATCCTGATGACCCGACATTCCACCCTGTACGCGATGTCCTCGAGCGCAACGTGTCAACACAGCTCCGAAAGATCGGGTTTAGCGCCCTAGTGTATGGGGCGCTTGTGATCATTTGCATGGGTGGCGTAGTATGGGGGTTGTCTTCGGCTCTCAATGGAGTACTGCCATTACATTGGTCATCTAATGAACCAGTGCTCGAATTCCCAGTGGATTTGCTTTTATATAACCTCGTTATGCCACTTGCCATTCGGTCCATCAAACCGTCGGATATCCTGCATAATATGTACGAATGGTGGTTCCAAAAATGCGCACGTCTTCTAAGATTAACAGACTTCCTTTTTGGGCAGAGACAACTGGATGAGGAAGGGTATTATATTAGCAAGACATGGAAGCAAAAGTTATTGGAAGGGAGAGCGTATTTTTCACAGCCAACCGACAACGAGGAGCCGACGGCAAAGCAAGTGCAAGATGAAAGGAATTTTGTGCGTGATGGCAAGTTTGTCCGCGCTCCAGCATCCGACCAGGTTCGAATACCCAAAGGAACGCAAGTATTCCTCGAAGTTAATGAGAACAACGAACGGATCGATGGTAAACCCGACCACGATGATGGCTTGCATGGCAAGACCAACGAAATGTTTACGAGAGTTTATGTGCCTCCTAGATTCAGGACTAGAATTACTGCCTTCATTTTCTTGATATGGGTGTTCGCCGCTACAACGGGTGTGTGTGTCACGATTATACCGTTAGTTATTGGGCGGAGAATGGTCTCGATCCTGTTTCCAGAAAATGTTCCGATCAATGATCTCTATGCCTTTTCAGCTGGGCTATATTGTGTTGGTGGAATTGTCTACGGCCTATATCATTGCCGTCATTGGGCTATCCCTCTACGCAACCAGGCCATTCAGCTGTTTTATTCACCGAAGAATTTCCTCAGCAAAGCGTTCAAAACGATGTCATATGTCTTCCACCTAGGATACGTTTTCGGAGCGTTCCTCTTCCTGATCCCGTCCTTGTTTGCGATTATTACGGAACTTTATTTCCTCGTTCCACTCCATACATATCTCAATCGCGAGGGAACTCATATCATCCATTTTGTTCAGGATTGGACTCTTGGTGTTTTGTATATGCGGATGATGGCACGCCTGATTCTGCGTAACGAAACATCACGGCCTGCCATGGCTCTTAAGGCGGTTATCCGAAACGGCTGGCTCCATCCTGACATCAAATTTGCCACCAGGGCATTTATAATACCCGCAGCTCTGGTCACTTTCGTGGCAGTACTGACTCCTCTTTTGATTGGGTTCATATTGAATGGGACGGTCTTTAGAGCAGATTCCGCATTGGTACACTCTCAAGTCTACCGATATTCATACCCAGGATTTCTCTCCTTCGTTCTTCTATGCTGGGGATCGCATCTTCTCCGTCGCCAGATTAATGTCTGGCGCATGAGCATTAGAGACGATGTTTATTTGATTGGCGAGCGATTGCATAATTTCGGGGAAAAGAGAGCGAGGGATGTTGGTGCTGCCAGGCGCATGATCAACCCTGCATGATACGTAGACGCTTCTTTCTTACTTTATTTCAGAGATCATAGCATGTATATACCAGAAGACTTTAGCATTCAAATTTTTTTCTTTTCTCCCTTCTTTCGCGCCGACACTGGTGATGAGCAAGAGTTGAGTTGATGCTCTTCGTTGTTTGCTCTGTTTGCTTCATGTGGCTTCTCATGTGGCTCAGCGGCGATCCTGTGGCTGGTGCTAGTGACACGTGCTGAAATTAGGCTAAACCTCAATTGGGTTGCCCCACCTTCTAGGCTGACGGATATCTGTGGTCTCTGATTGGCCGGCACCCTGGCAGCCGCAGTGGCTTGTTGGTGGGATCGCGATCTCCGGTGGCACAGGGTCCAGGCAGCCTTGATTCTTCGTTTCTTCTTCAAGGGCAGGAAACGACCAGATTCTTTTCGCGCCTTTCATCTGTCATTTGTAGGATAGTATTTCGGTTCGATGAGCTGATCTCACGATGTCGGTTCTTCGGGGTGGTTCGTTCTTCCAAAGACGGCTTACAAAGCTGTATACTGATACCAAATCATCGTGCGAAAGCGTCTCTACTGCCGCAAGGCCAAATGACGACCCGGAACTGATATCCCTTAATCGAAGTTTCCGGACGCAAAAGGACCGATTGTTGGCCTGGGGTCTTGATTGGAGCGATGCCAGCGCTGCGCAGCCCAACGACATTGATGAGGCGCTGGCCGAAGCTGGCTTCAGCGATGTTGTCGCCAGCATCATGTCATCCATTCAGGGACTTTTGAATGAGGCTGAGAGGCTGCAGCAACCTGATATTCCGAAATCCTCTCCGGATGGGCTGACGACTGGCGTGGTCAAGACAACGTGGACAGATAATGAAATATCGAGATCAAAAGCGCTGTTGGACGAGCTGACTTCGCACATTGATACCCTCTATGACTTATCCCGATCACGGAGGAATATGACCATGAGCATCTCATCGAATACACAGTCGCAGATGCAGAGCCCTCATTCTCCATATTCGCTTCGGCCCGAGAAGTCAACGTCAAAAAGGCCACTGTTGTATCCAGTCTCTCTTGGTTCTAAGATATATCCCGAGAAGCACAGCCATCTAGCAAAAAGAGACATCAAAGGTGGCTCTCACTTTTCTAGCAGCACAGAGCGATTTGCTATGAGCTCTTTGAATCTTCATGTCGACACCTCGGCTCATGACCACACCTTCCTCGCTGATGAAGCACTTCTACCTTTCTTATCCTCCACAAAAGAATATTACATTAATCGCAAAGCCCTGTACCTTTCCAGTGATGGAGCCACCCACGCTCCCAATCCGCCACCTTATGAACCTGTTGCAGCTTCAGCAAATTCTCGAGTAACAGGGCAGTTGCACACGTCCGCTATACCAGCTCCATTGGCCGAAGGCGTGAATGCCCTTTCGGTTCCGATCTTAGTCGAATTTTCGCCGATACTAATGGAAATGCAGAACTCTCCAGTTCTACCGAAAAAGCAAAGATTGGACCACCTCAGTCAAACCCTGAAACGACTGGTCGAAAATGCCAGGGTCTCTCACCTCGGATTGCTCAAGTTCCTGGGTTACTTCGTCGACATGGCACATTCTCGCTATGCATTTGTCTATCAGATGCCAACAGACATTCCTTCCCTACCAAGGCAGCCGTCTTATCCAATACAACCCAAGCCTCTTGTCGCACTCTTACTCTCCGGTATCGACCCCCAGGATACTCTTGTTCCAAATCTTGAAATACGATTCCGATTAGCATATAGCCTCGTTTTAGCCGTTCTACATATGCGAAGTCAGAATCTCATCCATGGAAATCTCAACAGCAACAATATCTTGATATTTCCTGGTGTGGAAGTGTCTAACACAGGCGCTGTGGACAGCTTCCCCGCAGACTTCCGTCATCCTTACTTAACATCTCCAGCTTTATTTGACAGTGAAGACAAGAATTCTCCTCCCGAACCTCTTTCGTCGAGCATGTATCGGCACCCAGACGATCGACGAATAATTACCGACCAATCCGCATGGGCGTACGACCTTTACAGCCTCGGACTGGTCCTACTTGAGATTGGTCTATGGACTCCCATTAGCAGACTATGGAAGATGAAGTACACAAACGCAATGTTTAAGTCAAGGATCGAAAATGTGTACATAAAGAAGCTCGGGGCTAAATGCGGAGGAGCGTACCTGCAAACGGTCCAACTCTGTCTCGATGCACCCAATTTCCATCTCTCGACATCTCCTATGGAGGACCTAAGTCTCCGAATTCCTCAGACGTATCATTACCCATGGAACGAGCCGAGCAAGGCCAATGAGTGGGATACTTTCTCGAAGAATTTTCTTTATACGGTCGGGAAAGTAACCTTCCGATGTTGTAGCCTTGATATCGTTGCACCACCTCCTGACACCGATCTCGAGGAGTCTCTTCCGCCGCCATTGAGCCTTGATCTTGACGCTTCATCATTCCAAGAAGTTAAGCCACAGGATTTGGGCATTCCCACCGTTGAACCTGTTGTTCCAATTAACATTGGGGATGATACTGCACCTTTAACGGATCGATTTGGCTCACACATAAATTCCGACAATACTGAAAGAAGGGTTCGAAAGCGAACCCTTAAAAAATGGTCAAACCTTGAGATACCCGATGATAATCTCCAGGCCTGGAACAAGATACTCATGCCAAAGCTGAGCAAGTTACTCCAGAAAATCCTAAAAGATTCGAATGAACCCTGCAGTGTTAGCTTGATGATCGCTGGCGAATCCGCAGAAACAGCCAAAACAACTATCTGCGTCACCTGCACGAGCGTTCGCAGAGTTAAGGCCGCACTCAAGAAGTATTTTGAGTATGATCGCGAAAACTGGGACTTGATTGTCATCAGGGGGGATATAAACCGATCAAAAGTACCTAGAAGACGTCGCAAGAAAGCTAAAAGCTCAAAGACAGCAGAAAAGGCTCCTATGGATTTGAATCCGCATTACCAACAAAGACCTATATGCGGTGCCTCGATAGGGGCATTCCGTTCGGACGAACATTTGCCACCGGTTTCGTATGGCGGCGCGATTCTCGTGGATGGTCTGCCTTACGGGATGACCGTCCACCATATGCTTGATAGCCCTTGCGACGACGATGAAGAGTACGAAGATAATGGCTGTCCTCCCCGGTCTTCTGGCAATTATACGCCGCATACGGAGATGCAAGATCAAGACTTTGCTTACTCTTGGTGTGATGATGTCCCACCGCAAGCGCTCTACCCCTTCGAAATTTCCGACAGCGAGGGCGCTGATGACCAATCTATTGCCCATAGTATCGATGAAACATATGATGACTATTGGCTGTCTGATGGTTATTCAAGCGACGAAGCAGAAGACGTCGGGGATTTCGATATTGATGACGATACAGCATCGATCGGAGACACTGAAGGGGTCGACCCTCAAGATGAGCCTCGGATTATAGTCACGCAACCAGCCCTTGATGACGTGGAAGACGGCTTCTTTCCTAATCCTGAGGATCGAGACGACGAGCACCTTGCATCACACTCACTGGGTTATGTCCATGCCTCCTCTGGACTTCGGAGGACAACACGGGATGGAATCAAGCATGAAGTCGATTGGGCGCTTATTAAAATCGATTCTGACCGTTTGGACGCTACCAATGTAGTCCCCTTTACGCCTAGTGCGTCGTCTTCGTCACATCCACATTCAGCAAATATTGGACCTTCCAACAGCGCCGATCAACCTCCACAGCATCAGTTCCAAAACCTCACAAAAGTAGCCAGACTCGATGAGTTGGGTGGCTTGTATGTACAGTGCTGTGGAAGGACGAGTGGCTTTCAGAGCGGGCGTATTTCCAAGGCAATGACACTTGTCAGATTGCCTGGCCGTCAATCATTTTCTTTGAGCTTTTGCGTTGACGGCAATTTTGGAGGTAAACAAACCTCGCTATCCTTCTTTTCCTAAAAAAAAAATTTCCTTTAATCACTTGCTAATGGTATCGCATTCCCTCCAGTTCCCGGCGATTCTGGTGCATGGGTATTCAACCAAAACGGCCAAGTATGCGGACACGTGCTCGCATGGTCCGAAAAGAGTCGAACGGCATACATCGCACCTATGGAAATCCTCCTCGACGATATCGCACGCACGCTCGGTGCAAACAGCGTGGCACTTCCGGGTAGCGAAGAAGAATTAGCCTGGCACGGCGCCATGGCCGCTGCGACTTCTCCTTATGTCAATGTCGCCGCTGCAACGACGAAACATAGCCTGAGTGTGGTTAAAGACCAGCTACCTCTAGATCTTCGGAGGCTGAATCTTGATCATCTCGACGAGCCCTCACTCGCTCGACAGACCTCCGGACAACCCACTGCTCCCGGCGGTAGGAACGCGGCAAGTTCTACTGCTACTTCTGCCATGAAAGATGTTCCCGTGTCTGGTGCAACCACGTATAGAGGTATCAATGCTTTGATATCCCATCCACGAACTATGGAACACCAACTTGCTTGATTTATGATAATGCCTGTGACGATGCTATTGAAACTTTGTTTCCTGCTGTTTATACTTATTTTTGGAAGCACTAGCTGAATGATATGTATGATTGCACTGTTTTTATAAACGAAATAGTGAATTACCATGCTGTTAACTTCCACTATCTAGAATTTTCCAACCGCTGACATTCTACTTTGATGTGGAGTATATAGGAGTCATTTGTAATTCATGTGCCTTCTCTCTCCCTCATTTATCAACATTCAAACATTTAATTAATACAGGAAAAAGAACAAGTCTATATTCAAACATACTAGACATAAGAAGTGAGAATTTAAAGACCTTGCGGAAAAAAAAGAAATAGACAAGATGGAAGCAAACAATCCGAACCGCCAAACCACGTGTTAAACAAGGTGAAAGCAATCAAAAATAAAAAATAAAAAATAAAAATACCGAGCAACCATGAATGCTCAGCAGATCCCGGAACCCCATTCCCAAAAAAATAAAAACAAAAGCGACATTAATGATTAAGAGCTGCTCAAGTATTTCAAAACGGATTCTTTCTCCTCGAGTGGCAGCATGCTCAACACCTGCTGCACTCCCTTCAGACCACCCTCCTTGTCGCCCATCAATAACTGTGCAACCTGCATTGCAACACTATTGGTCTTCATGGATTCAACCTTCTCGTATAAGACCTTCTTGTTCTCCTCGTACCAAAGAGCAACCTTGCGGTCCTCATCCTCGAATTCCTTGTCTAGTAAGCCAGTCCAAGACCTGAGCATGAGAAGATTCTTCTCACGCAGAGTTGGCTTCGCTGGCCCGGGTGAGGAGGTAGGAGACGGGCTTCTCGACGATTCTGGGCTTCCAACTTGGGATTCAGCACTGACAGATGCCATACGCTTGAGAATGAGTTCCTCGCTGAGACGGCGACGGAGACGCCAATAGAAAAATCGTCGCGCGTTCTTCCACTGAAGCGGTTTGCGGATGGTTCCCTTCGCCTCCATGCGACCGGCACGATCGTGTAGATCGGCAAACTGGAGAGCAATTTGAAGATAAACCGGAAGGAGTTGGTTTTCACGCTCAGTCATCTTGTTCTTGATTTCGGATAATTGTTCGGCACTCAGTGACGCGTCCTGAAACGACCGCCTAAGTTCTCCATAAATCGGGTCGAGACGAGCCATGGTTTCTAGCTGTTTCTCGCGACGATACTTGATGCCGACGATACCCTCAGGTTCGAGGACACCACCACGCGATTCTTCATCGGCGTACATCTCCATTTGATCAGGGTTGATGGTAGGATCGATAACGACCTGAATAAACCAGTTAACACATTGTCCCAAGCATAAAAGGCGATCGCACTTACCCATGAGCCACCACGAAGTTCGCCAAATGGTGGGATATAAACGAAGATAGGCTGCTCATACTTTACAAGAGCATCGACAATGTAGGAACCGTATTTCAAGACCTCGTTGTACATGTCGCGCTGGCCACCAGAGAAACCACGCCAGTTGGCCAGGATCATGACTGGAAGTTGTTCACCGAAGTTAAAGTCCTTCAAAGCTTGAGCAGTCTTGAAAGCGGAGTTGGGGTACCACACGCCGCCAGCTTCAGTTGTGACCATTTCCATAGAATCCGGATTAGCAGGATCCGCCGGAGTAATATTATCCACGGAACGAGTTTCGACAGCAATGACACCCATTGGAATTCCACCAAGTCTCGCACGGCCGACCACCACTGTCCTAGCCCAGCCTCCGAGAGTTTCTTGGAACGTGCCCTTGTCGAAGAGACCGGAGAGATAGCCTTCTTCGTCCTCCTTACCACCAATGAGCCATCGCACATCATACGTTTGTTTAGGTGGGTAGTAGGTAATGTCACGATCCCATGGATCCGAGCTTGGTCGAATTGGAATTGGCGAGCCCTTGCGATCAGGAATGAAGGACATCCACTGGACAATCTTCTGGACACCTTCAAAATCGTCGTTGGCGGTCATATGAGAAACGCCATTCTTGTACATAATTTGCGTCCCACCAAGTTGCAGATTGGACGTATAGACTTCTCGACCAAGAAGTTTATTGATGGCAGGAGCACCTGTTAGAATAATGGGTTGTCCTTCAACCTGGATAGCACGGTTACCGAGACGAACGAGATAAGCACCGATACCAACGGAGCGGCAAGTCACGAGAGTGATCGTGAAAATATCTTCGTAGGCTCTCGATGTAGCTCCGGCGATAAGACCAGAACCTCTCAGGCACTCGACACCCAACCCATCCTTGGCGCCGATGATAGTTGTAATCTTGTATCTATCTTCACCGTCTTCATGGACAAGTTCGGTGATGACATCTTTCGACTTTCGCTCATCCAGCTTCTTCTTAACTTCTGGAGTCAGGTAGAGATACTTGAAGCCAGCCTCCGGCTTCTTGGGATCGTTCCAAGCAACAGAGAAGAGTGGCATCAATTCTTCCGCCATGCCGATACGAGCACCCGAGTTGGCAGACAGGTAAATTCGCGGAACACCTAATTTCCTAGCGAGTTCAGTACATTTGTGGAAGAATTTATCTTCCAATGGTCCGAACGAGCCAATTTGATAGGTGATATCGTTGGCAACAACGATGAAGCGCCTGCCATGAGGATATTCCGGAGTTCTGGCTGTGACGATCCACCCAACCATACCATGGGTATTGGTTCCGGGCTCTCGTGACACTTCAACCAAGTTATCAGAATCGTCGAGGACAAGCTCACTGTAATCAATACAACCACCCTGGGGAGGTCGTTTTTCAGCAAGGCTGGGCTGGCTGGCTATAGCGTCGATCCAGGCATTCTGGAAAGCTTGTCTGAACAGTTCTGGGAAATCATAGACGTATTGCGTTCCCATCAGATGAGCTTTGTAACGTTTAGGCTGAAGCCACTCTTTTGTGGGGTATGGCGTCGTGACCGGCCGAAGGTGCATAGATCCAACCTTGGTGGTACCACCAATGCTGTGAAACACCCACTCTCCCTTCTCCGATTTTCTTTCCACGTACATCTCAACTTGGATGATATAGCCGGATGTATTCGTAATCACTACACGGAGAGGATATGCCATGCCAGTGGTAGGGTCAGTACAGAGAATTCGAATTTCTGCTCCGGTTACGCGCAGGCGCCAAAGTCGCCGGCCGAAGCGCTCCAAGAAACCTGCAAGAGCTTGTTCCACATCCGATGGCTGCAGTTGGAAGACAGGGGTGAAGTTAATGAAAATGTGGTTCAAGTCGGAGTTATTGTTCCCAATGATCTCCAGGGCATCCAAAATGTCGTTCATGAGGTTATCGGCTTCGGAGATCAGGTATTCAGCAGTGGGGATATCATCGCGTAAACGGCCTGGTCGTACGACAGCACGGGTGAAGTAACGCTTGTCAGCGGTGGCCTCTTTGGCAGGTCCTTTACCGATTGCTTCATAAACATGGATATTCCTGTTTTCGGTAAACACAGGACTGATGTTGAATTTGGACAGTCGGCCGAGTTCTAGCTGGAAAGCCAATGCAGGTTCGCTGTGGCGAATGCTTTCATCTTCGTCGTATGCAGGGCCCCTGAAGGTGAAGTATCCGGGGTAGGTCCCGTCGCCATGCCCACAGACGAATGTTATTCTGCGGACGCAACGAGACTGCAGATCATCCTTGAAGTCAGACACAATCTTGCTGAGACGGGCAGCAACTTCCTTGTCGTCTAGTCCTTCCATGTCGCGAATAGCGATGTTACAAACTCCAACCAGTTCGTCATTTTCGGGGCGTGGCTGAGGTTTTCTCTTGGCAGCTAGCTCGAGGGCGTTGTTGGAGCCCGGCCTCTGGACACGGTCGGCACGAGGGAATACCTCTAGAGCTCGAGAGAGTACCTCTTCGATCTCATCGAAGTACTGGGCAGGAATGAGCACACCTTTTCGCACCGGCTCATTTGCACCCTTATTGACCAAATACGACATATCGCTTATGGAACTGATTTTCTTAAACGGATTGTTTTCTGTCGTTGGGGTGCTCGGAACAGAGGGGTTTGAAAGTGCGGTATTCATCCCGAACTCTGCCTGAGGTACCTTTCGCAGAACGAAATCCCAAGAAATGAAGAATGGAATCTCCTGGTCATTATGATATTGAACGCCTTGGAGGTCGTAAGCTCGGTAAGCCCGACGAACGTAGACCTCCAAAGCAGCCAACGATACCCACTGGTCCTGGTGGCCAAAGAACAGAGGAAGGACATCAAAAACGGTATACTTTGAGTCGACAACTTCCTTAAGGACATCGAGATCTGGTTCCCTGTGGTCCCATCCTGTTTCTCCGTACTTCGACTGAACGACGGAAGATCGTAGGATGTGCTCCATCTGAGCCATACGCTCTTCCAACGACGGTAGAGCACATTGAATGAGAAGTTCGCGTGCTTTGAGTGCAACCTTGGAACAAGGCCTTGATTCAAGTTCCGCCAATTTTTTCAATATCGGTTTCAAATATTTCCCAACATTTGGCGTAGTCGGTTTGTTTGGCCGGTATGTCTCAAGAATTGCCAATACCAAGTTATTCTTTCCGCCAACTTTGGTGTGGGAGATAACGGTTTGAATTACATTCATAATGTCATCCTTGTGTTCATCTCGAAGCTTCAGGATCGCGTCTTCATCACGGATGTTTCTCTGGGCGAAGAGGTGTTCCACATTCCAATATTGCTCCAACAGGGCAGCGATCACATTGTACTCATGAGCTCTCAAGCCTTCAGTGTAGTCCTGGATTACTTGAACCAGAGGAGCAAGCGTAGCCTTGAGGATCTCAACATCGGCAGGAGCCACGTTTTCATCCAAGAAGCGAGTGAAGGTCTTCATCAACTGGGCAGCAGGGAAGTCGGCCTTTCGGGCCTTGGACTTTTCGATAACCTGAGTAAGCTGCGCGTCAAGTTTTTGCGGCATCCGGGAATGAAGAGCGGAAACATGCGCGTTCCATTCACCATATGGCAAATCCGGGTCTCTCAGCACCTCGACCAACTCTGCAAGCGTACCAGACATGATCACCTGGTTATCGAAGCCGAGAAGGATGTCTTGCAAGATATTGTGAAGAAGCCGGAATCTCTGCGGAGGTTTGCTGCCTACGACTTGAGGAAGACCCATATCTGGCATCTGCCCGAGGAATGGCTGTGCATGTTTCACCTTGGATGGATCATCCAATGTGAGGATTCCGAGAATATCACCAGCCTGCAAGGTAGCACCAGGCTGTTTGATGAATTGGACAACGCCATCTTCTTGCGCAACCAAGGGCATGTACAACTTCATAACCTCGATTCCAGCAAAGACTTCACCGGATTTGACATGCGCCCCATTTTCTACCGTATAATGCACCAGCTTACCTGGGCTGGGGGTTCTAAGCTGTGTGGGATCATTTTCTTGTTCCAGGAGACAAGTTTTGCCATCGACACTTAAGCGTGTAGCAGCAGCTTCGTCTTTCCAGTACACGTTGTGACTTCGCCCATTCAACAAAACAAGCAAACCCCCGTCGGCAAGAGCACGGACGCCAACCAAGCATTTTGATCCGTTGATAAATAGATGATAGCTGTCTAAGCTTGCTCTAGTTGCGGTAAACTTGTATCGGACGTCTTCGTAGATAAAATCGATCGTGAATACAGTCTTTAGGACATCTTTCGAAGGAACTTGACCCTTTTCGAGACCCTTTTTGTACTCTGCAATGCAGGCTTCACTCGCGACATGGGCTTTGGTCACAGCTCCACAAATAACAGCAATCACGGAGTCCGGGCGCTCAGCTGTTAGCTTCTTAGTGATAAGTTCATCAAGCCAGCCAGTAGTAATTGTGTTATCTTCAAAGGCAGGCGTTTCCAGGAGTTTGATTAAATACTCGACGGTCGTTCTAAAGTCACCACGAATGCTCAGTTCCTTCAAGGCCATAACCATATGTTTCCTTGACGCGGATCGATTTTCTCCATAGGCAAAAATGTGGCCGAATTGGGAATCAGAGAAGTTATGAATTCCACCAGAAGTTCCAACGGAAAAATAACCCCATACGTTAGAGCTGCTTCGGAAGTTGAGCTCGTGCATCGTACCACTGGACGGCTTAAAGCCTTCGCCAGGATCCTCAGAAGTAATACGACAGGCCGTTGTGTGTCCCTTTGGCTGAGGACGCCGCTGAGCCTTGAGACTTTCCTCATTCGAGAAATCAAAATCGATCTCGGAACTGGTATTGACATCGACACCATAGAGAAGGCGAATATCTCTGATACGGTGTAAGGGAATACCCATGGCAATTTGAAGCTGAGCAGCTGGCAAATTAACACCAGTGACCATCTCAGTGGTTGGATGTTCGACTTGGAGACGAGGGTTTAGCTCTAGGAAGTAGAACTTGTCATCGGCATGGGAATACAAGTATTCCACAGTACCAGTCGAGACATATCCGACGAGTTTGCCGAGTCTCACGGCGGCGCGTTCCATCGCCTGGAAAGTAGAAGATTTCGCAATCGTGACAGGTGCCTCTTCGATGATCTTTTGGTGACGGCGCTGGACGGAGCAGTCTCTTCCGAAAAGGGAAATATTATTTCCATACTGATCGGCCAGCAATTGGACCTCTAGATGCCTGGCATTCCCAGCAAGTTTCATGATAAAAATGGGCGAACCGGGAATTTCACTGGCAGCGGCGTTGTAGAGATTGACGAAATCCTCCTCCCTTTCCACTTTGCGAATACCTTTTCCGCCGCCACCTTCGGACGCTTTAACCATCACTGGAAAGCCGATAGCTCTGGCTTTTTCTAAGCCTTCCTGAGGAGAATGTGTGCATCCTCGATCGTAGATGTCATCTTCGACGGTAACAATGCCATTGTCGTCAATCGTAACCTCGTCAACTCCCGAACCGGACCATGGAATGCACGGGACTCCGGCATGTTGTGCAACGATGGTAGAAGAGATCTTGTCACCAAGGGATCTCATGGCTGATCCTGGCGGGCCAATGAAGATAATCTTCTTAGGAGAGGCGGCTAACGATTCTGGCAGTTTTGGATTTTCCGAAGCATGTCCCCTGCAAGAAAAAAAAAAGAAAAGAAAAAAAGAAGGCTATTAGGAATCTAGAGCTGCGTGCTTTGGTGATCGGTCAAGCTTACCAGCCGGCCCAGACTGCATGAACTCCTGTTCTCTCCGCAACATCGACAATGAGCTCGACATTAGCAAAGTTGTTGTTATTGGTACCTCCGGGAACCTATTTCACTACCGTTAACCTTCCAAGTTCATGGCTCATCATTTCGTGTGTGTAGATTCAAGTGTCCGCATACTTCCACATATCTATCGGCCATGCGGATATAGTCCGCATTCGCCTGAAGGTCCTCCGGGGTTGCCATCACTGTGAATTGAATTGCGCGTTCATCACCGAATGTGTCATAGGCCCATTTCCGGACCGATCTGATCTCCTTGACGGCAGCAATGCCGTTGTTTGCAATCAAGACCTAGAAAAGCACAGAGGGCAGTTAGAGAGAAGGGTCCATGGCACTCAAAAGTGTAAATATGTATTTTTGCCAGAGAGTGCCAATCGCATCAATCCAAGAAAAGGCCAGAGTTTGCTTCAACAAGTGCAACTTACTGAGGTAATGACGGAGTGACCATCGTGCTGAGCAACAAAGTCCTTGACAGCCCCCGGTGGCGCTACCTCTAAGCTGTTACCGCCGATGAAATGTGATGGGATATTATGCTTTGCAGCATATGAGCTGCCATGACCGTTCGTGATCTCAGGCATGGTGATTAATATATCGCGGACGCAGGTTGGGAAATCGTGATCGTGTTAAAAGGAGAATAAAAGAGACACCGCCAGTATGCCCCGAAACCCGACAGCGCAATCAGCAGCGTATCAAAGCGTCCCAAAGTTCGAATCGAAGAATGAATTTTTGTTTCTAAACGGCTGCCGGATCGAAAGAAAATTATCCACCAAATCAGCACCACAATTCCCGGCCGGTCGTGGTGGTCATGAAGGAGACACGGATTATGAGATTGGCGAGTTTGAGAGGAGTGAAGAGATGGGCCAAAGTTTCCTCCCGCAAAAGAACGGGTGACAAGCAGAAGAGGAGAAGGGGGATGATGAGGATGATGCTTAGAGGAGGAGGGCGATTGATGCGAAGAAGCAAAAAAGAGAAAAAAAAAAAGAAGAGAGAGATAGGATGGGAAGAGGAACAGAGCGGAGAGAGGAGAGAGTTGGTGATCGGTAGTCGAGGGCAGCAAGCGAAGCTTCTTTGGGGGAAGGTTCAGCGCAGGAGAAAATGTACCCCGTACCTGGCAAGGCCTGTAATTAACACCCAGACGTCGGCGGAATGACCGAAGCCAATACCTTGCAAAACGAACCCGTAAGCAAATGGGCCCGTCTCGTTGGCTCGCTGTACAGTTTACGTCATTCGTCTCCCGGCGAGCTCTCAGCGGTACTGTAACGGTGATACGGCATTACAAGCTCCGGTCACAACGGTTCAACAAAATGTTAATGTTGGCGCAGCTTGGGGACAAGCAAGGACTTCGGAGTAACTCAAACTCCTTGCTGTTGGAAATCAGCGACTCTCCGGGGATATATTATTAACGAACAGGCTCTGCAGGGTCTGCGGAGAGAGCATTAATTGGAAGGCAGCTCTGCTCTTCCTGTCTTCACTCCACTCCTCTGGCCGTCCTTCTACAGCGAGATCAGGCCTCACCACAAGCCCCAGCAGGTAACATCTATGTAACTACTCTGCACGGTGTGTATGTACTCTGTAGGAATCTTGCCGAGTCAATCACTCCGGAGGACGTCGTACCGGCATCATCATCATCGTCGCTGATCAACGCATCCCACTACCAACATCGAGACATGACTGGCAGAGCCATTTTTGTCTTGTCAAAGCCCCTCGCCAAAGCCTTCCAACCCAACCCTTTTTCACCAAAAATTTCCAGCCCTATCCAACCTTGTTGGGGTAGGATCCCCCCTAAGAAAAAAAAATTACGGAGTCCGTCCATGCCCATAAACCACACGAATTTCGCAAGCCGTCCTCCCGTCCGGAGCACTCCCGCCTCATTATCATAATAATCTTTTTTTTTTTTTGGTGGTTATTTTACTTTAATTTTCTGATTCGCTTTCTTTCCGCCCCAGCAAGTCGCTCAGCGGATCCACCGGACGCCAAGCCAGCGCGGGTGGGGGCGCCTTCCCCCCCAACAAAACCCCTCGCTGCGGAAGTTTCGCGTTTTGAGTGAATTTCAGCCTTAACCCGATGCGGCCTAGCGCCAGGTTCGGACGTGCCTGCCGAAAATCTACCAAGCCTCGAAGTCGGCGCCACGGTTTTAGTCATTCACCGCCACAGATCAGAATTAGTTAATAAAAAAAAAAAAAAGAAGGGAAGCTCGCGGGAGCGGCCGGCTTTGTTGGCGTACTCCGTAATGTCCATAGTATTAAAATATGCTAAGGGACAGGGGGACAAGGGTGCTTGGTTCTCCCGGGCCGCAGGGCGGTCAGGTGGTTCTCGAACTGTTCGGAGTTTTGCTGGATTCGACTCTCGGGGAGCGAAAGGCCACTCGACTTAAGCTTAACTTAGCTACGGAACACTCATGTACGTGTTATATATATATATATATATATAGGTTCAAGGTTGCTGGAGGCGGCACACTTTTATTTTTAATTAATTAATTAATTAATTAATTTTTTTGTTTTCTTTTTTTTCCCTCCTTCTTCATTAAGATCACACACCATCTTTGAGTTACTATCAAACCTAAGATACATTTATTCATTCTCGCGAGCTTGAAATGGGAACCCGGGAGGCTAGATCCCTGAGAACCTTCCAGACCGTTTGAGGCGCCAGAAAGGGTTCCTCCCGGCGTGGACATTGCCGCCTCATCTTCGGCACCATTCTTCTTTCACTCTAGATCCATCATTTTGAATTCCCATCAAGACTGCTCGGAGGTATGTATGTAGTATTACTTCACGGCGAGGAGGTAATAAAACGAAAAAAAAGTATTAACTAATGCAAAATGAAAATATTGTGTAAACGAGCGAATAAGAAGCAAACAACAGCGATGTACACACTGGCAAGGGTTCAAGCTTTGGTACAAATGAAAGAAGCGAAGGAATAGAAACCTGCAACACAGGCAAAGAAGGTAATGTATGTTAGGTGGTTGCCAGGATTCGTCCGGGTGGTTTGAGCGAGATTATCAAAAGCAGAATGAGGGAGGGAGGGAAAAAAAAAAAAAAAAAAAAAAGGAAGCAAACAAAAACAAAGGCCCTCCCGATCTCCAGTGCGAACAAGGACTCCGTTGTTAAAACTCCCAGTAAAGCAGTCTGCAATAATCCAGAAGATCACGGCCTAGATAATGGGCAGGGATTGGTGGTCTTCATATCAACATATTACGGAGGTGCATTTAGTGGCCCCTGGGGGCAGGGGGGGGGGGAAAAGGGGGGGGAAGAGGATAATCAGGATATATGCCAGCCGTAAAATATCATAGCGCCGTGAGCAATGGTCCAGAATCAAAAAAAAGAAGAAAAAACAGAAAAAAAAAAGATATAAAGCACACTGTAGAGCGAACGTGAACGTTACAAAGCAAAAAAAACAACCCTAAAAGCTAGTATGTCTCTCCTAATGCACTGGCTTCATTTCTCCGCTCCGGTGGTAGCATTTCACCTTCTCGGCGGTCTAAACTCGAGCTGATACGCCGTCCATGAGATATACCGGACACACTTGATCCCCCGCTCTGCCTCTTTCTATGGCTGGCCGGCGTAGGGATGCTTGTTGGTGGGAACTCTCGTCCGTTGACCCCGCTAGGTCGGGGAGTGGGGGTCGTGATGTTCGCATCGTCCTCGTCTATGTATGACATGTTGGTTGAAGGGTTGTAGTTGCTCAGCGACGACCTCGGCCGTCTACCGTCTGATTCTGTGGGGGGAGTCTGCGAAGTTATCGGCGGTCTGGTGAAGCTTTGGCGGCTTTCGGACCGACGAAAGGGGATAGGGCCAGAGCCCTGGCTGGCTGAATAGCGGCTAGACGCGCTAGTGCGACTGCTCGGCCGGCTATCAGCATTACGGGATCGAGATGGCGTTGGTTGTGGCAGGCCAAATGAGCCCCGACTGGCGCGAGATGGTGTAGCATCGCTGTTCCGGGAGCCAGCAAGGCCGCTGCTCACACGCTTCCTTGCATTTCTCATTGTGACAGTGGAAGGAAGATATGTTTGACCCAGTATTGTGCTCGTCCTCGGAGATACCTTTGGGGGTGTACCAGTGGGTGCGGGCAGCCTTGACCTGGCTGAATGGACCCTTTCCTCTAGTTTTTGCATCTTGCCGATGAGACCACGTATCTGGTACAGCGAGCCAGACTTAGGCATCGCATTATTAGATGAGGGAGGGTTTGTGCTCGACCGCCGATAATATAAAGTCGGCGTGTTCTGTTTATTTGTCAGAGGCACTGGGGGCCCGCGGGAGTGTCGCGGGGGTCGTGACTGTGGAGAAGGTTTCTGAAACGACTTCAGCTCCGAAATGGACGTCCTTGGTCGAGAGAGCGTTGGAGTAGCCGGCACCTTGCGCACGTCGTTGGACCTTTCGGAGCAAGGCGGCGAAGGCGGGGTGACGGCGTCGGAATTTACAGAGGACACGGACTTTGCCGGTGGGGTTGCAATAGAAGGAGAGGACGTGGAGGTCGCGGTCGGTGAGCGCTCTGCATCTTCGAGAGGATGTAGAATGGAGATGCTTGAGGAGATTGAAAAATCCCTGCCCCTCCTCTTGAAGCCCTCCGCCTTGCGAAGCTTCTCCTGAACGATGTGAGTTTCGACTTTCAGATCGGACAGTTCATCACGAAGGCGTTGGTTCTCAATGCGCAACGATTCACGTTCCTGCTCTCCATTCTTAATCTCTTCTTCCAAAAGCACTCCTCGTTCTATCGCCACGTTGTACTTTGATTCAAGGTCCTCGAGGGAAGATGTGGTATGACGAGCCTGGCGTTCGAAGTCATCATTTGCAACCTCGATATCACGCAGTTTCAGTTGAAGTGATCGATTCGATTCGCGGAGGGTGGTTATCTCTTTCTGGAGCGTGTTTTGCGCCGAGTTTGCCTCCGACTTGGCCTGCTTGTACTTTGTCTGTCGTAGTCAAAGCGTCAGTAGACTGGTGGAAGGCGATGTGGCCCGGCCACTTCACGCAAAATACAGTATGCTGTCGGTTTGAGATCGGTGGATCTAACCTTCCATTCCTCCACTTCGTATCCTAAGCTTTCCACCTTCTCCTTTAACTTCCTTTCCCGTTTCTCGGACGCTTCGATATCTTTCTCAAGCTCGGTCTCCAGTTCTCGACTGGAAGCTTGGAATTCGGTCAACTCCAGTTCTAACTGTTCATACTGAGCTTTGTAGTAGGCAATGGCTTCGTCGGAAGACGTGAAATTGTTTGGTGGTGAGGAGGGCGTTGCGTTAGGCATCGCGATCGCTGGGATGCCGCTTTGCCAGAAGTGAGCTGAAGAGAGCAACGAATGCTCAGCGATGACGAGTGAAGAATGAACGTTAAAACGATGGGCTGACCCGGTTGTCGGGTGCTTTGGGCGGCTAACTCCGATATCTCGCTACTTGCCGGTTGCGATAGGAACCCCAAGTTGTGATAAATAGGAGATGAAACAGCTGATGAGAGGAGGAGGAGGATGCGCCCCGTAATTACCCTGATGGCATCGAGCACGCTGCGATTCCTCTCGAAATCTAGCTTGGCCCTCCTGCCACGGGTAACAAGGCGCTGTGAAGCTGACTTACCTATCCTGCTGGGCTATTGCGGGACCATCGTTTGTTTGTTGTCGGGCAGTTCGAGGTCGAGCGTCATCATGGGTCGGTCAGGCATGATGTTTGGGGTCCTCCGCCGGCACCCAATCACATGTGATTATGTAACAACACATCCATGACATCGAGGCTAGCCCGGATGCGGCTAGCGCAGTTGCTGTTGCCGGGTCACCTGATGCCCATCTACGTTGAGCGCGGAAAAGTGACGTGCACATTACGAGCAGCCTATCGTCGTGACAGCAGTCCATCCGCATCCGACCATCAAACCCCTACCAAGCCAGCTGAACCCGCTCTGGTAAGCCTTCTATTTCCACGCTTTGGATACCCGCAGTGCGTTGCCGCAGCTTCACTCCACACTTGGAGCCTCTAGGGTCCCCGTTTGCTCTGCATGATGTCCCCCCTTCCCCTTTGTCTGAACACGGCTCTCCTATGGCCACGCACGACTCCATCTTAGTGCCATCCAACCCTGAATCACCGCCTCAAGCACTCTTGTTTGGAATTTATTCACATCATGCTAACAAGGCTCAGTGGAAGCCTCCAGTTGATCCCGGCATGGCCGGCAGCAGCGCCATGGCAGATACAACCGACTTGAGCTTGGATGCTCCTAGCGACCTCCAGGACATCCCCGACATCTCAATGGACTTACTTCCGCCACCGGAAGGTACATATCCCGACCGGGCTACTTTGTTAGCGTCTGTTCAAGCTCATGGAAAGGCGCACGGATACAACGTAGTGGTCAAGTCCTCGAGCACTCCAACGGAGAAGAAGCCAGGCCGCACGGCAAAGGTGTGGCTGCGATGTGATCGTGGTGGTCAATACAGACCCCGGAATGGCCTCACTGAGGAGACCCGAAAACGGAAAAGAACGTCTCGCCTTATGGACTGTCCATTCATGATGGTTGCTGCAGGAAATCCGGGAATATGGACGCTCACGGTTTTGAACCCAACCCACAACCACGGCCCGGTGACCGAGAAACCCCGACCAGCTCCTCAGACCAGGGTCAAGAAAGGTCAAGTCAGCTCGGTTCCTTATGATTGGCCACACGATGCGACCTTTACTCCATTCACAACGGCCCTGGTTCTCATTGATATGCAGCGAGATTGTAGGTCTAAATCAGCCCACATCATCCAGAACTGTACTGATATCTCCGCCTCTCTACCCATTGTTAGTTTGTTCGCCTGGAGGTTATATGGAATTCCAGGGTTATGATGTCAGTGGAGCCCAGATTCTTGTTCCCAAATTACAACGGCTTTTGCATGCATTCCGAAATGCTGGATTTCCGGTTTATCATACACGTGAAGGTATACTTCTCCAAGCCCCCCATTTATCGTTGATCCATGTTACTAAGTATATACAGGTCATCGAAGTGATCTCTCCACCCTCTCAACCCGAGAGAGCTTCCGGTCTCGTAACAATCCCTCAGGTCTTGGAATAGGTGCAGATGGCCCTCTTGGTAGGTTTTTGATTCGCGGGGAACCAGGGCATGATATCATTCCAGAGCTGTACCCTATTCTAGGCGAACCAGTGATAGATAAACCTGGCCGTGGGGCTTTTTCACATACCGATTTTGAACTACTTTTACGAAACAAAGGCATAAGGAATCTTATTCTTACTGGCCTAATGACGGACGTGGCCGTCTCAACCACAATGAGAGAGGCTAGTGATCGTGGGTTTGACTGTCTTCTTTTGGAGGATGGAACTATGGCACACGACCCAGGCTCCCATGTAGCTGTGTGCGAATCGATCAAGAAAGAGGGTGGTGTCTTTGGCGCCACTGGCAAGCTGGACGATATCGTTCGCGCTGTGGAAAACTTCAGAACCACTACTGTCAAAAGGCTTGCTCCACAAATGACCGCGGTAGCGTGAAATTCTCGCTCCTCGTGCCGCCATTACACAGAGAGCATCCATCCAACCTCTTTGGAATGGGATAATTCTTTGATACGAGATTACGAAGGCATTCAATGGTTCAAAGCAGCCAGTTATATTTTGCTGTTTCTTTTGGGTTGGATGAGGGCTTTCTGCTTTGTAAATTATGCATCACTTGTTTCCGCTGGTATTATTTTACAACGATTTAGGACTGTCTAGGTGTACTCCGTACATTATGGCCGTATCAGATGCAATTGCTCTGGCAATTCAATTCTTTCTCGATGTGGGGAACTGGGGTATCACGATCTGCAAAGTATCGATGGGACACAAAAAGATTCTTTCCGGTCCATGCTGTAAAAAGCCCAGGAAACCAAATCAACAGACCTGTATCTCAGAAATAAAAGCAACATCCCAGCCGTCTTAACTCCTCTACCGTACCAACGGAGTTCAGGATGAGAAATAACCACCAGAAGACTCCTTACACCAAAGCTCTATACGAGAAACACGCTGAATGGACAGAAATCTATAACCACTTCTTCCCCGCCGCGAGCACCTTACTTCGAAATACGGGGCTCTTGATTTCCATTCCCCTTCGATAAAACGGATTCATAATTGTCTTCACCCAGTTTTCATACACTTCATTCATAAACTGTCGTACCGCTTCCTCCGTCTGCGGGGACGTGGGATTGTTTGCTATAGACGAGGATGACGCACGTGTGCTTGCGACGAGCGTTGAAGAAGGCGAAGGTTGGAGAGGCTGATGGAGAAGGAGGAATCGCACTCCGGTGCCAGTCATAAAAGCGGAAACGTAGGCTGATGCCGGTGGGTAGGTATCGATATGCTTTAGGTACCTATCTGAGATTAAGCGCCGTGGTCGGGTCGGTTTGGGAAGCAAGCGGGAACATACATGGCTCCATTAGTCCACTGGACTTCTTCCACAATGTCCAGACTAGCGTGCACGATGAATTGGTTCATATATCTTGAGGTATCAGGGAATCGGAACCTGGGGACTCCATCTCCGCCACCCTTGGAGGTGCCGAAAGCTTGACTGAAAAGCGGCGAGTCGCTTGGTGATAAAATAGTGAAATAATAAGACATGCTGGCTTGAATCCCGTAGCGCAGGCTCAAATGCTTCCCAGCTCTCCGCGTTTTCTAGCAGCACTTCTCGTCATCATTAGATCGCATTTCGTCGCGTTCATCAAGGCGGCGGCCCGCACAGGGTTGGGTCACGTGATATTACCGCAAGCTCGCGACTCGCCGATCCATCCATCCTACGAAGGGCGCACGTCTGCCCATTTAGCAGTCACTGCCTTGAGGTTCCCGAGGACTCAAGTCGACTAGCAAGAAATAGATGAAGCCTATCACACCATAATTTGAGCCATCCCCTGGAGATAATGGCACCGCCAACCCTTTCATATGGCCTTAATTTGGCCTCCAAGAAGTCGCAGCCCGCCACCTCCGCAGGCTCGTCCACATCCAAGAAACGCAAAAAGACCATCTTTGATTCGGATTCCGATAGCGATACGGGACCTACAGAAGACACAAATGGTGAAGAAATTACTACTCTAGGTGGCCTTACTTCTGCGGATCCAGAGCCGCCATCCAAAAAGCAACAGAACGCACCCCCGAGGAAAGCCTTTTCTGGAAACGCAGATGGCAAGCAGAAGGACTATACAAATCTCTCAGCCCTGCATAGCAGCAATAAGCACTCCCAAACGGCCGCCTCTATTGATCCTAGCATTTACGACTATGACGACATTTACGACTCCATCCATTCCAATCGTAAGAAAATCTCAGCCTCCGCGACTACATCTTCCGGACCTAAGTACATGACGTCTTTGCTACGTAGTGCCGAAGTGCGCAAGCGCGACCAGCTTCGCGCTCGAGATAAGCTGTTAACTCGCGAGCGCGACGCCGAGGGTGATGAATATGCGGATAAAGAGAAGTTTGTGACGGCAGCATACAAAGCGCAGCAGGAAGAAGTGAGACGGATTGAAGCCGAGGAGGCCGCCAGAGAGAAAGAAGAGGAGGAAAGGAGGAAAAAGGGCCTGGGAATGATGGGGTTCTATAAAGACATGCTAGAAAGGGATGGAAGAAGACACGAGGAGGCGGTTAAAGCTGCTGAGGAAGCAGCTAGCAAAAAGCAAGCAAGGAGAGAAGATGAAAATGAAGAGCAGCAGGAAGAAAAGTCTGCTGCCCAGATTGCCGCGGAGTTGAATGCTCGTGGCGCACACATCGTGGTTAATGACGAAGGAGAAGTCGTTGATAAACGTCAGCTTCTCTCCGCTGGGTTGAACGTTGCTCCGAAAGCGAAGGCAAAGACAACTCCAGCTTCATTTGCAGTGGAGTCGCGTGCAAGAGATATTCGATCTGATCGTTTTAGTGCTGCTGCATCTGCCCGCTCACAGCAGCGCGAACGCCAGACAGAAATGATTGCCGCACAATTAGAAGAGAGAATGCGTAAGGAGAAGCAGGAAGAAGAGGCTCGACTGAAGGAACTGGCCGAGAAGAATAAGAGCAAGAAGACGGCGAGCGATGTAATGAGTGCGAAGGAACGGTATCTCGCCCGAAAGAGGGAAAGAGAAAAAGAGAAGGAGCAAGAAAAAGGAAAATAGGCAAATGCAGGAATTGTCGGGTCCGCCTGTTGTAGTCTATTTCAGTTGGCTTTTGAGCGGGGGTTGGAGTTAGGGGCAACTTGCGATTTGGATCTATTTCATTTCATAATGATATCAGAGTCTAAAACCACTTATCCTTGTCAAGGAAATAAACGCTTTTTAAAGGCCATATATAGATATATGTCGCTCGTCATCATAATCATCATAATAATATCGTGAGGGGAAAAGTGTAGAGAACAAAACCGAAACGGATATGCAAAATTGGGATCAGATGAGCAAGGTTCGCAATGAATCGCCCAGGCACCGCGTATTTCATGAAACCAGTGACCAGCACCAGACGATAAAGGCCACCGGTGGCGTACATCATCGGCAAGGATTTCAAGCCGTCAATGCAAAACTAAGGCCGAGAATTCCCATTCCAGCAATCGCAAACCCAATGCACAAATTTGGATTGTGTGATAGTACCAACCCCTCGGAAAATAATTGCAGAGAAACGTTCGTCATTACACCGGCAGTCGCGGCAAACATACCCCCATAGACTGCCCAAGATGCACCATTCGGGTCTTCTATGTCTCCTGGCACGGGTCCGTTTGCTCTCCGTGCGCCCCAAACCCACAGCGCAGCTAGTCCAGCGCCAGCCGGCTGGCTTACGCCACCTAAGAGGCTAGACCAAACCACGGCCTTTAATCTTGATTTTAGGGCGAGATAGAGTGGCAATGCCATCGCAAATCCTTCAGTAATGTTGTGAATAAAAAGCGCGATAAAAACTGACCAGCCGAGTGTAGGGTTTGTGTGGTTGGTTGCATAGGTGATAAAACCTTCAGGAAGTTTGTGTAATGCTATGGCAAGTGAGGTCTGCAGCCCAATGGATAAAAAGGCATTTTGGGGAACATGGTGATGATGTTCTTTTGAAGGAGGGGGCAAAGGCGAATATGCTGTCGTGGAGTCGAAAGCCGGGGTTCCTTGGTCAGTTCGAAGAACATCGTCATGGCCGGGAGAATGTTGAAGCGGTTCGCCGCTCATCATATCGGTTGTATGAGATGAGTGAATACTACGTGCTTCGTCGACTACGCCTTTGTCAACATCTGGCTGCATAGCGACTGATTCGGCAACTATTTCCGGCATTCGAGAGTTCTCCGGGGGTAGGGGCCCAGAGGAACTGCGATAGCGGAGAGCGTCAGGCCGGCCAGGAACCCCAGCAGCCTCTTGATCCCTGTGTTGCGTGATTGTCATACACTCTTGGCCACAAGCTTGAGAAAAACCGTAGCACGGACCAGTATTGTCGCATGCAGCTTTCCGAACACCAACTAAGCCACTAATTGGGCCCGACAAGATAGACCTGATAAAAGATGCATGGGGCTTTGTAGGTTCAGCATGTGGCACTGGCTGATGAGCAGGGGTAGTCGCCGAACTTGTGTTCTCGGATGCTGTTATCAGCGGCGTACGCTCTGTGGCAGGTTGGTCAGGGATGACAGAGGTTCCATTTGCTGGTCTAGGGACGTTGTCAATCTTTCCATCTTCTTCATGAGTGTGGGCACAGGCAACCACATGAGAAGGTATATGGCTGTGAATCCAGCCAGACACGATTTTGATCACAATAACCCCGAGGAGAAACAGCCCTATTAACATGAATGCAGCCATGCCGGAGGAATAGCCTGCGCGGATAAGGTACTCTTTTGACGTCGGTAACATGCTGAAGAGCGAAGTGAATAACTATGCGTCTCATTAGTCTCATGCTGCAAGCATTACCCATGTTTGACACATGCGCACCAGAACACCTGCACTCAAGCTCATAGATGATGAGAGAAATACATCGCTATCCGAGATCTGAAAATTCCTCTTCCCAAACCAATTTCGAGCAACGATGTCCACGCATATGATGGTTGACCCCAGTACGCAGGCTAAAGTTGCATTTTATTAGCGAATGCAGGAAGAAAAAACAGAGGCGGCGATCAAACATACCGACACCACTAACACAGCTCATAACCCATCCCCGGGTGTCATTATCGAGCCCCATCCTGCTGGAGGGACGGCTTCAAGTGTCGTTAACGGTCAACGGTGTAGACGACGTGAACTCAGAAAGGACGAAAGGTAGATTTTTCAGGTTGTGTGGGCTTTCAAAGCCTGGTAATTGAGACCAAATTATTCCCTAAGGGGTCTCACTCGAATGATAGGCAGAAACAAAACCGTTCTGCTGAGCGAGGAGCTGACAGCCGTGAGAAGACGGCTAACGTCGCATCGCAAGCTTCAGGTTCTGCAGACTCGCCTGCTTTTTGCTGCTGACCAACGGAGCCCGAAGGATTACATCACCCGGCGCGCGGTAACTAATGGTCACGTGGTTCACATGGTGACACAGCTCCCGATGAGGACTAGCGTGCCCTCAAGGTACCCACAGCGATAAGCCGCAATCTTATCTCCGGATGTGCTTACTTAATCGACCATGATTGGTCAGAGCTCTGGTCCCAATTTCCGGCATCTGATTGGCTGAAAATGCACCGCCGCCGTCGAACGCGCAGGAAAAACAAATCATCTTTCGTCGTCTCGCTGCATGGGGGGGATTGCGTGCTGGTGTTGAGAGACAGGGAGGTCAGCTCAGCAACCAGAGACAGTAAGCCATTTCCAGGATCTTGACTGTGCTTCACGGCCCGTGGTTCAATCCGGGATTCATTGTTTGGATTACTAGCCGGGGCGCTCGACTCAAACCATGTCCAAAGCAACATTCGCAATCATCGCCGCAGCGGGTGCTGCCACCGGTGCTGGCGTCACTGCACTTGTCTACTCAGCCAAGGCTTCCCGTCAGCAGCCGCCGGTATCGCCTGCTCTACCGTCACCAGCCAAACCTCCGGTACCCTCACCGAAACCTGCGGTTATCCCACATCCATCCACTCCGCAGATACCGACCCGATTCCCAGCGCCCGTTGATCCAACCGGCCTCCTCCAGTACGGATTCCCCGGTCCAATTGCCGACACCATAAACAGTGCCCCCCTGGCAAGCGCATATGACCGCCGCACACGCAACCCATCATGGGTGGCCGAGCACATCACGCCCGAGTCTCTCAAGCTCAACAACGCCGACCGCAAACACAGCGTCTTCTACGAAGACCAAAGCATCCCCGCCGCATTTCGCGCCAAGTTGAGCGATTACTTCCGCTCCGGGTACGATCGTGGACACCAGGTTCCCGCCGCAGATGCAAAATGGAGCCAGGATGCCATGGACGCGACATTTGCTCTGACGAATATGTGCCCGCAGGTTGGGGAGGGCTTCAACCGCGACTACTGGGCGCATTTCGAGGAATTTTGCCGAGGATTGACGAAGAAATACCCTTCTGTGCGTATCGTCACTGGCCCGTTGTATCTACCGAAGAAGGATCCAACCGATGGAAAGTGGAAAGTCACCTACGAAGTTATCGGAAATCCACCAAATGTTGCCGTTCCAACACACTTTTATAAAGTTATATTCGCGGAAGATGGAAAAGAAGGAGGGAAGGTTAGCCTGGGTGCCTTTGTGATGCCAAACGCGCGCATCCCAAATGAGAAGAACCTGTCCGATTTCGAAGTTCCCTTGGAGGCTGTAGAGCGTGCCAGCGGCTTGGAGTTCACATCAAAGCTTGCTGCAGACCGGAAGAAGAGGTTATGTCAGGAAGTGAAGTGTGAGATCATGGTGAGAGAGTTCGCGAAGGCAACTAACAGAAAGGCATTGCCATCGCCTTGACATATCTTATGAACGAGTTTTTTCCGCACCGTTCTGGGGAATCTTTTTTTTTATTATTAAGAGGTTGGACTTAGATTATTTGTGTATGATACAGCATGTTCATGGGTATATAGGCAGCATGATGTGATTGTCTTTTGATCAAATGACGTACAGAGTATGATCATTAACATTGAAAAGCTGTCCCGGCCTTTTTCGCAAGATTCGCTCCTCCGCCCGCAAAGCCGGTACCCTCGCTACATATTGCGACCAACCCGGGTCGTATCTTCTCCTTATCTTTGTCCTTCTTACCATCTTTTTTAGACTTTCTCTCAGTGATATCTGTCTCACAGACATAGCAAAGCATCCGTCCATGACGCTCAGTTTCTTCAGGGTCCTGCGCGTGAGGATCTGGATCTTTATGGGGCGTCATAAATTTTTCTACACAGGGTTTGCAGATTACATGCCCACACGGTTTCGTTACTGGACTTGTGAGCAGTGTTGTTCATCGTATTCTTTCTGCTGCGGGTGGGAACTTACACATCGCTTTGACACCGTTTTTCAAAGCCCGTTTACAAGACGGGCAAACCCTTATCATTTCTCCTGACTGGTCATCTTTTACTTCTGAGAAGTTTACCGAGACTAGATATTTCAAGGAATAACCATGTTTGTTTGTAGGCGTAGAAGCGGGACAAATGGGGCTCAATTTCGCAGGTTTGGCATCATTCGCACCGTTCTCAGTAGATGGCGTCAACGACGGGATCCAGAAAGAAGGCATCTGCGGCTTCGCAGACTCGCTCTAAAGAAAACATTGCCGTTAGCCCGAATTGAACGTAGAAGATAGATGGGACGGCGAAAAGGTGTCATGCCCTCTCCCGTTGAATCTCCTTCCGTATTCTTTCCCTCTCCTCCCTGGCAATCCTCTTCATCTCCATCTCATCCAGCTCAAACCCCTTTCTCTTCTTCCTCGCCAGCTCTTCACCGCTATTCGGACTTCCCTCGCCCTCACGTGTACGGTCTTGGTCCTGTTCTCGGTTTGAAAACTTCCTCTTCCGATCCTCCAACCCCATGCTTATCATTTCAAACTCCTTTAACTCTCTCTCCCTCGCTTCCTGCGCCAGTCTCTCATCATTTTCCTCTTTTTCTTGCTGCTCCAGCTCCCGCTCCTTCTCTAGTCGCTTAATTTCTTTTCTTTGCGCTAAAAGGTCGTTCACAGCGCATTCCCGACAGAATATATCGCCGTTAGTGGCACATGCAACGACCGGAGAGCGGGCGGGGAGAAGACATAGTCTACAGGAGGAAAAGGGCAGGAAGGATTCACGCGATAGTCTTGTACTCTGGGATCCCCAAGTGGAACGGAGGAGAGACCTTTCATACGAGGTGAAATGGGGAAGAGATGTGTTGCGTTTAGAGTGTGCCATTGCAAGGATGTTAGTGATCAAAAATGCCGCCAGGGGAGGGCCGGATGTGAGGATAACAATGTTCCGCACAGATAACTAATAATATTCAAGATGAGACGCGCGCGGAGTCTCGCTAACATGATGTGTTGAGATCGCCCCGGCCGTCGCTGGGATGCGCAAAACCAGAGTGGCTGACTAAACAAAAGGGTGCCCCAAGCTAGTTAACTAAATGCCAATCACGACGCGTCCTGGCCAACTTATCACCACCACCATCCATCGTCAATCCCAATCATTCCATCAATGCGTCGCTCTCCGGGTGTCCGGCTCACCATATTCTGCCACATGTCCCTGAAATTCGACCACCAGAACTTGAAGTACCAGTTCACGTTGATGTATTTTCACCTTTTGCCTCCCTTGGATCTTCTGCCCTTCTTCCCTCTGCCATTGCCATTGCCTTTCCCCTTCCCATTGTCCTGATGAAGCCGAGTTTCATCGTGTTCTTTCTTCTCCACAGCTAGGGCCTGTAAAAGCTCTTGAAAGCCGTCCGTTTCGTTTGCCTTCTTTGTGTTCTTTTTTTGTTTTAATAGCCCCGGCGACTCTGGATCTTTAGCGTTCTTCTTTGGTCTCTCGATATCGCACAGCCGAAGGTATTCGTCATCGCCAGCTCCCAACATGAATGCAATCTTATTCCCGTCCATGTTCTGTGTAATGATGAGCTTCTCTGCTTCATCTTTTGTTGATAAACCCCTTTTTGAATCACTGCTGTCCGCAAATTCTGCCACGTTTGCCTCAACTTGCGCCAATTTCCACAGATCTGGCCCGTCACATCCTTGGATCATATAGAAACCCGTGCGCGCTGCATTCAAGAACATTGCAGCGCGCCCTGCATCTGAATGATACGCACATATTCTTGCGCAATGTGCCAAGACCTCACAATACCGTCGATCAAACAACTTGTGGCCAGAGAGCTTCTGCAGAAGCTGAGACGCAGCTCTGAGTGCTCTTGCTGGCTGGGCCTTAGCCACAGCCGGGGAAAACACGACAGGAGCCAGTTCATTCACAAGGAGAAAGTCTGCGTCAAGTTCTCGGTCTTGAGACTCGCAGTATTCGCAAGCACATTCAAACCCGAAATGCTCTTTCATGTGTTGCTTTCTTTCAGTGGTGTCCAAATGGATCTCGTCGTATGCCACAGTAATTTCCTCACCCCGGCTTATTTCTCTGCATGCACGTATATTCAAAAACGTCGATTTTACCCCTTCGGTGTTCGCCTCAATAAGCGTTTGTTGGGCATTCGGGACACAAGAATGATTAATTTTTGAGGACCAATGACCGAGGACTCGGACCTTTTGACCGGAAGGAAGAGTGCATGGAATGCAATTTTTCTCGAAATATGCGCCGAACTTCCCCCATTTCTCTTCCGAATCTTTCTTGAGCGTGAAGAAAAAGTGGGTGAAGTTAGGACAATTGACTTCCTTTATTTTCTCCGCCAGCATCTTGTTATAGTCTTTGATTGAACCACCCATGGACTCTAGGGTGTCTTGCACAACCATGACTGGTTCATGAGTAATGATCTGGCAACGGGGCATCTCCATCATTGCGGCTAGTCCTGTTCCTTGCTTTTTGAATTCTGCAGCTGTCCACCCTATGCCCGGACTGGCAAGCAGACGGATAAGAGGAGTGGCATTCTCGCGGAGAAAAGGCGAAGGAGTACTCCCCTGCGCATAGGCATCAGCATCTTATCCCAGGATCCTCTTTTCTGCATAAAGCCTGGCTTTAGTGTCTCATAGAATATTGCACTACTCACAACTTTAATTACGCATTTCAGGAAAGTGTTGAAATCGGGCAGTCCGTCATCTTCTGGGGTCTGATGTTTGACTTTGCCGCTTCTAGCATTGCAAGGGGCAATCCCTAATGAATCCTGGTCCGCTGATTCCGGAATCATCTCTGAAGAAAAGTCTGCGGCGTCGTCCCCGGGGGAGTTCTTTAAGGTCGCTTTCTCTTGCGAGCACCGATGCTGTGCCAACTCCTGCGAATCAGCTGCCACGGCCTCATGAGCGGGTGGCGTAGAGTCTAGGGATTCCGGCGTAGCAGTATTTAGAGAGGAGTTTTCCTCAGGAGGGCCCATGTTGCAGATGCTGACGCCGGGTATGAAGCTATATGTATTTATCAAGAGGTCCCCTGTTGTCAGCCATTTCTTATGTCACGGCTTTTTATCTTGTCGGATCTCTGGATTCATACCAGGCAGCGGCTTTATGATATGCTTACCTACAAAAACCAGCAATTCGAACTGGCAGAGCAGGGTGGGCAGCCGGGATTCAGCTGTAGGAAGAATAGAGAAAAGAGTGGCAGAAGACTAAAGCGACGCGAAAGCGAAATATTCACTCGCGCTTTCTGTTGTTTTGATTCAGCTCTTGCTCACGTGAATCTAGCGTATTGCCCTTTTGGGTATCAGGAAGGTTCGCTTAGCTGCTGTGAATGGAAAACGCCGTATCAAGACACTGTGCACACTTCACATTGGGCCCCAACAGCTATGTCTTCTTCTTTTTTTTTACTTTTCTTTTCGCCTTGCAGATAAGATACTAAAGAGACTTTATGGGTTTTCATGGCTATTACAATTGTTTACAATGTGATGAAAAAACAACCTGCAAGACCTATTTTTGGTTTCAACAAGCTGATCGGGGAAATATTGGGGTGTGCAGCAATTCAAGGTTGACAACACACACAATGACAGGAAAATTGGAGGGCCATAGCAAAAGCAGTCCAGGGACAGGGCTCAATGATAAAGTAATATGCGGGCCAGTGTAGGTTTAACCCAGGCTTTTCATAGGCAAAAACTGAATATGAGTACAGAATGGTGGTAGAAGACTTGTACAAAGGTTTGGGTGCAGTCGGAGAGAGGGGTCAACGCAATTCAAGGCAGCGAATAACAGCAAAAGCAGTGGGTGGGAATCAGGCAGTCATAATCATCGTGAGAAAGGTTGGAAGAGGAAAGGGATAAGGAGAAATAATGAAAGCAATACTATGCTTCAATGGTCTATTCCGAGGCAATGCGATCCGACAGGAGAGAAGAATCGTCAATATTCGGTTCAGGCTCTGTGGGAGTCAAATCCTTCTTTCCTGGTGGTTGATCTATCGAGGTTTGCTCTTTAGCGGTCAGGGACCGAAGCACTCCGTCAACCGACTCATGGGGAGGCTCTTCTTCTTCTTCGATAATAACAGCAGAATCTGCGTCAATTGTCACAGAATTTTCATTGTTGAGATGGGGACTGGTCTCTGGGAGAGACTCCCCGGGAGAACCGAGCCCGGTAGCTTTCTCTTGAGCCCTGTCCAGCTGCCGCAAACTCTTGGCCGTAGTCGTGCTGACAGATCTTAGAGAGTAAGCCTGTCTGCCGCTCATACTTTCAGAGCTGACAAGATCAAGCCCCAGCATTTCGGAAGCGCGAGAGTCTTCAGTATGGGTTGGTCTGCGTTGCTTGAGGCGTTGTTCAGGGGACATGTTTTCCCATTCTGAACCAAAAGTAACAACTGAGGCCTTTTTCCCGTGAACAGTGAAGCTTCCAGCACCACGCGCTAAGGTTTCTGTTTCAGCAGCATCATTCCCGTCGTCCGCTGCAGAAACGGTTGTACCGGAATCTTTACCCTTTTTGCTTCGCTGATGATGGGGAATAAAATGGCCATCACGAAGCGTGCGATGTAGGCTCCTTCGAATCTTACTTCGACCTTCACCAAGCGCTGGTTCTACCCGACCATCGTTATTTGCGGTGTTGGGTTCATCTGTTGCGTCAGCGGATGCAGACATTTGCAAAAATAGCTCATTGGATAGAATACCGGCTTCCCGAAGGAGACGCTCTTCTTCCGTGTCAATTACACTCGATGTTGGGGTTTTCTGCGCCAACGACTGTTTTGCAGATCCGTTCGACTCCAATTTGTTGATAGAGCTTGTCGTTGAGGCCTGAGGTGGTAGGAGAGTTTCCCCAAATGATTTTATTGAATCAAGAGCGGCATCATCTTTACTCCCATCAATTAACGGCCTTCCTAGCGATGCCGTTGTTTCTGGCGAAGAAAGAGAATTTGGCAATCCTGGTCTCTTAACGGTGGTTGATATGCTCTCTATCAATTGATCGGGTAGGTTGAATTCCTTCGACGGCGTTGGGGAACGAGAACGAGCTCGCTTGGAAGATCGGTTGCTTTTTGGAGACGTAGGGGCAAGGCTTGGTGCTGATTCTGACAATATTTGATGTTCCCGGCTTGAAAAGGAGCATATCTCGTTTCTGCCCGGGGAGCTGCTGGGAACTTTCTTTACAGATGGTAAATGCTTCTCCTCTTCCGCTAAGTCAAGCGCCAGCACATCTCTGTGACATCTTGCCCGCCAAATGTCTAACCGAACCCATTTGATATTAGCTGCAATTCGCCCAGCCGCCAAAACAACGTTGTCTCTGGCACGTGGGTGAATAGGCGTCAGAATTTGGAGGTGTCGAGCATTTTGCAAAAGATCGTCCAGTTGTTTCTGAGTTACAGCGAGTTTCTCGTCCGCTTCTTGCACCTTTCTAGAAACGAGTTCGCGACGCGCAGCAAAGATCTCTTCTGCAAGGCAGGGGTCCATTCTTCTGGTATTGGCGGCAGCTGAGTCTAAGATGGTGGGAGTCTCCGATGTGTCTGACGTTACTGAGTCTGCCCTAGTGGATTTGTGAGGCAAATGGCCTTCATAATTCGCTCCAATCATTCCCCTCATACGAACAGCCGTTGTTCTGAAAGCAGCCGCATAATTGATGGTCGCTATCCAATCATTCAAGTCGGTATCGCTATTAGCTAAAAGGACCTCCTCAAATCCTCCGTGTTGAACAAATAAAAACGCATGCTTATGCCGTTTATAGCTGGCGTCCAGCAGTGCCACAGCATTCGCAGTAGACACGATCGAATCTGGTTTAAAATCGCTGACGGGAGGTTTGAAAGTCACAGGGTGGCGGCGCCCACCAGTTTGCCTCGATTCATATTGAGAGATCAATGACTTGACCCACTGAACGTCCTTGAAAAAATAGAGCTGCGAACCAGTGAGAACAGCCCCCCATTCCTGCCACGGAGATCTGGTTTTCTTCTTTTTCTGATCTTTCCTCCACAAAAGTCCAACCTTGGCTACCCGAATATCTACAAGGCCAGGTTGTGATTCGGCGGGATTCGCGATGGAGGATTGTGTCAGAAAAGCATCCGGACGGGATCTTTCCGAGACTATCTGCAGGACACATGGCTTATAAAAGGCCCGGTGAAGGTCGTTCATATTTGGCGAGGGGCCAGCTCCTGAAACACTGTACACATCTTCCAAATCCATTACATCCTTGAGATTCGGTCTAAGACTGCCAAGTTTGCCTTCGAGGATCAAAGCATAGGGATCGACGGGGTCTCTGGACGATCTTGATAGATGGTCAGTGCTCGCGGTCTTGAATAATGGGCTTCGTGCCTTGGGCGCCAGCCGTCGTACACCCAGATTAACTTCATCCTCCACGTGGATAAAAGGGGTGTAGCAGATATTGTCATAGAAGCATTGAAGGATCTCTTCCGCTAAGCCTTCGCCTCTTGTGTTACGAACGTAATCCTGCTTCTGCATTTTCCTTTTGTTGTTTTTGTTGAAGACGTCGGTATGAAGGATCAGCAACGAGAACGCGATGAAATAAGCTTGATCTAAAATGACACGCATTAGTCGGGAGCTCGAATCCGGAAAAGGGACAAATATTGACTTACCAGGAGATGCAAAAATTCCAGGGTTGCATTCGTGATATCGCTCGGCAAAGCTTTGGAGTACGCGGTCGATCTGCTGGGTTTCCTTCGGCAGTTCAGCCTCCATAAGCAATTTTCGAATTGACATGTCCATCGCATCGCCAAAGAATGCAAAACCGCGAATATATTTCCTCAATGTTGCCTTATAGAAATCGTCTCCTGATTGTGAGAGAATCGTGGCAATAGCTGCACGGTGAACCGCACCTTCGAGTCGCGTAAGGTAGGTTGCGGGCGTGTCATCTGGTTCTCGGGGTGGACAGCTAGCTACTTCTCTTGCGAGTGAGAAAGAATTTGGCTTAGATGGCATTGATTGAGGGGTTCCTGGAACTTCACCAGCCGCATATCCCTCTATATTGTGTCGAGATCTTGAAGGGTTAAACAAGTCACTAAAGCTCTTTCGCGGGCCGGTAAACGTTGATGTGCCACTAGATGGAACAAGTTCGGAAGACAACTGACGAGTATCATCCTGGATATCGGCAAGAGAGCCTATTGTGGATGATCTTCCCCTAAAATTGGGTCTGTTTGAGACTGAAGATCTCCTTGAATGGGCGGATGTCGTGGAGTTATTGCAAAAGGTATTCGGCTCAACAGGCCCACGTCCGACAGATGAGCGGGAAGGGGAAGGAAGGGGCGAAAGATGTTCCCGATCTTGATCCGCGGAAGATATTGCGCGCGGCTGCTGATCGTGCATGAAGGTTTGCCCAGGGAGATTTTTCATAAGAGAAGGAAATAATAGGCTGTGTCGATTCTTCCTAAGAAGGCGGAGGAACGAGGATGTGCTCGAAGAGGCGTCGGTTCTAGATGCGGAATTGTAAACGCCATGGTCTCCCGAACTAGCCTCAGACCTTGACGATTCTGAGAACCTTGCTGCAGGAAACAAGCTTTGATGCGACCCATCTTGCCAGCGAGGAGGGCCACTACGTAAAGAAGTCGTTGAAAGCCTTCCTTGAGGTTCTTCAAAGCTAATATGGGAGGCCCTGACACTTGCCGGAGCAGTGGCAGATACCGGTATTTGAGGGTTGGAATTTTTGGGCAGGATGGCGGAATTGACATCTACTGACTTGATCTTTTCATGAGGCGCCTTTGGATGGGACATTTTGAAGATGCTTTTGCGTTTGGCGGCTTGATCTAGGTCATCCGTTGTCGGGGACGTGGTGATTATTTTCGGCGCTGGTCACAAGCCATTAGCCATGAAACTCACCGATACATTTCGGGGACCAAATCAACTCACGCTGGGCACTTTCAGGAATCGGTGGAATGGGCGGGGCCTCTGCTTCTTGGTAGGATGCCGACAGCTGGGGGTCAGAAGCATGCCGGAATCTTAGCAGGCTGAATCTGTTTCGTTTGGTATTCTGGGCTCGAAGGAGACGATCCGCCAGTCGTGTGGAATCTCGCCCTCCATTATCGAATGATGTGGAAGGCACTTTCTGGGCAAACGTTAACGATTCAGATCCCCGTGAACCGATCTTGTCTCGAGAATGAGCCGTGCGGGAAGCATGATCCAGTCGGCCTGGATCTGTTCTCTGTGGCTTTTGGGAACCATCTTTCTGCCCAACGCCACTCATCTTCAATCCTTTCCACGGCATTATGTAGCAAACCTCTCGCAGGTGACGATGCTCATTGTCATTTGCTCAGATTCGATGGTTCATAATCTGGCCACTTATCGCTGCAGCAAACTCGTTATGTGCCAATTCGACGTTTTGGAAGGTATTCGAATCCGCAGGGAGGGTAACAAAACGCGTACGATCAGTAGTGACAGTGTCCCAAGATCAAAATGAAGGACCAGTCGGCGGCGGAATAGCTGTATTGCATTCTAGAAATGTGAAGAAGCGCAGTCAGCAAACACTCCACTTTAAAGGAGCAGAGAGGTATCCACCATCTCCAGAGAGACTAACAATAGCAGCCAATGCTCAGAACAACAGTTGAATGCACAGATGTTGATAGACAAAGGATTTGGGAAGCTGAAGGAGTGGAAAAGGTGGAGGTGATGTGAACTCACCGTGGGATTCCAACAAACAATCCCACCGTGAAACTTGACGACTAAGCAGCTCTCTTCCAGGCGCGACAGCAGAGATTCGCAGATTGGTCCCTTTTGTCAAGAAGTTCACAACAAGCGACTGTGATTGTTGCCGGGCGGCCTTCCAGTCTCACACTGTCAAGTCCGCAATGGGTCTGATTGGCCTCCTTTCTCTCGAGATGGGCTGGACTTGGGAGACCCGCTAGAAGTCGCCAGTCGAAAGTCAAAAGGTCGGGCTGCAGGGCTGAGAATTGTGCTTGCTGGCATCAACGTTCTATAATCCGAAACCCAGTCGATTTACAGACACAGGTGCATAAACCTGGGATGCAGCCCGAATGTCAAAAGACCAAACACACCGTCCTCATGTCAAGCAGCGGCGGAACGGCGCAACGGGTGGCTATGGAATCGGTGCGGGTTCCAGGGGACATCCCAACTCTGAATTCCGAGCCCAAAAAACAAACATATGTTTAACTGTATCTAGCAGTTCTTCATCCAAGATCCATCCAAAAAGCTATTTTTTTTCTTTTTCCTTTTTCTTTTTTTTTTTCAAGTTACAATCAAATACGAATGGGAGACGCAAACTCTGAACAGTGGTTAGGGAATGGTGCAGTGTCGATCAGTCCAAGCAAGCGCCTCAGGAAGATAGTTATGAGTTAATTTGCCTGGTGGAGTGCACGGGTTGGATCCCAGGGTCGAGGCATGATGATTTGATGGCCAACAGACTCAAAAGGAATAATAAAGGCTTCATGAATGTGCAGGAGTCTCACGTCCCAACTCTGGAGTATTCTGTAACTACACCCTGCCAATCAAGATGGGATACTCATTCAAGCCTCGCCTAACTTAACGGTCAAGCAGGCCAAGTCGGCGCTGAATCACCGCCACCTCTTTGCTCTTGAGTTGGTTACTCCATATTAAACGACTTGCTTTTGTCGCATGTTCCCCAAGGCACCCACTTTTGGTCTGGCCACTGCACTGCAATTCACTGCATGTCATAATTAACTTTGTTTTGCTTTGATGATGAGGAATATCTAGAGAAGCTTGAAGAATGCATATACTGCAAGTGATCACAGGTGCTACACTAGTGTCTGTCCTCTTTGTCTCCGCCATCCCGTCCTCCACCAGCGAATTCCTCCCTTCCACGGCTGAGCAGAACTCCGCAGTTCTTCATTCTCAAGGCCGGTCTCCGCCCAGGTTATGGACCAGGCTGCGTGATTCAATCATAGAGTCTATTTGGCGAGTACCAAGCCGGCAGCACAATCCCTCCAGGATCCCATCATCGCTTTCGATCCCACGGGCGCCATCTTCAATCCGCGCGCGCTATGGCGACGATGTCGTACTCCGATTCACTATCCGATCCCAAAACGATGTCCAGGCTCTCATAGAGGCGTCGAATATCCTATTCCTCGACATATGGGCATCGACAAACGAGTGGGTGGATATTAGACTGGCAAAGGATGTGGTGAGTTACCTCCCGATTCTCCACGGAAAGCCTATCGTTTTCCTAACCAACAATATGACCTGTTCAGGTTTCATCCCTCTTAGGATTACTTCCCAGCTCCCTAAGAACAGCTCATGTCCCTATCATCCATGATCTGGCCCAAGCGGTCTACGAGTCTTATCCTCAGCCTGTCTCTTCCGTCCCAAACCCACACCACGCTTTTTCGCCTTCAGTCCAACAATCTTCTGAGACTCAGAATATATTCTTTCAAGACTACCAGCCGCTTTCCGTTATCATACCTTGGATGCGTCTGCTGGCGTCTATGTTCTCCACCCATGTTCGACTGGTAAATCTGGGCACCTCGTTTGAAGGCCGCGAAATTGTTGGCTTTTGTATTGGTGTCCGCCCTGCAAATGCAGATCTTCCCACTGAACGCCGCAAGACTATCGTGATCACTGGTGGCTCACATGCCAGAGAGTGGATTGGCGTTTCTACTGTAAACTATGTCGCCTATTCTCTCATCACAGGCTACGGCAAGTCTCGGGCTATCACCAAACTAGTCGAAGAGTTCGACTGGGTGCTAATACCGACGATGAATCCCGACGGCTATGTCTATACCTGGGAAACGGACCGGCTCTGGCGGAAAAATCGACAAGAAAACAATCTGCAGTTTTGCCCGGGGGTCGATCTCGACCGTACCTGGGGCTATGAATGGGACGGTAGCGACAGCAGAAGCAACCCCTGCTCCGAGGATTTTGCAGGAGATGGTCCATTTGGTGGCAGAGAGTCAAATGTGATCGCACAGTGGGCGCTGAACGAAACCAATCACCACAATGTTACGTTTGTGGGCTTCCTTGATCTACACTCATACTCTCAGCAAATACTCTATCCCTATTCTTACTCATGCACCAACATTCCCCCAACGCTGGAGAACCTCGAAGAATTGGCCATTGGTATCGCAAAGGCCATTCGACTTACCGACCATGAACATTACGACGTGAGTTCCGCCTGCGAAAGCTCCGTTAGTTCTCACAAAAAACGCAGGGGTGCCGCCCTGAGGAGCATGCAAAGTGCTGGAGGAAGCGCCCTAGACTGGTTTTACCATGATCTTCATGTCCGATATGCCTATCAGCTTAAGCTTCGGGACAAGGGAGGCTATGGCTTCTTGTTGCCCAAAAAAAACATTGTTCCCACCGGAAAAGAAGTTTATAATGCTGTTCTAGTTTTTGGGCAGTTTCTACTCGGGAGAGGTGCCCAAGATGTGGACTGGGAAGGGGATTTTCAGTTCCCTGCCCAGTCTCGCCCTAACGTTCCCGAAAAGGAATATCGAGGCCCGGACGAAGAGTACGACATTTCCAATCAGTTAGAAGACGATGATAATGAGAACGATACTTTGTTGGCGTTTCGTACACAGAAAGTTTGATTTACCCCCTTTTTATTGATCCCGAAACTTCCCACCTACCCATCTGCGCAGCGAAATACCCAGAAATACGACGTTTTAAGAACTTTTAATTTGTTCTGTACATGATGCCCCTCTGCTTCTTTACGACCTGTTGTATATTTTATGCCCCATTTTCCATTTATCCACGTTGGTTCCTTATAATTATGGACGGGATTCAGCGTATTCATTCTTTAGGGAACAAATTTACGACAAGCCCTGGATACCAGGCGAGATGATGACCTTAGGTTTGAGCGAAAGAAAATGCTAGTAATGCCTTGTAATGCGAGATAGATCCTTTATACTAGTGCCCACGGCCTCCAGTCTACTTCGTGAGTGATATTACCGAACCTGATTACACAACATGCTGCCATGAGGCTCTTATCATCCTTGAGTCTGATATCAAGATAAGCTTAATTAGACTAATCCTACGACGTCATCCAAGGCCCTTAATCTCTCCGCCAAGCATAATTCCAACACAAAATACTCGCCGCAGTCCCTTAGCTTTCATGGCGCCCTGGACGGATTATTGTGAGATTGCACACGAGCCGACGATTTTTTATCGCCGGGGGAGACGTCTCGACGCCGAATATCGCGGAGCACCCCCGCCTCGTCGAGCAACAGTTTTTATGGAACGTGGTCCTCTCTCCGCTCATACTCGTTCGCTGGAGCCCCTCAGTGGCCAACCAGCCCAATCGACCCAATTCGTTGTTCCAGGATGCAGGAATGAAGCAATCGCTTATTTATATTTGCCTGCTCTTACTCAGTGCCCGTGCCCCGCCAACCTTGGCACCAGTAACCCGATCAGACTCGTTAGAGAAATTCCGTCACAATATACCCCGCTCATTCATCTGGTTCAAGCGGAATTGAGCATGGGCCGTACCCAGCTCGAGCAATATGATTTGTGAGACATATCTTTTTCCGCTCCTCTTTGCTCCACGGCCACCGAATCCAGAGCAAAAGCAAATATCTTTTATGACTTGGTTGCCAAAAGCCCGTTCTCCGTGTGTTACCAGGGACTCAAAGATCGATAGGCCGCGTGGGAGAGAGATGAGGGGTTCCAATCGCAACGAAAGGAGAAAATAAATATCAATATTTTCAAATTAACTAGCCCATTCCACTCAAATAATAGTTTGTGGAAAGTTGGAATAGCCCTCTTGCGGGATGGATTGGTGCAGGGACCGAGCGCCGCGTCCTTCCGCCGAGCCCCACCATTCGCTATTGGTCGACTTGGTCGTTCTGCTTACCGAAAGCTTCGGAATGTTCTGCGCAGACTGGCGGCGAAATCGAGCATCCCTGGCTAGTTCGAGGCGATTGAGGAATCTAAAGGAAGATCCTTGTGATCACGCGAGAGGTGCTACTTACTACTAATCGAGGACTTGAGCCTGTCGCAAAATAGATGTCACTATTAGTTGAAAATCTATAGACATGGTACAACGACCACCCTTGATAGGCCGATCGTTATAGTATGGTATCTGCGGAGCACAACAAAAGTAATTTATCCCTTCCTGAGCAGTTCGGAGTAGAAAATTTGGTCACGAAACCAGCGTTATTCAGACGTTGAACTTATATAAATTGCGAGAGTACAACTAAACCTAGATATTTATCCAGTTGTCCAGCCGAGTTAGATGAAGGCCCGATTGGTTGATTTGGGCGTCATTGACCGGAGTCTGGGATCATGGTTCCCGAGAAACATCGAATGAACTCAAAAGCTGCATATGCGTGGGTAGTGGGGTTCCATCGCGGCAGGTATATAGAGTTGGGTTCCGCCCAGTTGTGTGAATGCCCTTAAGAGAGTTGGAATAGTTTCTCGCAAGCTGTAAGGGGGATAGCACTGGAAGGAGCTAACAACCCAGGTCGGTCACATAGTTTAAATCAGACAGTTACATGCGGTTCAATCACTATGGCAGATCTCTCTGTACCTCTCAATCCACACAACGAGATGCATTCGCCTCAAGCTTTCAGCAGCTTCCTCAAAAAGATGGGTAAATCACACAGTCGGGTCCCGGTGCTGAGGAGAATCCCACTGCCAGCCATTGGGATCATTCTTTTGATTGCGGTTGTGAATATCCTGGTTTGGATCGCAGCAGGTGTTGTTTTAGTACGTTCTCACTTCCTTTCCTCCACTTTTGAATGGCATTGGTAACTAGGGATTCTGGCGTCAATCGGTTATATGCGTGTATGTATTTACATACATACAAACAAATGCATAAGGAGGAGGTATGTTGATCTGGTAGGTGGGGGTTTGACTCCTTCCACCAGCTAGATATAACCTCTGCTTCATCTTAGATTATAGTACGTGCACATATAGGACGCCGCGATTCCATAGTCTGCCTGCCTTTCGGGTTAAGTGATGATTTGACTTGTCATGGTCAAAATGTCTAAATCTTCCAACATTAGCTGAAAGATCATTTTGCTAACAGACCAAATTAGCATTTCAATCCGTAAGTATTTCACAGACGATTAGCATATCACAAAATGAAGGCTTCAACACACACCCTATTTCAGCACCTGGCTTGGCTGATAAGAGGATCCCGTGAATCGACCACTAGATCTTTGGTATCAACAGCAGTATTGTCGTACACCCTGGGTCTAAGACATGCTCTTGACGCGGATCATATATCAGTACGTGCATAGGCGTCCGGTAACCATCCCCTGAAACTATTTCGGGGGACAACTGCGCTGAAACTATCATACCAATCCAGGCCATTGATCTCATGACCCGCCGGCTCTTAGCTACAGGCCAACGGGCAGTAACTGTGGGAACCTTTTTCTCTCTCGGCCATTCAACGTAAGCAAAACTGGCCCCTTTCCCGATCAAGCTGATCGCAAGTCCATCGATTGTCCCATCAGTGGCTAAGATATGGTATAGGATCGTTATAATAACTTCTATTGTCGTAGCTGCCACCGCAGCAGCCGTGTCCTCTAAATTTGATGCGTATGGCAAGGTTGGAGGGATCATTGGAAGCTCAGTCAGCTCCGCATTCCTCATACTTCTAGGAATCATGAATGCCTATATTCTGTATAAATTAATCCAGCAGATAAAAAAGGCCCTAAAAAACAAGCAAGGAGCGGAAGAGATTTGGAAAATTGAGGGAGGCGGGGTCTTGTTCAGAGTTTTGAAGGCGATGTTCAAGTTAATTAACCGGTATATCGAATCATTCCTCTTTGCCGAGACGAATTGCTAACAAAATGGATATCAGCCCATGGAAGATGTATCCTTTGGGAGTTCTTTTCGGTCTTGGTTTCGACACCTCTTCCGAAATTGCGTTGCTTGGTATATCTTCAGTCCAGGCAGCTAAAGGAACGAGCATCTGGGTCATTTTGATATTTCCTATCTTGTTCACAGGTGAGCCTGCCCCTGCACCCAAAAAGGAGTTTGCTAGCTGGGGATCACACTTAACTGAGTTTTTTAGCTGGGATGTGTCTCATTGACACCATCGATGGTGCCCTAATGCTGTCTTTATACATTCAACCAGCAACGCACTTCCTTCCCTCCTCTTCTCCGTCCTCCCCATCCTCAGCTCCCGTTCCAGGAACCACTGCGGGGCCACAAGCGATTTCCCGCAGTCCCCGGGATCCGATCGCGTTCCTTTACTACTCCATCGTATTGACGTGTTTGACTGTCGTTGTCGCCGTAGTAATCGGAGTCCTCCAGCTTTTAACACTCATTCTCAATGCTGCAGAACCAGAGGGGAGATTCTGGGACGGCGTGGAAACTGCCGGGGAGTATTATGATGTTATAGGTGGTGCAATTTGTGGATGCTTTATCATTATTGGTGGTATTAGTGTGTTGGTGTATCCAAATTGGCGGCAGTGGGCGGCTAGGAAATACGCGACCCACGATGGCCCTGATGAGATTATCGACGATGTTGAACGCGGAGGTGGGTCTACCCCGCCATCCCAAACCCGTTCTGATATCACCAAGGATGGCACCGTCATATAATACAAAGAGTCACGAGCCAAATAATAAGTGAGGATCCGTGGCCGTGCTATGGATATACTTCCGAGATATCGCGTGGACTCAGGTGAAATGACTCGTTGAACACTTCATTTTGCCTGCTTGACAACGGACAATTCTCAAGACTCGAACAAGAAATACCTGGATCAATTCGTTGCTTAAATGATGAGTAGCATCATCTGAATACTGGAGCACTTTATTGGATTTTCCAGTCAGATCTAGCCAGGGATGATTAACAGACGAGGGATGGTTCTATAGAAGAGGATAAATACAAGTTGGAGAATGAACCTCCTGAACATATCATCGAAAAGAACACGAAGGTGAACTCAATTGGTATTGACTAGTTGAATGATCTGATAAGAATACACATGAAACTTTTTATATCCTGTCAAATGATTAACTTTGTATTCTCTAAACATGTGTTACCGTCCCCTTGGCCAGTTTTCCAATTTACTTGGATGTGGAACATTATGCCTGGTCGGTGGAAAGCACACTTTCTTCTCTGTGTTCTTTAAGTTGAGTCACAAAATCCTTGGCCCAAGGCAATACCCGCCCCATGCTTTCAAAAAAACGCAGGATGAGTCTCTATTAATGTTTCATCTGCCGTATCCACAGCAGCAATTGCACTATCAATTGCTTCAAAAACGCCCTTGACTTGTTCATATAAGGATGATGCCGTCCTTTGGGCAAACGCTTCCAGTGATCTTTGAACTTCCTGATCGATAGAGTCGAATATGCCTGTATTCTTAACCTGATTATGGATACGGCATTGCGAGCGAACGTGTACACCAGATCCTAAAACAGGAAAATAGAGTCAAGATTTTGCTCAGACGTGGAGGATTGATAGGAAAAATACCTCTATCTCGTGCACAAATCCGGTAAGCAGGAGTCATGTTTTTAGTAATAAGCGATATGGCATGGCCACCAGTAGCATCCCGTTTCAGGGACCTAAGTGTTGTCAAGGGATTTTGTTAGAAGTCCGAGTGCTCATGAAATTAAACCACGAGTTATGATACCTTAGCGAGTTCATATACGCGAGTTGAGCCTCTTGTATGATCCGCTCGATGTCATATTTCCAATATATAAAGCTGGATAATAGGGACCGCGGTAGCCTTAGCAGCTATAGAATTACGACAATAGTCAGTACTGACATGATCTATTGTTGAATTTATCGAAGCCAACAAACCTCGAGCATTTTCCTTAAGGCCGTCAAGGGCAGAGCTTAGCACGTCAAACCACTTGTCAAAACTATTATTTGCCCTTTCATCCAAAGTTTCCCATGCAACCGCGGTATTACTTGTCATACCGGAAATGAGTTCTGTATTCCAGCACCTATCCTTTTGTGTTCTAGTAGAATTGGTGCCATAATGCTTACACCACGAAATGTAGGAACCTGCGCTTTCCATCAGTTTGAACTACAAGGAATGTTGCTGGGAGACCTGAATACCGTGATGCCACTAAGTGTGAAGTTAGCAAGGATTCCGCGCCAGACGGGCAAGGGATAGCCCATTACTTACACTGTCCCATTCCTCGCAAGCAGCGTTGGCTGCAGCCTGTATTGCTTCTCTATTTCGTCCTTCACAAGTCAGTGGCATATTATGTATCTTCTTGAGATTCGCAAGGTGGACTCACTGTAAGAGGTCCTTAGGGAGGCTTGACCCAAATGATGCTGCTCATCCGTCCAGTTCTGCTTTAGTGAGTCGAGTTTCTATGCTCAATTAGTCAAATCAACTTGGCCCCTGGGGCTCCAAATAACAAACCTCAAATAAATCCCTTATTGAAACTCGATTCAACAAAGGTTCAAGTTGGCTTCTCGCATGGGTACCAGAATCATACCACACTTCTAGAGAGTTAACAAGAGATGGCAGTGAAATGTTCAGAAAATTGCAACCGGTCGCGTATAACGATGCTGCCGGAATAGAATGGCAGAATCGTCTCAATGTCGGTATACCGCTCAGTTTAACTTGCTTTTCATTGAAAGGCCTTTGATAATGACCCATGTCAACGCAAAAGACCTCAAACTCCACGTCAGGGAACCGTTCCCTGAGTCTAACTGCAACGGAAGAATTTCTCGCATTAACAAACAGTGCTAAGTGACTACGGAATCATTAGAACTGCAGTAACAAAGTCGTGGGTACTTTGGCAGAATAGTACTCAATATCGTTTCCGGTCAAACATTATTAAGACCTTCATTCACAATGCCTGACTCGCGAAGAAGCTCTGCAATAATTTGAGCAACCTCAGTTCCATTTCTCAACTTGGTTTGAAATTCCGCGTTGAAGTACGACTGATTCTCTTGAAGAGTCTCCTGTTCGATAGGGTATCGATAGTCGGTTTGTGGCCGGTGAAAATCGTCCCCGTGTGGGCTTCCGCGAGGCAAAGTAGGGTGTGTCGTCCGGTTCGAGGATGAATTATATCCTCCATTGATATTCATTTGCGCAATGCCATCGACTACGGATATGTGGCTAATAGAACTTCGGATAGAGGGCGCGGAACCAGATGCCGCATTGCGAGGTGCAGGATTGAATAATTCGGAAATTGTGATGCCGCCAGAGACGGACGTCGGGCTGCTGGTTCGTGCTGAAGCCGATGAAGATGATTGTCTCATTGAGTTGGGATGAATTTCATTTAACGCTCTAAAGGGGGCTGCTGCTGATCTGGATAGTTCCGATGGTGTCCTGCTAGACACACTCGCCGGAAGAGCGACATTACGAGGGGCCGCTGTTGATCTGGATAGTTCAGACGGTGTCCTGCTAGACACACTCGGTGGAAGGGGAACATTACGAGGGGACAAGGCAAATGTGAAGTCAGTATGTTCGAACCGGGATGGCTCCCACGATGTGGCATTTTGAGAACTTGTTCCTGAGGTTTGCGACCTAGGGTCTAACCTAAACATGCTCTGTGCCAGTGTAGTGGTCTGACTCGCATCGTTTTGGCGAGCAGGACTAAGGCTAACGTTTGATGATTCATTAGAGCGCCTCGAGGAAGGCCGTGTGGATTCCCGATCCGAAGAGTTCTGGTGAAACAGGCCTGATAGGGTGGACTTTGGGCGACGTTCTGATGACCGCGACGGCGTTGCAGGGTCAAAGATGAAAACACCGCTGTTGGAGCTTGTCGAAGATGATCCGAATGGTGGGGTGTCCATTCCAAGAGTTTCGCTGATATGGGCGGGATGGTAAAGGAATAGCAAAGGGGTCGACCAAAGATTCAATATTTATACATCCAATACGGAGTAAACATGACTGGCAAAAAACTATGGATCTGGGTATTGTTGGATCAAGCGAGCCACAAGGAAGTTAAATGCGGAACCTGCCCAAGGTTTATATAAAACCCTCCTGGGAATTGAGGGGTGCAAGCGCCAAAATAAGCCAGTTGAGCGTTTCTATTCTTCCCTGCAAGCCGCCGCATGCCCTAAAAAGGCCTTTGCTAGCTTCATATTTTTGGTGGCTGGATTCGCAGTAGTAGGTTCATAGGGCATAGTATCATCGTCCCAATATGAATATTACCCAATCTCAAATATACCCATTCAGTTCGGTGTTTCAACACTGTTAAGATAAGGACGTATGGGTTCTGATCATTGACCAGTTTGTGAACTGACTTCGTGTCGAATTTTGCTAAGCGCTGCCTACAAAATACGCTCTGATATCCTGCTGCTGCTGATTTTCAAGCCTCCGAACCCCTAATCTTCTCTCATAACGATTTAACTGTTGAATTAGCTCTGTATCTCCCTTATCCTGCTGCTCTTCATACAAGCGAAGCCTTTTCACCATGTCAAGGGCCTCGGTGGTGCTGATTTGCGGATCAGCTTCCATATTTATAGTCTCTTCCTCATCCTCAGGCTCCTCTGGCTCCAGCTGCTCAATTATCTGGCGCTCGAGGTCTTCAGAAGAGTCCTCCACTACTTCCTCCGCGGGATTGAGGAAGTTTTCAATTTTCATTGGGTTTTGAATACCAGAGACCATGCAGAGCCGTTGGAAATCATTGGAGATCTGTATACTTGAAAGATCTTTGGGCAGAACAGCTGTCTTCTTGAACAAGGCTCTCTGGAAGCAGTGTTGAATAGTGGCAGGCGCCATATCGATATCCCAAGCCTGTATTCCCCAGCGTAGGGCCTTCAACACGTTCATTGTAGTAAGAGGATCACGGTTCGACTTGTATTCTTCAAGCATATAGGTAATCCACTGCCGTTTCCAGTGGCACTTCCAAGAATATATAATCCCTTGATCTAGTGGCTGATATTTGCTCGTTGCATTTCGTGGAAGCCAAATAATCAGTGTATTCTGTAGGGGATAAAGGCTCTTATTGATATTTTCAACTGCCAGTCCATGAGCAGAGAAATTATCCATTAAAAGCACTACTTGACGGCCAGTCATTTTGGAATCAAACCATCTTAGCCATTCCTCCATGAGAATGCCCGTCATCCAGGCCCTCTTGTTGTGCCTCCATTTGAGATTGAGATTCTCAATATTGATGCCTGCGGCACGGAAAGCATGCGGTTGTTGAGCCTTTCCAATAAACCATATAGGTAATCTCTCAGATCCATCAGAATTGCAGCATAAATGGGCAGTAATCCGTGCCTTTTCCTTCTTTCGGCCAGGAAGAGAGCGAGTAGAGAGTCCTCGACCAGGAACCATCTTCCAAAGGAGTCCAGTCTCATCACAGTTGAATATATCCCTGGCATTGTAATGCTGAAGAACCATTCCTATATTCTTCATCTCTTGCTCTGCATCAATAGCACTTCCTGCCTCTCCATGGTATATATGATTCTTAATCGATCGTCGGTTTTGAAATCCATTAAGCCAGCCATTGCTGAATGCAGGCATCTCGCGGTCCTTATATACTGACAGAATCTTCCAAAAGAGAGTGTAATCGATGTCTCTGCCTGTTGAATCCACATATATAATGCTGTTTCAAGCTCTGGCCAGTGTTCACGACGGTAGCGCTTCTGGTTTGATGTACGGTTGACAGGCCAGTCAAGGTGTCCGTATTGTTTAGAAGGGATCTCGGAGACTGAAGATAAAAATCTTTTGCATATATAAGGGCCTCAACCCACTGCTTCAAGGCCTTGTTGGGGAGGGAAGGAATCGAAGTATCTTAAGTTAACGGGTTACCAACAAGGTCATGTGACCAAAGCTGCTGTCCATACCGGAAAAATGAGCTTTTCGGGCAACCGTCGGAAAACGTTTATCCGACGCGACCCGTTGAACCACGGGTCGCAAGCTTGAAACCGTAGATCAACCATATATTTACAATGCACGTATAAAGGGTCCGAAACGTATAGAATTCGGAACGTATATATTTTTAAACTTGAGGGTTTTGAACCCGATTCGGAAGCTTTTCAATTACTAGGAACTAACTAAGTATTACAAACCACCCGCACAACCCGAATCGTAATGAATTTTTTTTTTTTTTTTTTTTTTAAATTTGAGCCTCCCCGGTTGGAGTCTCTGGTTCGGGGACAGGGCGTAAAACCAGCGCAGAAGAATCGTCAGGGCGAGCCCATTCGGGCCGCTTGATCGTACTTTCGAGCAAATCGGCTCCACTGCCTCCAGTTGGAGACAGGCCCGACGCAGAGATATTCGGCTGCGACTGAACGAAGGGAGAAGGCGTGATCGGAGTGGGGGAGGGGGGGGGAGGAGCGGACGCAGCAGAGGGCAGGGCAGCAGCAAATCGGCCTATCTTGGCTGCTGATTCATAGACGGTTTCTTCTGCCTTTCGCTTTTTCTGTCATCAAATATCAAAGTCAGTTCAATTCATCCCGACATTGCATCAAGTATACTGACCGCAGAAGGTAAACAATTGGACTTTAAGTCCTGGCGGATGTCGGCCAAGGTCCTTTCAATATTCTATATATATAACTACATTAGCATGAGTTGAATGTATGATATCCAATCAGTTCAACCTACCTTGACAGAGCGGAATGTATGCTCCGCAAGCTCTTTTTGTTCGGCTTGGATGGACACGAGCTTTTCCAACGCTGCCAAAGTGGCAGCACCAACTTCAGCGTTGAAGGGGGGGGGAGGGGGGGATTCGTCAGTTCGGACCGACGGGGGTGCCATTTTGGCAAGCAATTCACTGAGACCAGCGGCCTGTTCCGCCATACTGGCTTTCAATTCCTCTCGGAGCGTCGCGTTCTTAAGCCTGAGGAAATCGTCATGGTCAGACAGCAATGCTGCCACTTCCTTCTGCAGCTCTGAAGGGACAGGAGCACAGGCTTTTTTATCTCCTGCACAATTGGTGCAGGCCTTCGCGGTTCCTTGCTTGCGGGAACAAGGCTTTTCGATGTGCGCCGTATACACAAACGTCAAACAGCGGCCACAGAGTGTATCGCCCATCATAGCGGGCTCTTCTTTGACAGCCGAGGGCTTTCGCCCTGGCTTCTTCTTTGTGGACATCGGGGAGTGCTCGTCCTGAGCTGCTGCCAATTTACGCGTTTGCGGAGCCATTTTTTGCTATTTCTGCATATATTGTCCTTCAGTTTGCTGCAGTTCCTTATTTCATTCTGAAATCCACCACTTACCTCGATATTGGAATAGGGGGAGAGGGGCGACGAGAAATATAATGAGCTCAAGAGGAGGAAAGAAAGAAAAGAAGAGAAGAAGAGAGAGATTTTGTGTGGGAAGAGATTATTATATCTAGCGTGTCCGCTTGATTGTTTTGGATTTCCTAATCGGGACGTGTCTATTTATACATTACTAAGTGCTAACTCATTTTGCTTAGAGCTCCTACGGCCGATTACGGTGAACGATAAAGAGATATATATTGAATATAGCGAAATTCGGCTCTTGCAAGCATTGATATAACAGAGCATTGCATTGAAGTCTAGATATCAAACCCCGAAATCTATTTTGAAGCACAAACTAACAGCCAATTTTGACCCGAGAAGGCACCTTTTCATGTATTCAACTAGAATCTGCGTCTCTTTCGGGGCATGCGACCAGTTGCGGCTGGCGCGGGTCTCTTTGAACAGGCAGGCCGATTTGTCGCAGTCTCAAAATAATCCTCCGTGATGTCCTGCAAAGGATTCCGATTCTCCTTGTCTGAATCGTCATTCTCTGGCTCCCGCGGAGCTTGCACTGCCTGAGCCGGACGTGAATCGGGTTCCCTGGGCGGCATACTAGATGTCAACTGGACCGCATCCAGAATTCCTGGCAAAGTCTCAACATGGACAGCCTTTGGCTTCCTTGGTCGGACCTTCCGTCGGGCGAAGTCGTCCGAATTGACATCTCTCAGTCCTGGTTTCTGTGTCAAGCAGTCCCAGAGCTTGAGTACAGAATCCCAGGTGTAGGTCAACGGGGTGGATGCGTCCCGTTTCGGACTGTTGTCATCAAGATACAGCTTCACGTATGCTGCTAAATTTGCATACACCTCTATTGCCATAACTGTCAGAGCAGAAATCATGGCAATTAAGATTTACCATTGACTTACGTTCAAAATACCATTTCCCTTGTGGAGCTGACTTCTCAAAATCGACACACGGCTTGACCCAGTAAAAGACTTCACAGAATTGGTCCCACTTGAACAATCGGGCAAAATAGCTGATCAGCTTTTGTCGATCGGTTATTTCATGGAGTCCGAAATCGGGATTCTCAGTCAAGCTGAGTTCAATACATTCCCTGACATGATCCTGCAAATGAGGTCAGTTTATACCATAACTAGGAGTTTAGGGACGTTGTTCCGACCTTCAAGCTACTCAAGGTCTTACATTTCCAACCTTTACAGAGGTCCGACATGCGCCTGGAAAGTTCACAAAAATATGAGTCGTTCCCGGCTTCCCAGTCCTCAAGGCTCAGCACCTCCTGGATGGTATCGGGAATCGGGTCAGTATTTAATGTCGATATATAGGCCCATCGCACCCGATTTCGTATCTCGTGCTCCACCACTCGAACCCGCTTTTCAATCTCTGTATGATCAGAGAACGCTTCAGTTCGGGTACTTGTATTCGAACTGAATGATGCCCCTTGAGCCTTTGGCATGTTGTGCGATTGGGCCCATGGGAAGGTGCGAGCTGTCCTTTTTGGCGCTGGCGTGCTCTGTGTCTCCGACATTTTGGCTATCGGATTGCCGTTGAGAATGAATGAGAGTGAATGCTTGAATTTCGGAGGGGTTCGCTATCTATTATATAGTTGACTTGGAGCGCATTCGACTGCCCAAGTTGCTATTCAGATCTGTATCCATATTCCCCTACATTCTAAAATTCAACGCCGCTAAGTGATTGATTTCTTTGAAATAGGCCGAT